CTGTATAATGGAGTGAGTGTGAGACAACCTGTATAATGGAGTGTGAGACAACCTGTATGATGGGGTGAGTGTGAGACAACCTGTATAATGGAGTGAGTGTGAGACAACCTGTATGATGGAGTGAGTGTGAGACAACCTGTATGATGGAGTAAGTGTGAGACAACCTGTATAATGGAGTGTGAGACAACCTGTATAATGGAGTGAGTGTGAGACAACCTGTATAATGGAGTGTGTGTGAGACAACCTGTATAATGGAGTGAGTGTGAGACAACCTGTATGATGGGGTGAGTGTGAGACAACCTGTATGATGGAGTGAGTGTGAGACAACCTGTATAATGGAGTAAGTGTGAGACAACCTGTATAATGGAGTGTGAGACAACCTGTATAATGGAGTGAGTGTGAGACAACCTGTATAATGGAGTGTGTGTGAGACAACCTGTATAATGGAGTGTGAGACAACCTGTATGATGGAGTGTGAGACAACCTGTATGATGGAGTGTGAGACAACCTGTATGATGGAGTGTGAGACAACCTGTATAATGGAGTGAGTGTGAGACAACCTGTATGATGGAGTGAGTGTGAGACAACCTGTATAACATGGTATAATGGAGTGAGTGTGAGACAACCTGTATGATGGAGTGAGTGTGAGACAACCTGTATAATGGAGTGAGTGTGAGACAACCTGTACAATGGAGTGAGTGTGAGACAACCTGTATAATGGAGTGTGAGACAACCTGTATAATGGAGTGTGAGACAACCTGTATGATGGAGTGTGAGACAACCTGTATGATGGAGTGTGAAACAACCTGTATAATGGAGTGTGAGACAACCTGTATGATGGAGTGTGAGACAACCTGTATGATGGAGTGTGAGACAACCTGTATGATGGAGTGTGAAACAACCTGTATAATGGAGTGAGTGTGAAACAACCTGTATAATGGAGTGTGAGACAACCTGTATGATGGAGTGTGAGACAACCTGTATGATGGAGTGTGAGACAACCTGTATGATAGAGTGAGAGTGAGAGAACCTGTATGATGGAGTGTGTGTGAAACACCCTGTATAATGGGGTGTGTGTGAAACAACCTGTATGATGGAGTGTGAGACAACCTGTATGATGGAGTGTGAGACAACCTCTATAATGGAGTGAGTGTGAGACAACCTGTATGATGGAGTGTGTGTGAAACAACCTGTATGATGGAGTGTGAGACAACCTGTATGATGGAGTGTGAGACAACCTGTATAATGGAGTGAGTGTGAGACAACCTGTATAATGGAGTGAGTGTGAGACAACCTGTATAATGGAGTGAGTGTGAGACACCCTGTATGATGGAGTGAGTGTGAGACAACCTGTATGATGGTGTGAGTGTGAGACAACCTGTATAACATGGTATAATGGAGTGAGTGTGAGACAACCTGTATGATGGAGTGAGTGTGAGACAACCTGTATAATGGAGTGAGTGTGAGACAACCTGTATAATGGAGTGTGAGACAACCTGTATGATGGAGTGTGAGACAACCTGTATGATGGAGTGTGAGACAACCTGTATAATGGAGTGTGAGACAACCTGTATGATGGAGTGTGAGACAACCTGTATGATTGAGTGTGAGACAACCTGTATAATGGAGTGTGAGACAACCTGTATAATGGAGTGAGTGTGAGACAACCTGTATGATGGAGTGAGTGTGAGACAACCTGTATAATGGAGTGAGTGTGAGACAACCTGTATGATGGAGTGAGTGTGAGACAACCTGTATAATGGAGTGAGTGTGAGACAACCTGTATAATGGAGTGAGTGTGAGACAACCTGTAAAATGGAGTGAGTGTGAGACATCCTGTATGATGGAGTGTGTGTGAAACAACCTGTATGATGGAGTGTGAGACAACCTGTATGATGGAGTGTGAGAGAACCTGTATAATGGAGTGTGTGTGAGACAACCTGTATAATGGAGTGAGTGTGAGACAACCTGTATGATGGAGTGAGTGTGAGACAACCTGTATAATGGAGTGAGTGTGAGACAACCTGTATAATGGAGTGAGTGTGAGACAACCTGTAAAATGGAGTGAGTGTGAGACATCCTGTATGATGGAGTGTGTGTGAAACAACCTGTATGATGGAGTGTGAGACAACCTGTATGATGGAGTGTGAGAGAACCTGTATAATGGAGTGAGTGTGAGACAACCTCTATAATGGAGTGAGTGTGAGACAACCTGTATAATGGAGTGAGTGTGAGACAACCTGTATGATGGAGTGAGTGTGAGACAACCTGTATAATGGAGTGAGTGTGAGACAACCTGTATGATGGAGTGTGAGACAACCTGTATGATGGAGTGAGTGTGAGAGAACCTGTATGATGGAGTGTGAGACAACCTGTATGATGGAGTGAGTGTGAGACAACCTGTATGATGGAGTGTGAGACAACCTGTATGATGGAGTGAGTGTGAGACAACCTGTATAATGGAGTGTGAGACAACCTGTATGATGGAGTGAGTGTGAGACAACCTGTATGATGGAGTGTGAGACAACCTGTATAATGGAGTGAGTGTGAGACAACCTGTATAATGGAGTGAGTGTGAGACAACCTGTATAATGGAGTGTGAGACAACCTGTATGATGGAGTGAGTGTGAGACAACCTGTATGATGGAGTGTGAGACAACCTGTATAATGGAGTGAGTGTGAGACAACCTGTATAATGGAGTGAGTGTGAGACAACCTGTATGATGGAGTGTGAGACAACCTGTATGATGGAGTGAGTGTGAGACAACCTGTATAATGGAGTGAGTGTGAGACAACCTGTATGATGGAGTGAGTGTGAGACAACCTGTATAATGGAGTGTGAGACAACCTGTATGATGGAGTGTGAGACAACCTGTATGATGGAGTGTGAGACAACCTGTATAATGGAGTGTGAGACAACCTGTATGATGGAGTGTGAGACAACCTGTATGATTGAGTGTGAGACAACCTGTATGATGGAGTGTGAGACAACCTGTATAATGGAGTGAGTGTGAGACAACCTGTATGATGGGGTGAGTGTGAGACACCCTGTATAATGGAGTGTGAGACAACCTGTATAATGGAGTGAGTGTGAGACAACCTGTATGATGGAGTGTGAGACAACCTGTATAATGGAGTGAGTGTGAGACAACCTGTATGATGGGGTGAGTGTGAGACACCCTGTATAATGGAGTGTGAGACAACCTGTATAATGGAGTGAGTGTGAGACAACCTGTATGATGGAGTGTGAGACAACCTGTATGATGGAGTGAGAGTGAGAGAACCTGTATGATGGAGTGTGAGACAACCTGTATGATGGAGTGTGAGACAACCTGTATAATGGAGTGTGAGACAACCTGTATGATGGAGTGTGAGACAACCTGTATAATGGAGTGAGTGTGAGACAACCTGTATAATGGAGTGAGTGTGAGACAACCTGTATGATGGAGTGTGAGACAACCTGTATGATGGAGTGTGAGACACCCTGTATGATGGAGTGAGTGTGAGACAACCTGTATGATGGAGTGAGTGTGAGAAAACCGGTATGATGGAGTGTGAGACAACCTGTATAATGGAGTGAGTGTGAGACAACCTGTATAATGGAGTGAGTGTGAGACAACCTGTAAGAAGGAGTGTGAGACAACCTGTATGATGGAGTGAGTGTGAGACAACCTGTATAATGGAGTGTGAGACAACCTGTATAATGGAGTGTGAGACAACCTGTATGATGGAGTGAGTGTGAGACAACCTGTATGATGGAGTGAGTGTGAGACAACCTGTATGATGGAGTGTGAGACAACCTGTATGATGGAGTGAGTGTGAGACAACCTGTATGATGGAGTGAGTGTGAGACAACCTGTATAATGGAGTGTGAGACAACCTGTATGATGGAGTGTGAGACAACCTGTATGATGGAGTGAGTGTGAGACAACCTGTATGATGGAGTGAGTGTGAGACAACCTGTATGATGGAGTGTGAGACAACCTGTATGATGGAGTGAGTGTGAGACAACCTGTATGATGGAGTGAGTGTGAGACAACCTGTATGATGGAGTGAGTGTGAGACAACCTGTATGATGGAGTGAGTGTGAGACAACCTGTATGATGGAGTATGAGACAACCTGTATAATGGAGTGAGTGTGAGACAACCTTTATAATGGATTGAGTGTGAGACAACCTGTATGATGGAGTGAGTGTGAGACACCCTGTATGATGGAGTGAGTGTGAGACAACCTGTATGATGGAGTGAGTGTGAGACAACCTGTATGATGGAGTGAGTGTGAGACAACCTGTATGATGGAGTATGAGACAACCTGTATAATGGAGTGAGTGTGAGACAACCTTTATAATGGATTGAGTGTGAGACAACCTTTATAATGGATTGAGTGTGAGACAACCTGTATGATGGAGTGAGTGTGAGACACCCTGTATGATGGAGTGAGTGTGAGACAACCTGTATGATGGAGTGAGTGTGAGACACCCTGTATAATGGAGTGAGTGTGAGACAACCTGTATGATGGAGTGAGTGTGAGACACCCTGTATAATGGAGTGAGTGTGAGACAACCTGTATGATGGAGTGAGTGTGAGACAACCTGTATGATGGAGTGAGTGTGAGACACCCTGTATGATGGAGTGAGTGTGAGACAACCTGTATGATGGAGTGAGTGTGAGACACCCTGTATAATGGAGTGAGTGTGAGACAACCTGTATGATGGAGTGAGTGTGAGACAACCTGTATGATGGAGTGAGTGTGAGACAACCTGTATGATGGAGTGTGAGACAACCTGTATGATGGAGTGAGTGTGAGACAACCTGTATGATGGAGTGAGTGTGAGACAACCTGTATGATGGAGTGTGAGACAACCTGTATGATGGAGTGAGTGTGAGACAACCTGTATGATGGAGTGAGTGTGAGACAACCTGTATGATGGAGTGTGAGACAACCTGTATGATGGAGTGAGTGTGAGACAACCTGTATGATGGAGTGAGTGTGAGACAACCTTTATAATGGAGTGAGTGTATGCCTGGGCTCTTCTCCAGCTCCCGAGGCTAACTTTGTCTGGCTGGTAGAACATGGAGCCCTCACACGCCTCTGTGGCCAGGAGGAACAGGTCGGGGAACTCGTTGTGGGTGTTGTCCAGCGGGAGGGTGGGGAGGAAGGGGTCCTCATACCAGTGTACAGCGATACCAGAGATGTACCTCCTGGCAGCTGGGGAGGTGAACACCTGGGGGGACAGGAACATGGGAGGTGATGCAGGGACATTCACGCAAGATGCTGGGCATGTGATACAGTCAGCTCTCAGTATCTCCAAAATAGACATCTCAAAATAATCCTTATATCTTATTCCGGGAGTGCTTTTTCATAAGCCTGATTGACTGTATGATCTCAAAGTTATTGAGATTTTGAGAAGATTTTGAGATAAAGTAACAAAAATCTGGATTAAGATGAAAAACAGAAATGTTTACGATGCAACTGGGGTAATGAGTAATCTTTGATATTTACACCAAATCACTATTTTGATACATCAAGTGTAGAAATACTGAGAGTTAACCACATTTCAGTGTATAGTAGGACCAGAACAAGGTATCACTGGAGTCCGCTCTGACCACTAGAGAGCCTGGGGCCTGCAATGAGTGCCTGCAACTGAGAGGGAGTGCCTGCAGCTGGGAGGGAGTGCCTGCCCTGGGGTGGGTGCAAGGTTCTGTCCACCACCTGGATGATGTCGTGGGTGTACTGCTGGGCCCTCTTCCAGCTGCCGAGAGACACCTTCTCGTCCCAGGGCAGTTCTCCAGTACAAGCCTCTGTTCCCAGGATAAACTTATCAGGGAACATGTTATGGGTGAAATCCAGAGCATCAGAGGTGGTCACTTGGTCCAGGTACCAGTGGACAGCGACCCCAGCTACGTACTGCGCAGCGGAGGAGTCAGACAACACCTGGTGGTCATAATGGGTAATACCATGGCTGTCAGAACAAGGCAATCTCGACTACAATCTTTCTAAATACCATTTGTCCCAAATCATATCTGCATTTACATAAACAAAACAGCTCTCATAGAACATACTTTAACAACTCGACAAGAAACCTACCAAAACCATTGCCTGGAAACAAATTTCTTACAATTTTGCATTATGCTTACACTTTCTCTGCAAAACAGACACATTCAAGAACAAATTCATGCACATATTTTCGGCCGAGTTCAACGTATTGTAAAGTATGAATCTTGATCATCAGTATCTTTACAAAACATTTCCACTATGTCTCTTCACCCAGTATGAGTTTCCAATGTGTTTACAGTAATAGAAGTAAAATAAATAAACCTCCTTACTGAACTGACATTCCTAATAAGCTTAAAAAGATCTCAGTTTGTCAATTTGACTTGACATAATGATCAACCATGATGACATTCTGCGGTATTAGGCCTTGGTTGAAGTATATACACAGACCTTTCAGAGGTAATGTACAGACCTATGCTAATCAGGTAAGTCACAGGTAACTCACTTTCTCTGCCCAGTAGGGTAACAAGAGGCGACTGTCGTCCAGTATCATCAGTTTGATGTCACCAAACCCGTTCTGATGCAGGGCAGGGCCGAGATCCTGGATTATGAAGTCTCTCTGCTGCTCGGGAGTCCAGCCCATGCACTGGAAGAAGAACTTATCGATCTCCCCGTCAGTTGGTTCATTCTGAGCTGTCAGGCCCCACAAGCTGATGTTGTGCTTCTCATACTCTTGAAGAAACCTAGAAATTGAGTTACCATGGAAACATTGACTTGAAATGTGCTTTTATTTCAAAATAACTCACACCATTCCATAACTTATAATTTTGCAAAATTTTGTAGAATTTTCCTATTCGGAATATTCTATAAGTAATACGTTACCACTGTTATACCGAGGCTGTTGTCTCCCACAACTGCTGCTATAGCGAAATCTACCACAGAGATCTCAATTACCTCATGCAGCACGTGCGTAGCCACCTAGCTGCCATGTGACACCCTTCACTCTTGTCTCCTGCGAGAGCAAGTGCTCGGGGGACGGACGGGCGGGCAGCAGCCCAGTGGTAACGTATTACTTATAGAATATTCCGAATAAGAAAATTCTACAAATTACATTAAGTAATACGTTACCACTGTTATACCGAGTCTGACTACCACAGTAGGCGGTGGGGAGCACCTACAACCCGAATCCTGACTGCTAGCGTTCCTTCCGACCAGCGGAAGTAAACACCAAGGCGGAAGCACTCGATGCGCATGCACCTAGCTAGGCGTTACCCTATAGGAATACCAAAGCACTGTCAAGCGCATACCGTAAGGCTCAATCGTCATTGCCAAAACGATTGGTGACTCCAAACGGCCCCACTGGATAGGTATTTCATCGCCGCAGCGGATGAGAACACTGTATCCGCGTGAGCTAAATCTTAGATCAGGTTAAACAGTCGAAAGGAGGGAAATTAATTTCCTTCAGACCGTATATCCCAGAGCAAGCCTACTTAAAGTATGCATTAGGCGGGTGACCTAATTCCAGTATTCGTAAGCATGTATCGCAAGGTTGGAATACACGACAGACAATTAAATGCATAATTGTCAAAATACAAATAAGGACAAAACACACAAAAAGCCGCCTCACCTGTGGTGTGAGTGCGCTGGTTTGCAGGACCCCCACTCCTGTACCCACGGCGTGGGAACATTGGAGACGACCCAGATTGACCACCGCGCAAGGACTGACGACTGCGGAGTTTGGAATTGCGCTGGACACATCCCCTAGATGACCGCTTGTGCCGCGATCAGCGGCCCAAGACGGTGCACCCCCTCCACGTCTTCATCAGAAACCTTTCTGAGGTAATGATTGGCAAAAACCGAGTCAGAACGCCAGTAACAACCTCATAATATTCTGTGAACAGAGATATTCGAGTGTAGGGCAAATGTTGCCGCTAGCGCCCTGGTCTCGTGCGGGTTTGACCCCGCTACCGGTAACCCCCGAGACCGGTACGCCAGATTGATGACAGAACGAAGCCACAACGCAATCGGGTTGCGAGGTATGTCAACCGTGCGATTAGGGTTACACGATATGAACAGACGGTCACGCCCTTGTCTACGTTCATTCGAAGCCTTAAGATAATACTTAAGGGCCCTAACCAGACACAGCGCTCTGTCCTCAGTATCAGCAGGATGTAAGATTTCTTTGAGGGATCTTACAGTGAATTCTCTCTCCGTTTGCCCGACTCTCTGATTCTTGGCGACGAAGCCCATGAGCAGGCCCAGGCGGACCGCTCCTTCGTCACCCCTATCGAATCGTACCTTGGCGACATCGAGTGCATGAATTTCGGATACACGTGCCGCCGTGGCAAAGGAGAGGAGAAATGCTGTTTTCCAAGTCACATGACGGAACGAAGCACTATGCAAGGGTTCATACGGAGCTTCCGTAAGTGATTGCAACACTAGGGAAAGATCCCTGGGCCGGGGCCCGAAGGCGGCCCTTCTTAAGATCGTGCTGTTTGAAACCCTTGATAATACCCCGTATCACCGGCTCTTTGGAGAGACTGGTACCCATAGCAACGTCCCGTACCGTAGCAACGGACGAGACATAGTTGGCAATGGAACCCCCGGAGAGTTTCCGGGTCTCTCGCAAGTGAGACATGAAACGAGCAATATCCTGCACAGATACCTTATCTGGCGAATGAATGTGATGTTTACAACACCACTTCGTGAAAATAACCCAACGTGCATTATACACCTTCTGGGTAGAATCACGATGCATACTAACGTATGCCCGAGACGCCCGGCGAGAAAAACCTTTACTCCTCAGACGCTCGGTGACAACATCCACGCGTGCAGATTGAACTGCCCTGCGTTTGGATGAAGCTGACGGGTGTGAGGGTGGATCAAGAGATCCGGTCTCACAGGCAGTAGGAGTGGCGACTGCGTGACCTGGGTCAGCAAGTCGGGGTACCACGATCTGTTCGGCCACATGGGCGTGATCAGTAACATTCGACAGCGAACTCCTCGAAGCCGGCTTAGAATGTGTGGTATCAACGCTGTCGGCGGGTAAGCATAAGCGTCCAAGCCCGTCCAGTCTAACGCGAGAGCTTCGTGATCGATGGCCCTCGGGTCCGGGACTGGTGATTCAAACACCGGGAGTTGATTGTTGAACTGTGTTGCGAACAGGTCGACCATCGGACGACCCAAACGTTCGCACAGCCACTGAAACACTACTGGGTTCAGCATCCACTCTGTGGGGCTCGGATCCTGAGGCCTCGATAGAGCATCGGCCAGTACGTTCCGCACACCTGGGATGTGACGGGCGCGTATCTGGCACGGGACACTGTCCACCAGAGCGTAAAACTCGAACGTGAGATCGAGTAGCGAGTGACTGTGGGTTCCCCCCAGTTTGTTCACATAGGACACTACCGTCGTGTTGTCGGTCGCCAGCATGAGCCGGGCATCGACGAGACGATGCTTCCAGTGATTGACTGCGTTGATCACTGCCTTGAACTCGAGACAATTGATGTGAAGACCTAGTTCGTCTACGCACCACAGCCCTGAGCTCACCTCCCCCTCTTGATGGGCGCCCCAGCCCACTAGAGAGGCGTCTGTATACAGGTTCAATGTGGCCCGGTAGGGCCGCATAGAGACTCCTGATAAGACATTGTAAGGGACCGTCCACCACTCCAGATGCGGTCAGAGCCGATCCGGGAGGGCGACGGTCGCACTGTTCACCTCCGTTGCTAACAACTGGATTAAAAACCGTTGCAGCGGGCGGAGTTGGAGACGACCCCGTTCGGTGTAGTCCTGGGTTGATACAAGTAGCCCTAACAGCTGTTCCCAAAAGTGAACAGTCTATTGCACCGCTAAGACTTTGGCAATCATCGCCTGAATTTTGTGCCACCGGTCTGGGGGGACAAATAGGCGATGGGACACCGTGTTGAACCGACCTCTGATGAACTGCAAGTTCTGAGAAGGGGTTAACTCGCTCTTGGGGAGATTGACAATCCACCCCAATTGCTCCAAGAGCCGACGTGCGAAAACGAGATGGCGTGACAGGGTGTCCGACATTCGATTTGCTACTAGCGAGTCGTCCAGGTACGCGAAGTACCGGACACCCCTCCGGTGGAGGAACCCCACTATGGGGGTGGTTAACTGGGTGAACAGCCAGGGAGCGGAGGAAAGACCGAATGTGAGTACAACCCACTCGTAGTGCCTGCCTTGAAAGACAAACCTGAGATACTTGTGATGATCCGAGTGAATCGGAACATGCAGATAAGCATCCTTCAGGTCGATCGAAGCTAGCCAGTCGGCCGGCATGATCAGTGCTTTCAGGTCCGTCAAGCTCAACATTCTGAACTTGGGCGGCTTGCGCAGGTAGAACTCGTTAAACGATTTCAAGTTGTGAATCATTCTGAGTTCGGCACTGTCCTTCTTGGGAACGAGAAATATCCCGGAGTAAAACCCCGGTGTTACTTCTGGTAGAGCTAACTCCCGAACTGCCCTCTTCTCCACCAACCTGCCGAATAGAAACCTGCCGACGGGGCAATGGTGAGCGGCGGATTCGCTATGAGATCGAGCCGATAGCCATACCGAATCGTGTTGACCACCCCCGGGTCGTCGAACACTTGTTCCCAATTCTCCCAGTAAGTCTGGAGTCTGGCTCCCACTTGGGAAAGAGAGGGGGGCCGGACGGGCTGCGGCAGGCGCAACTGTCCAGGGCCAAGTGACTCGGGTTCGCCTATGGGCCAACCGAAGTTGGCGCTGTCGGCATACGAACCCCTCCAATGAGAGTCACCTGGAGGGGCCCTTGCCGTCCTTAGATGACTTGGGCTTCCCCCAGTTCCCCTTCTTCCCGCGAAAGGGCTGCTGAGAACCCTTACCGGAGCCCTCAGAGCGGGGCTTCTTCCCGGAGGAAGAAGGACCCGACCCCTTAGGCCTGCCGGACGCAGCATCCTGGGGCGCGCTCCGCTTCGGAGCGGCACCAAGGCGCCTATGCAAGGACCCCACAAGATCCAGTGTGTGCCGAGAGGCCTCGGCAGACACAGCGGCCTGTTGTTCCTTCAGAACCCCAGGGATGTTGTTATTAAACAGGGTCCGAGCAGACCAAGGCTGCGAAAGGAGCACCTCCTGATTGTCAGCGTCCAACCCTGAAGCAACCAGATACGACTGGCGCCGAAGAAAATGGCACGTGCCAGAAACAAAGGCCGAAGCCCCGGCAACGTACTCCAGGGAAGCATTCAAACCGAGCAAGCAGTTGTAAATGCGCTGGTCTCGGTCCGTAGGAGAACCTTCGACCAGACTGGCCGCTGCAGCCAGGTATGTGTCTCCGTGAGACATTGCCAGCATGGAGTGTCGAGCGAGGGTGTCCAGCTGTTGCAAGGTACCTTGTGGTACCGTGGCAACCGGTGGGGCACAGACCCCCAAACGCTCCACATGGGCTTCCGCAGAAGGACCAGCCTCGGGAAAGGCAAGGTCATGTACTGGGAAAGACCCTTTTCTCCACGACGGGGGAGGTAACGGGAGACCCCGACCGGAGGCAGCCGTGAAGGCCTTCTCCAAAGAAGGCTTAATCCTGCGCAGCAAGGTTGATGCCGGGAAAGCCTTGTCGGACGTCTCGTCATACACCTCAGAGGAACCCACGGAACCGTGGATTCCCCGCGGTATCGGCAGGGGCTTTGGCATGTCCTCGAAGAGGTCATAAACCATGGCCACGCGGTCCTTAACCGATAGCGGAAGCAACAGTTCGGGGGAAGGACCGGTAACCACGGCAGCCGCCGCCGTACCGGCGGACCCCGCGTCCGAACCCGCGGCCACTGAAGAGGCCGGGGACGGAACAGCCAGCGGCCTATCTTGAGATAAGCCGCCAGCTTGGAGTCCACAAGTTTCGACAACAATGCGGCGACGGAATCCCCAGACAGCCCGAGGGCCGCAAGGGGATCCGCCGCAGCCGAGGAGGTGGTACCCGCACGGGGGCCCCGACCGGACGAACCGGCCACCACAGGGGTGGAGACGGACTGTACGTACAGCCGGTACCGCTCAAACTCCGCAGGCCCCAGACCTTCGCACAGGGTGCACCGGGTGTCCCCGCAAGGAACCCTGCACCGCGGGCAACGATCGTGGGGATCCCGGGACGACAAAAACTTTCTGCACACCCCACAACTCCGAGGAGCAGGGGTAGAGGGGGTGGATACTGGGGACATATCCATGTCAGACATTGATTGTTTGCTATAAACAAAGAACAAAACATGGTTACAACGCACGCACCACAATGATTCACAAACGAGCATTTTCACAAGAATAAACGAGCAATGTGAACATATAACATACACATATAACTTTTATTAAAGAAATAAGTTATGTTAACCCCCAAAACAGACAAGAACAGGGGAAACGTAAACACAACGTGCATACGCGAACCCCGCAAGTATATAGAAAAAAGGGCGGGAAAATTATAACCAAGTGTAGCTACCGCAACGCCCCCATAAAAGCACAGTTTATTAGAGAATAAACTATAATAAATATCACCAAATCTTCAAGGAACGCTTCAGCAGGAGAAAACACGTCTTGCTAAGCAGACGAAGGAGACAAGAGTGAAGGGTGTCACATGGCAGCTAGGTGGCTACGCACGTGCTGCATGAGGTAATTGAGACCTCTGTGGTAGATTTCGCTATAGCAGCAGTTGTGGGAGACAACAGCCTCGGTATAACAGTGGTAACGTATTACTTAATGTAATACAACTATTTGCAATAATGTGAGAGTATAGAAATCAAACTATTACCTGAAGAAATCAAAATATAAACATATCAATGAAAATGACAGACGATTTCAATCAAAGGCCTGAACAATTGATGTAAATTTGCAATCAAAGATCACACCTGATGAAATAGTTAGCCCATGTTTTGTAGTACGGTCCACCTGGCTGACCAATCAGTGACCCCTTCCCAGTCATGTTGTTGTTTGTCTTCATCCATGCTGGGGCACTCCATGGACTTCCAAATATGGAAATCTTTCGCTGACTCATGGCCATCGCTTTCTGTACTACAGGAATCTAAAATAATAGGAAAGACTGATTTCCTTTTACACCATTTCTTGCAACATCACAGCAATGTTATGGTGAGTGATAGAAGAGAAGAAATTTTATACATCACAATCAGCCAATCAGTGTTGTGTCTTCGAAATTCTTGTTATGAGAGAATATTGAGAGTAAGTATTGAGACAAGCATATCTGATTTCTGTATCTAGAAAACAATTATAACTGATTGCAAAACACATTGTAGCAGATATGTCACCTACACCAGAAGGGTGTCCTTTCGAGGGTATATCTGTTAGTAAAAAGTAATGAAACTGAATTGTATTACAAAGCTGACATCTGATTGGCTCAAGAACCTAGACATCCTTCATCTAGATTGGGTGGTCAAAGTTCACTCGGGCAACCCCTGACGCCACCTTCCATGGAGGCTCCTCGGATCTTGACACAAAGATGTATCTATCAGAGTAAGATGATCGGATTTGAAGGAGACTGAGAATGCTGCAGGTTCTTGTCAATGATCTTACCTTGTATTTGAGATCATCAGGGGCTAGTGAGAACTGAGTAAGGTTGAAGTCATTGGGATGGTCATCATATGAGTAGGGGCGTGTAGAGAAGTCACAGCTCGCCATCGGGATACGACCAGTAGTGTACTCAATACCTAGCAACAAAACACTGTGAGATGTGGGGAGAATTTCAGCTATCACGGTTATATTTTGTCTCTATTTCAAATTGGGGGAAAGCCTGAGGTGATGCAGGTCATAGATGCTTAACACTTGGTGAAACCCATGCGCATTGACTTACACAGGTCCATAACCCATGTGCATTGACGGACACAGGGTCATAACCCATGTGCATTGATGGACACAGGGTCATAACCCATGTGCATTGACGGACACAGGGTCATAACCCATGTGCATTGATGGACACAGGGTCATAACCCATGTGCATTGACGGACACAGGGTCATAACCCATGTGCATTGACGGACACAGGGTCATAACCCATGTGCATTGACGGACACAGGGTCATAACCCATGTGCATTGACGGACACAGGGTTATAACCCATGCGCATTGACGGACACACAGTCAGGAGAACTAAGGGATGTAACTCTGCATAATGACTTACAATCCTAATATCTGGCATCAAGTCTGCAGCGTATGTCAGTGAAAATTACCACATGGGAACCAAAACTTTTCCAATTTATGTTAATTTAGGTATAACAAATGTTATGGCTTTGTCAAGGTGACTTGGATCTTACTGATCAATATATATCAATTGGACAAATAAAGAGGAAGAGCCTTAAACACTTAACTGTACATTATTAAAATGCAATGTTAATACCATTTGTTTCCTAATTTACCTGCCAAAGGTACTTAGTTTGGAATCCTGTGCAATTCCCAGGTTAGACTACTCGACCACCCATGCCCCTCGGAGCGAAGGATTTTCATCACTGACCATATTAAATAAAAGTTTAACAAAACACTTTACTCCTATACAGCACTGTACAAGAACAGACATCCTGGTTCTGTGTATAGCAGACTGATAATATGAGAACATTAACATCAGTTGTCATTCAACCTTGATTTATTCCATTTACCTAGGGGGAACAGGTAGCCCAGTCGTCTAAGACGTCACAATTAAATGTACAGATTTGCTTCCCTTGGGCATGCCAGAAACCTATCATCATGGGTTTATCCCAATTATACTTCAAGGGTTTCATCAAAGTGTAAACGTCTGAGACGTGCATCACTTCAGGCCTTCTCCCCACATCAAGCTGACATGCAGTGATATAACTGGAATACTGTTCAAAGCGGCTAAAAACCCAACTCACCCACTTACTTGGTGAGAAATTACCACAAACAAATACAAAGCATCATTTGCCACGTACCTGATGGAGCGAAGTAGGAGGAGATGAGGTTGTCCTGAGCCTTGGGGGGCAGAGTCAGGATGTTGATGCCAGCAGCGTCTGTGAAGGCCCCACCAAACCCAATCACAGTCTGGAATGTCTCGGTGCGGTTGATTGTGTAAGTATCTGCAAGGAAATAATAGATGATAAAATTCCAGGATTTTAGGAAAATTACCTGATTCAATAACATCACTGAAGGAAAAGGATAACAAAAGTAAAATCATCAAAGGTATAAAGTTGCTTGATTTAAGGAAAATCACCTGCCTCAATCAAATAGAAGAAATAAACTACTTGAGACAATCAAAAGGATGGCAAAAGGCCAGCCTTTTCTTCTGAGCTAATATGTTTTTGCATGTAAAAAGGTCTGTATAGGCGACATTGATTATCTGTTTCCTTTGGTCCTGTTGAATGTCCTGTAAGCACATTTAGTTTGGTTTGCATATGGCAGAACAATAAATTATTTGCTTTGCATATTTCACTTCCTTCCACATCACATTTCCTTAGGGGTTGGTGGGTCCATAAACAAGTTTGATAAAAATCAGCACATCGTATTGCCAAAAAGGGCTCAATCTATGACATTAAACTTAAGACACTACCGAAAAAGATCAACAAATGTTGCCAAACCTTACAGAAGTCCTTTAGGTTGAAACTTACATTACATATATTTTTATTTTAGTACCGTATTCGACGAAATAAGTGCCCAGGGCACTCTTAAAATTAGAAATAGGGGGCACTTATTAGAATTAAATTTTGGTGAAAAAAAAACAGAGTTGAAAGATCATAAATTTTGTGGTTTATGCTGACAGCCTGAAATGATACAAAAGAAAAGTCTTTGTGTATTATACATGACAGATATATTTTTCCAGAATTTAATTGCCCATAAGGTGCATATAACACACGAGTGTGTATTATACACAAATAAATAAGTCTTGTGTACATTGATCAGTTAGAAGGAATTGGGATCGTTCTCTAGCCAATATGTTAGCAAATATCGCTGTGGGCACTTATTAGAGCGGAGCGCTTTACGTTGAATACGGTATATGTTATCAGTACTTCAACTTATAGACCCGTGAAGATTGGGGGTAGAATAGGTAATCAGCAACTCATGCTTGCTGTAAAAAGCGACTATGCTTATCGTAAGAGGCGACTAACCGCATCAGGTGGTCAGACTCGCTGACTTAGTTGATGCATGTCATTGTGTCCCAATTGCATGGATCGATGCTTATGATGTCAATCACTGGATTGTCTGGTCAAGACTCGATTATTTACAGACCGACATCATACAGCTGGAAAATTGCTGAGTGTGGCGTTAAACAAACAAACAAAACTTCCACTTATAAGCCAGAAGAGGCAAAGACATCTAGTTTCAGAGATCATTTGTAATTACACTTACTAGTTTAAACATTTTAAATATTAGGATTCAATTAATTGATTGCTAAATTGAAACTGTATTAGATGCCTCCCAATTTCCTACCCATCATGCGCAAAGCAATAACTTACAAGATCCTGTTGCATTGGCTTCAAACTTGACAACTTGCTTGTCCAGTCTGTGTTGCTTTGACGATGAGGTGTACTGTGCCATCATCCCACGAGTCAGTGGGGTATTAGCTTCCACTGTGTCACAGCTCACCTCGTTACACACACATACAAAAGACCCTTTCCCATAATCCTTCTTGGTACATGGAGTTGGAGCTGAAATCATGACATAAAAACATTGTTAATACTGTCTGAGTGAACAAGTAGATGTACCATGCTATCATGCTATAGGTATCACACATATTGGGGTATCGGTTAATTAATACTGAGCAATTTTGATTAGTATACAAATTACAAACTTCAGTATGTTCATCGGTGTAAGAGAAATAGACAAACAAACAACACATTGCTGTTACCGTGGTTACTACCTAACCTGCCCACCAACATCCGTGTCATCATGATGGGTGCAGGCTAAAACGGCACCTCAGCAAAACGTCACCGAATTCTCTGGCGAAAACAGCACCGCATTTGGCGAAAACGGCTACTGTGTGACGGCACCTCTGTTTTTAATAACGATTAGAACGATTTATGTTGCCAGAGTCACCAGGGACTTCCTCCAGCAGCACAACATCCAAATCATGCCTTGGCCTGCCCTCAGTCCGGATTTGAATCCCCCATGACGAACAGGTCTGGTTGTTGATGAAATATAGTGATAGCTAAATAGACAGATTTTGTATTCATGCACTGATTGTCTTTAAATGTAATATCCTGTTATGTATGACTGTTTAATAATCTCATACCAACTTTGACTGGAGTAGGTCCGATAGTTTTTCAGGTATTGTAGTAAACGTTGATACCTTAAATTACCTTCCAGACTATATATATACAGTTCTTCACAGTTTTCATCTTCATCTCATGTTTACAATATCGGCCCATGTACCACCGAGCTTTGTGATAGTAGCTGACTCAGGGGGCTAATTTCTAATGTAAACTTGTTTGAACTTTTCACAATTATTGGTGTTTGTAAGCGACGATGTAAGATTAATTTCATTTATTTTACTTCAAAGCATATAATATTTTCACAATAAGTTACTTGCGCCTCCCAATCAGAGTCGGCGAGTAAATTGGAGTAGGGGGCTAATTTCTTATGTAAATTTGTTTTAATATTTCTCTATCATTGGTGTTTGTAAGAGACGATGTGAGTTTAATTTCATTTATTTTACTTCAAGGCATGTTATGTTTTCACAATAAGTTGAGTTGCGTATAGGCTAAGTAGGAATATAGTTGGAGTAGAGGCTAATTTCTAATGTAAACTTGTTTTAACATTTCACAATTATTGGTGTTTGCAAGCAACCATGTAAGTTTAATTTCATTTATTTTACCAAGGCAATAGTAGCCGTTTTCGCTTGAGGCGAGGTGACGTTTTCGCCAATCGGTGCCGTTTTCGCCAGGTGCCGTTTTGCTGAGGTGCCGTTTTAGGTATAACCCATCATGATTACAACTAAAACTGGGACTGTACCCGGTAACGGGTTGATATAGATGGACTGGAGTAACCTACCCTAACCTTAACACAACTAACCCTAAGGATCGAAGTGGCATGCGAGATCTGTGAATCAACAGCCACAGTCAGCAGCCTGAGCCAATTTGTGCTATAGTGGGCTGCGCCCGGTAAACTGCATCGTAAAATTTTCATTGAAAAAACAAGGCCAATTTGTCTGCATAATACAAGATTTTTAGCCAGATGTAAAAATATATTAGCCATACATTTTATTATTATAATTTATTTATTCATTTTAATTATTATTATTATTTGGGGGGGTATAATAACAATAATTAAAAACATGCCCATGACATGAGGGATATTCTGTGTTCGAGAATATATGTCATTTATAGTTCAATAGCAATTGATCAATAGTAATTCGACTCATTGTCAGTTTCCATGGTTGGTGTATCATAATGTATAGATGTAGTTGTTAGGTTTTATTCCTTGTTCTCTCTTTCATTTTTTTAGTTAGATGTCAACGTATAATTCCTTTGGTATTTTATTGGATATTTGGAAAACAATTGACTGCTTGACTTGTGATTGCCGCTATCCCATATCACATCTAACGAAGGTCTTTGGGATAATTTTCTGGAACACATTATGTCTTGAAAACGGGGAAGCACACACGAAAGTATTTACCTAAGGACACAGCACAAATTAGGTGCGCCACAAAGAAAAAAATCCTCATCTTGTTTACAGTTTACAAGTCTTGACTGTCATGTGATTCTGATAGAGTTTTCTGAGAGTTATCCCATTTTCAATTTTGTCCACTAGGTGTCGCTATTGACTTCTACAGTTTCGCAACTACGTGCGCAACCGCCGGAAATCATTGTCATCACATATCAAAGATAGACTTACTCCCAGTCTAATTTACATTTTGTTCTGTAATCACCTACAACATACATAAATAAACTCCCTAAGCAAGCATAGTTTAAATTATATAATATTACCAATGTACGTGAACAAATGTTTGTATTAGAAACCGTATGCAACAATTCAAGCTATCTAATCGTTCAGTAATTCGTTTATTTTTTACGTAAGTGTTTGTAAATTTCATCACGTGACCGATAGCGGGCTTTCCAAACTGACAGGTGCCCTGAAATCGACAATGTAAAATTGAAAATAACATGACAACACTACAACTATTCAGAGCTCTTAATGATGGAAATTTAACGTAAGAATTCAGGATTTGTAACTTCCTTTGTCTGGTTATTTTCATCGAGAATAAAATAGATTAATCCTTTATGTCTTAGATAAGAGATCGAGTGAACATCTAGACATGATAGACAAGAATAGTGAAGTATTGACTTTCAGATCCTTGATGGTCAAGGTTCTTCTCGTCAGTCCGGGAAACTTTAAAAATCAGCTGTTACGACAGCATATTTAATAAAACAATACAGTGTCAGTGAGATAATATATTCAAATAAAACAAAAAAATTAGAGAGATGTATTAATAAAGCATTGTGGAATTTCTTTTAGTAAGACGGTCCATACTAAGCTGATTCTATGAGTATATATATATATATATGGATAGACAGAAACCAAAGATGTTCTTGAATAATATTACCTTTTTGGAGTCATGCGCTAATTCATTGATTACTGCTGCTGAACCAGCCCACGAGTGATATCTAAGTGATGTGTGCATTCAGATTAAATAATGGAGTGGCAACACTTCCAAACACGGGGGCTAAGTAACATTTGAAAAATAGTTTTTATTATATAAATATGAAATGAAGTTCATCTTCCTAGAAGAGATGCTTTATATGCATTGTGTGTGTTTTTCTCCTTTCATGACATTTATTTTCTACAAGAGATACACATTATATTTTTACAGATGTGCCCGTCAGCTGCTTGAGGATGGCGCTGACCCAAACCATGTGTTGGAGGAAGGAGGTGTGGCGGGCGTGGCCTCCATGCACATGGCAGCAGGACTCAGTGCAGATGCACTCAGGCTATTGTTAGAATATGATGGAGATCCAAATGTTAGGTAAATATCTAAGCATGGTAATAGGATTATAGTTATCCTCACTGTCATTTTCAGTTTTTTAGAATTATATAATTCCTGAACCAGATGATCCATATGGACAAAAATATGTTATATGATCATATTAGGTAGGTTTAAAGAAAGTTGTGTGGTAGTTTACATCAAAATATCTATAATAGGATTAGTTGCTGTTAGGGCTGAGACAGTCCAAATTTACTACCTGGGTACCCACTGTAGGTCTCAATTGGTGGGTACAAAATGTCCCATGGGGAATTGTTTTAATGGAGCCCAAGCGAAACTATTGAGATAGATGTATAAAATGATCTGATCATGCATGCCTTGAAATTGTCTGAAGCTTTATCTTCACTCAGGCATATAAAAGTCAGAAGGAATACATGCACAGTACATGCAGTAAGGTGGTAAAAAAGAAATTAGCCACTTGTGGTGTGATCATGGAATTTTATTGTTATTGTCATTTAACAATATGTCACGTGACTAACCATAGGTCCAGGTAGTCCTGTGGGTATCCGGGTCCTACTCAGGACCCAGTGCTCAGACCCGAGTACCTGATTTACCCGTCCCAGCCGTAGTTGCTATGTTGCATGTATTTTCTATTACTAGTATTAGTATAGTGTTTGAATAACAGAAAAGTAAACAAAGTAAACAATCTAATCTGTAGTAAAAGTGTTCATAATCCGATATTCAAGTGTGTTCATGTATTTCAACATGATCATAGGGCCAGTTTTTAGTTTTTGGTTGACTAATTCATTGAAGGTGATAGAAATAAATATGAAAGACATTGTTGTTACTCTCTGTTATGAACCCTGCACTTACGTTGGAGAACTAACCCTTGTAGATGTATGCTGTGTTTCTTTGTTTTGGTTTGTCATGAAGTGTATGATCAACTCATGTGTGACTTGGCTGAGTAGGAGTCATGAGTACTGATGGTTTTAATCGTTGTTCATGCTATCACCCACTATTCATCCTCAGTTATACGTTGTATTTCTCAATTCTGTAATGGTTAATACCTGGCACCCCCTCACTACAAAAAGTTCATTTGGAAAGTAACATAACTTCTTCATCTCTTTGACTTCAGAACAATTTCTTCTTTAATTTTAACTCTGATTTGTTTGGACAGCATTTATGAACATTGTGTCATTCAAACTTTCTAGCCTCGAAAAATCATTACACCCGATCTCATTACAGCATCACCATGGTTACCACCTAAACAAATGGGTCACGCACTGTAATCCTGTGCATAGCGACCTTACACAACCAGATCACCTGACATAACCTGCCATATCATTCTCTATCTCATTGCCACGGTGTGATGACATGCCTGCGTCAGTAGAGAATAATTGTTTGGTTTTTGTTGGCAATCAACCTCTGATGGATACATCACTTATACAGCAGTTTATTATGGGAACTGACAAAGAAACGACTGGCTTGTCAACAGTGTAAACCCACGTTTTCATCCTACGATCCCCATACTTCATGCTGCGATTGTCACAGTTTCTGGAAGCCTGAACGCCGAAGTTCTCTGTGCTCCTATTTATCGGAGGAAGATTTTCAGAACTTTATTCGCAAGTGTCAAGTGCACACCGTTGACCAGCGATCTAAATCCAGAGACCCTGAACATGGATCATCATCGTCTAAGATGCTGAAACTAGTTACTAAAGTTACTCCAAGAATATGGCAGTCAAAGAACCACCCTCATCTACCGTCACTTCATATCAGTTGAAGATGATACCGTATCTGATTCCTGCCAAAACTTCCACTACAACTGGTCCCAGTGTACCAGACGACAAATGAGCAAGACCGATCAGAACTTTCGGATCATCATCATTTGGATCGCTATTGACACAAGGCCAGATCTCGATCCTCAGATTCAGATCCACAGCCACATCACAGCTGGGATGGACATCAATACCCCTCACCTCCATATCAAAATCATCATCTATTCAGATTACCTCTAAATGTTGGATTACTATTGACATCAGGATTGACATCAACAATCATCACACCTGCAAGGCACTTCACATGTAGACAGACGTCAGAATCCACTGTCCCACAGCAGATCTCAGTCTCTTACTCCATCTCCTGATTGTACTCAATGGACCCAACTCTTGGATACTCATACCAGGAAAGATCCGCTACTTCTTGGGATCACCCTGTCATCTATACGGATTAGACTTGCTTTAGCAAGCCATTACTTCAGCTTGGCAACACCAGTCCAGCGAGGAGACCTTACCTCCTCCGGACACAACAACTGACACCTTATCTTCTATTCATGGCGCTCTTGCTAACACTATGGACCCAGCTCACTGAGATGCTACAACAATACAACCAGACGTCACTACAGAGAACCAGGCCTCCCTCCCTTCCTCAACAGGAAGCTTTGATAACGTGGATCCTTCGGATACGCTCCTGTGGATTGTTGATAAGCTAAAATTACAGAAAGATCGTCTGTCGGGCTTCGTAGTTACAAACTCTGCTTCATCTAGCATCACCTTACCTCCCAAGCCAGTCTGTTCTGGACCAGGCTTTTGCATTATTCCACATACAAAAGGACAAGGTGTTCCTCCTAGATTCAACTTGGCAGATTGCGGTACACTTGTGATGTCAGCTACAGTTATGGTACCAGAACAAGACGGGGACATTCACACATCTAGCGACTCTATTATTGAAGACCAGGAACTCTCCCACCTGGATACTACTGTCCGTCGTACGCTCCTGCTAGTAACCACCATTTTGTCTGCTACTAAAGCCATAGCCATGTCTCTTATGCACTCCAGTCCAAGTCTTCTGAGAAAGCTCATATAAGAGGTGCTATTGGGCTAAACCATGATAAATTCCAGGGAATTATGGACTTTTTGTCTCACTATATGGGTACCGTTTAAGGCCAAGACCATACCTGAAGCTCATAACACTTCCACTAAGGCCTTAAATGATCATAAGTGGAAGGCCTTTGAAGGAAACTGTTGTACACATGACATCACAGCTCCAACCACTGCGTCACGGCTACAAGTTGGCGAGTATTTACAACACTTACGGTCTACACGGAAGCTCAAAGGTCCACCCTGGCTACTTATCTTGAGGCCATTAATTCTGTGGTTGCCACTACAACAGGCTCTAAGTTCTCTACGATTGCAGGGTTACAGGCTCTCATTAGCTCCTCCAGACTTGCAGACCTATACTCCCGTTTTTGTCCACCTACTTTGGACCTTAATGTCATTTTACGTCATCTAACATTGGAGGTCAATGAACCCCTTGAAGAGAAGGATTTTGAGCATGTCACCCTGAACAGGTGCCCGAGTTAGCGAAATCCATGCTCTTGGCGTCACCAGAGTCCAGTTTGAGAGGCAGCATCACAGAAAGTTCAACCTGGGACTTCGTTGGGATTTTATTGCGAAGAATCAACTTCCAGGACAACCAGATCCGTTGTTCACCACCCCTTCTCTAGTATTCATCTTGAATCCAGATGATCATGAAGACATCTCCTCATGCCTGGGTAGAGCTCTCCACATTTACCTGCAGGCTTCACCAAGAATACGATACTCCCGAAAGAGACTCGTTATCATGATTATCCCGTTATCCACAGAGGTCAACACAGAAGTCTCCCGTACAACAGTTTCCTTTTGGTTATGCTCAGTGATTCTACAAACATACACCTTTGCAGGATTACCTCCCCCAGCAACACGAAACTAGAGCTGTCACCTCGACAATGGCGTTAAAAGTATGATGTAGTAAAGGCACGTTTTTCGACATCATGGCAGGGTGCTTCTGGAGTCTTCACTTGCCATCATCTGTGTGACATCTATGTCACAGACAGTTTGGTTCTTTGATCCTGGCACGAAAATTGACGGCAGCTCCTCAGCGCAGATGAAGCTTCATCATACCTCCATCGGCTGAATTGTACATCATATCTTGTACACACTGAAATAAGTGTTGTTCATTGTCTTTACACGTTGGGTTCCCAGACTGAGTAACCACCTTAGGGTAAAGAAACTCATCTGTAGAGACTTAGGTCTTCAACATTGGAGTTGCCGCAATCCCCGGTCGATTTGGCGGTGTCCCAAATCCTTACCTGCTCACCTATGCCTTCAGGTCTCAGTATTGGTTTGAAGATCCTCTTATATATGGATGTTGTCGATCGTTACCTCTTCTCGTCGAAGCATTCTTCAATCCTGTGGGCATTGTTGTCTGGTTGATAGCTCTGATGAAGCGTACCAAGAGATGTCAAGCTGGCTTACCCTACTGTCTGTAGGAGATAGCGTGTGTGGCCCGTCTTGTAGAACTAATTGACTGGAGAACTGTTCCATATTGGTTACAAGTTGTAGCTGATAAGGCTCCCTCCTTCTAAGCTAAATGGTCATTCTTGGCACGATGTCCTACATGAAAATCAAAACACATTTACTACCGGATATCATGATGTTTATGTACTAGTAATGTATAGGGGTTTTCTCACTTTTTCTAGCGTTCAGCCAATGACGAGTTCATGTCTTTTGACACTAAACTGTGTACCAGTCATGTGGTTGAAGCATTGTTTAGCACCAGCTTCCTCAAGTACATCTCACGACTGTAGCCTAATACAGGCTCAGGTGTCTGCACCCCACCATCCAACCGTGGGATAAAATGCTTAGTGTTAGAGAGGCTAAGTTTAAATAAATTGTATATTTATGAACTTATCCTATCATACACGTTACATGCCCACCCATCCAACCCCGCATCACAGTTACACCAGCTTGTGCGCTCTGAGAAAGAGAATGATGTGGCAGGTTATGTCAGGTGATCAGGTTGTGTAAAGATGGCAATGCATGGGATTACAGTGTGTGACACATTTGTTTAGGTTGTGACCATGGTGATGCTGTGATCTGTTCGGTTGTAAGGTTTTTTTTAGCTGGAATCTTTCTTCTAGGGATTTTCCACACCAACATCAAAAGAAGGAGAAATGCATAGTGTGAGATAGAATAAATCTCTGAATATACAATTTTTTTAGATTTTTGTTGTTGTTGTTTGTTATTATTGATATAAAATCATCAAAAGCTGCCGTAATACCATGTTAAAGTTATGGTAATTTCTATGAAATTTGTCAGGCTAATAGTGTATGAACCTGGACAATTGAGGATGTCTACTGGTTTCATAGCCAAGATTTCATCTGCCAGCTCTGGTCATGTGAATGGAGTATTGGTGTCTGCAATGCAACATTCACTCTCTGACTGACTTTCTATGCTGTAGATCTATCGAGGGTCTGACGCCGCTGCACATCGCAGCTACATGGGGAGAGCTGGACAGTGTCAAACTCCTGCTCTTCAACGGAGGAGACCCAAGTCTCAGGGATCAGGTATTGTATTGCATTACGCAATCACACTTTTTTAATGCCATGAAACCACTTGTTCCATAGAATCAGTTTCATTTCATTTCTAAACAAATGAATGCTGTAAATATTTATCACCATTCGGCAGGACTCAAATGATACACTAGAATTAATATGCAATATCCTTTGTCGTGTGCTTCCTTGATATGGAAGAGCCACAGTGAGGTGGCATGCTTCCCCAAGTAAGCTTTAATTATCTTACAGTACTTACCTGTCTGTTCAGGGCAGGATGCAAGCTGTAAATGTCGGGCGTAGCTACAGCCACAGTGCAGTGAGGTGGTGTGCTTCCCCCAGTAACCTTTAATTATCTTACAGTACTTACCTGTCTGTTCAGGGCGGGATGCGAGCTGTAAATGTCGGGCGTAGCTACAGCCACAGTGCAGTGAGGTGGTGTGCTTCCCCCAGTAACCTTTAATTATCTTACAGAAATGACCTGTATAGCTGTTTAGGGCGGGCTGCAAGCTGTAGATGTCAGGCGGAGGTACAGCCACAGTGAGGTGGTGTGCTTCCTCCAGTAACCTCTAATTATCATACAGTACTTACCTGTCTGTTCATGCCGGGATTCGGACTGTCAATGGCAGTAATTACTGTCTGTTAAGGACGGGATGCGAGCTGTAGATGTCTGGCGCAGCTACAGCCACAGTGAGGTGGTGTGCTTCCTCCAGTAACCTCTAATTATCATACAGTACTTACCTGTCTGTTTAGGACGGGCTGCGAGCTGTAGATGTCGGGCGGAGCTACAGCCACAGTGAGGTGGTGTGCTTCCTCCAGTAACCTCTAATTATCATACAGTACTTACCTGTCTGTTTAGGACGGGCTGCGAGCTGTAGATGTCGGGCGGAGCTACAGCCACAGTGAGGTGGTGTGCTTCCTCCAGTACTACTCCCTGCTGCTGATCCCAGAAGGGGAGGAGGGGGAGACCGAGCCCAGATATACAAGTAGGGATCCAGTCCATCTTTCCATACTGCATCATTTCATTCTGATAAATATATGTGGGAATACATGTTTGAGGCATATGGACATCAAAGGTGTGAATTTTTAGAAATTCATCTTCCAACTGGAAGATAGCAATTAAGAGTGAATTTTTAGCTGACAACTAAAGTACAGTTTTAAATGTACATCATACATACAGGCTTTTTCTGTCCTGTTTTGGTTTTGATTTTTGTTTTCTAGCAGAACTGTGTTCAGGATATCTCCGTGAATCTTTGTTTATAAAGACCATGTGGTGTAGTTGTTTTCTCTACAGAAAGACTGTATCTACTTGTCTGTACCCATTAGGCCAGTCAATATTCCGTATATTCATCAATATGCAGTTTAGTTCTATTCCTTTAGCAAAAGAGTAAGCATGCTGAGAAGGTATGAAAAGTAGAAATGCTCATTCTAGAATATCTCATTTCAGGAGAGAGCCTTGATGCTGGGAGGGACAGCCTGTCCCAGAACACAACACCAGATGTCCTCAACGTGTCCTTCCAGGAGGACGACTGCTCCCCTGACCAGTCACTGACCACTATTGCCCGCCGGTCCAGTGTCTACACTACAGCCCTACAGCGGAAACTTGACCACTGTGTCCAGCATGGAGAACAAGTCTGCATGGACGTCACTTCCCCCAGGCATCCATATCTAGAAAGGAAGTCCCGAGGTACAGACGGGCAGGAAGTTTCCAATGGGAAATGTGATAGGGACTCAGAGTGGATTCCTAGGAAACAGACATGCATGCATCAGGAGTCAAAACAGAGAACATGTAGAGGCCTGTTTCAGGGGGAAGGAGACAGATGTCGGAACTGTGATGGAGACAGGCATGAAGAGTATTGGAGGATTTGTGAGGACTGTGGGCATCATCGGAGAGGCAGACATTGTGACCACAACAGCCATGTATCTTTCACTGATAGTGATCCTGATTGCTGGGAGGGGGGTCGGGGGGATGAGGTGAGGGACAGGTTGAGACACTTCCACAAATCCTGTGTGAGGATTAGAAAGCCTATGGATAATAGTGGGTGCTTTCAAGAACATTGCAGCAGGTGTGAACAAACATTGTCAAGTGACTGTCATCGTTGCAGCAAAAGTAGCCCATATTGTCACAAAGGTTCAAGGCAGGGCATTAATTATTGTGACTATGGACATGAATCCAGAGATGGTCTCAGTCGGTCATATGACCCTGGCCAGTTGAATCATGGTTATTATGGCTATGAAGGTTCTACACAGAACACTGTGAAAAAGATACCAAAGAAGATACCCAGTGATCCAGGGTCAGTTGCCCCAAAGTGGACCCTCCTGAAGGACAAACAGGAGACATCGGCTGAGAAAGTGGGAAGGTGGCAGTCATCACTGCGCAGTGGCCTGCACAAACCACCTCACAGTGAACTGGGACAGAAGTCTTCTTCAATAGATGATGCACACTCCAGTCCATCCAGATTTATTCATTCACCAAAGTTGTCAGAAGTGACAAGCCCAATGTCACCAAATTCATCACCTGGTAGGTTCTTTCCCCCCTTGTTTGATCATCTGTACAATGGTGTTTCTCCTGGCGCAGTACATGATGTGACATCAACACAATCTGATGACAATGGAAACAGTAACTCAAGGCAGGAGCACTATCCCAAATCTAGTTTGGGTTGTGCAACTCCAACCACTTCTGGAACTGGTTCAAGAATCTACAGTGGCAATTCTGGATCCAGTCATTATGCAGCTAGTCCCAGAACTCCAGAATCCAGATCCAGTTGCAAGTCGGCTCCACGAAGATCCAGCATGTACACCCAGAATATCCAGAGGGAGCTTGAGGGGTATCTGCAGGAGGGCCACCAGGTGTGTTTGGATGTCACATCTCCAGGGCATCCTTTTGTAGACTTCAAGTCAAAAGAGTTGCATGGAATTTCAAAAGAAAAAGAACCTGATGCCTGGAAAGTATCCTCTCCTGTGGAGAGGGTCTATCATGTCAGATCAAATGCAGATGCTTCTCCTGTAGCTCGGGGTAAAAGACTCAGCACAGTCAGTAGTGTGTCAGCGTCTTCTTGTGACACATTTGTCACATGTGAAGATGACACAGAATTCACCCTTGTTACACCCTTAGATCCCACTGTTAACATGGATAGTCAGTCATTCTCCAGTGAAAGTTCCAAGGACAGCATTGTGCTGAATGTCAGGGCGGCAGTGACTGATGAAAATGAGAGTGGTTCCAAGAACAAATATGGAAGAAATAACAGTTTTGGGATTAGTTGTCGTGTCTATGATAATGAAGACAAAACAGAGTGCAAAGTTGTCGTGACAGAGCAATCCAAGAGGAGAGACAGTGGTCCAACAAGTCTTCGACTTACTAGTCCAGTGAAACATGACCGTCATCCATCTCATCCATCACTAGATGATGAACTGGACCTCACTACCGACGTCAGACACAGAAATGCCTTCAAAACCATGTTACAGACTGATATTCGAAGCTTTAGTCCCAGCAAACACCATTGGCAGCCCCCAGTTCCTGATGAAGTTCTTGATGTCAGTGACCTCATAACATCAGATGATAGCTTCAATCACAGGACAGAGAAGAAACAAAATAAATCAGACAATGTTAGTGGTAATGTAACCAAATACAGCTCTTGTGTGAATGATCTGGAAGGATCTTCTTCCAAATGGCTTCCACCATCAGTTATGAACATACTGGAAGAAACAGATCTGATTTCATCAGATGAAAGTTTCCAAATTCGTGAAAGGGAGAAGAAAGCCAAAGCTAATGACAGGATCACATCCCTAGTGGAAAAACTGGGAAAAGTTTCTGTGAATTCTGGGATGAGAACCTCTCCAGTGAAATCTGGAAAGAGACTGTCTCCAGTGAAGCCTGGAAACAAACGTGTGTCCATGGACAGCTTCTGCAGCAATGCCTCGGTCAGGGAATATCTCTACAAGGACAAGGAGAAGGGGATCACCCTGTTGGAGAGGTATGTTCCATCGGAGTGTGAGGAGGGCAGCACTAGGGAGTCCCTGGACAGCACCTGCAGCACCTTCACCATCAACTCTGAGGACACCGAGATCTACGACTGGCAGGACTATCAGTCCGACACAGATGACGGCAGGAAGGTGACTGGCCAGAAGATCAACCAACCCAAGACGGATGGTGATATAAAGAAGCCTGCTATCCCGAGACATCTGAGTCAGCTCTCTAACCAGCAGATACGCAAGAAGCTGCAGAGTCTTGGGGATGATCCTGGCCCAGTGATGGCGACAACGCGGCAGACCTATCTGGTCCGACTTGCTAGCTTGGAAGCTGATCCTACCAGAACTCACACGATAAAGCTGACAGTTGATGGACCAGGTTAGTGTTGAGATCCTTTTTTTGTGATAAGTTAATCATGAAATAATATTGGGTGATAGTGATTAGTACAACAAGGACCATATAATGTTGGGAAAGAACTTTCATAATTCATTCTTAAGAACTGTTTATGGTTAATAAATTGGAATTGTTTTTCTTTGTTGTGACGAAACAATACATGTTTTACATATTTCAAAGGATTAATTTGGACTGTAAATAATGACCTGGCCTGTGTTCTATCTTCAGAGTATTCCCCTGAACTTCGGGCAGCTCTACAAAACAATCTTGACTTCAAAGGGGTAGATGACCTTGAGGACAAGTTGGTTGCCTCCTTCCAAAATACTCAAGGTCGTATTTGGCGGGAGGGGACTCTAAAGTCCTCCTTTAACTACCTGTTGCTTGACCCCAGAGTGACCAAGAACCTGCCATATAGGGCCAAAACACTAGGTAAATAGCCTGAATATGGTGTCTGTACAGCCGTTAAGTGTTGTCATCTACTCAAGTTTTTAAAAAGAAAAAGGTTCAGCATTACCAGTATTTATGGTTTCTTAGCATTGGCAAAATATTCAATAAAGATTCAGATCAACAGATTGCTGGATGTTCTAGTATATAATATGTTGTGGGTCATTACAAAGTTTGTGGCTATTTAAGTGTATGTTTTGATGCACTGACTGAAACATCAAAACAAAGCCCAGTGCTTGCTCCTCTCCTCCCTCTGTCCATCAATCACTCACTTGGTGCAACTATCCTGTGTGAATAATGATGATAAATCTGTTTCAGGAGAAAGTGAAATATTCAAGGCCTTCATCCATGCCATCTTCTATGTTGGGAAGGGCAAGAGGGCGCGGCCATACTGCCACCTGTATGAAGCCATCTCTCACATGCAGAAGCCCAAACCGAAGGTGGGTTGCTACAGAGTTGTGATTTCATCTTATCAGTATACTTCAGATATTTTCATTGCCTATTCAATATCTGTTCAGAAGGAAAATGGATGGTGACTTGATGACCATTCAGTAATCATCAAAGCCTATATTTTAAGTACTTGTCTCCTCCTGTAAGAACAACCTCTGGGGTTTTGTAAGCAGACTGATAAGCTTGTTGTTGTCATATGCATGTGTTCATGGTTTAACAGTGCAACAACTGGAGCTGATATTCACATTTCTCGAAACTGAACTGATGTTACCAATGACATAGTAGGGCTTGTCCTCCCACAATACCCTATGTTGTTTGTGTCATTGAAAAGGTTGCTTCCATTTATGATGATGATGCTTGAAAATCCTAATAACCAGGAGAAAATCAGAAAGCATGACTGGTAGGGTGTGACCATTTGATATTGGAGGGAGCACTATTTAGATCATATTTTCTTTGTTCGCTTCCAGCGCCCCCAGATATTACATTGTTGATCCCAAATTATTTGATGAGGTTGGCTCAGACATTTTTCCTAGAATATTGGTTGAACTGTATCAACGGGTGTCCTTTATTCCTGTACATATGATGTTCCTGTCTCATTTACCAGGTGAGCTCCAAGGTGCAGCACATTATTGATGTCTGGGATGAGGGTCTTGGAGTTGTCTCCCTTCACTGCTTCCAAAGTGTTATTCCTGTGGAGGCATACACCCGTGAGGCCTGCATGGTGGAGGCAATAGGTGGGTAGTCCAGATGTCACCAGCTCATGTCATTGGGGGGGGGGGGGTGTCCACGGGTGGCTTAGTCGTCTAAGGCGCCGCAATTCGCTGTGCAGAGTTGCGTCTCTTGGGCACAACAGAAACCTATGATTGTGGGTTCGAATCCTGGTTCGCCACAATTATGTTTCAAGATTTATCAGCACCATAACCGTGCCTGTGGGTTTCAACGAAGTGGTAAACGTCTGAGACCTGCATCACTTCAGGCTTTCCTCCCACATTAAGCTGACACGTCACGATATAACTGGAATACTGTTAAAAGAGGCGTTAAACCCAACTCACTCACTAACATCGTCAGCACAATGGACTGGATTCTTCTTTTGTTGTCTCAAATCAAAATCACATTATTGTAGGACCCATGAAGATCCGTGAAGGGTTAGAATTTATCTTCAGCAACCACTGCTTGTCGTAAGAGATGACTAATGGGATCAGGTGGTTAGGCTCACTGACTTGGAGGATTCATGTCATCTTATCCTGTAGATTGATGTTCATGATATCAATCACTGGATTGTCTAGACTCGATGATTTACAGACCACCATCATATAGCAAAAATATTTGCAGAATGCGGTGTTAAACAACGAACAAACAAATATTGTAGGAATGTGTACCTGGGGCCCGAAATACAAATTGTTCAAAGCGCTACGACTGTCATAACTGTCTAAAGTAATATAGACTTACGACTGTCATAACACTACGAACGCTTTGTGGATCATGCGCCTGACTGAATGACCATGAATTGGTTTAGCTCACTTGGCTGATCATGTGTGTTTGTAATTTGGCAGCATGAAATATCACTGGTTTCCTGGTTTAAAATTACTTCCAATGACATGACTGAAATGCACATATGCACTGATGCACATAAGGTTCAATAGTACCGGGGTACTTCTAATTGTAGGTTATGAAATAGCAAACTAAATCCATTTGTGTGATGAGGTTTGTTTCCATGTCCTGCAGGGCTGACCAAACTGACCAACATGAAGCGAGGGGACTATTACGGCGTGGCCTCAACTTGGTCACTGAACACAAAGAGAAAGATGGGGGTCCACCTACTGAAGAAAGCTCTTCAGATATTCTTGAGTGAAGGCGAGAGGCAGATATGTCCCGTGGATATAAAGGCTGGACTGTCATAATCTGGGCATTCATTAACTCTATTTCAACACACAGCAGTGTTCTGGGTCATGGATCCTAGGACCTCATGCATGCGGGGGAGTGAGTGACTGTGGACAGTATTGGACTGATGACAATCAAGGACAACCAACCCTCATCTGTCACATGTCATGCTCTGATGAGTGTTGCTCATCTTATCAACCATGGGTTTGCCTGGTTTAGACTGAAACTGTGTAGGCTGCAGTGAGACAGCAGGAACACTGCTGACTACATGTTGCATCCCAGTCAGTCAGTATCCAAATATCTACTGTTGGGGTGTTTCTGAAGGGAGGACATTTTGCTAAAGCTGTGAGTTGGAAGTGATGTTTTTGATATGCTGAACTTCCTAGCATGTTGTTTACCATTAATCTAGCTATCTGATTGACCAGTCACTGTCTTGTCAAGATCCATACAACTGTTTGGCTGGCATGGAATACCATTATGATTGTTGCAACATCACTTATACGCAATGTCACTATTGATTCATTCAAGTGTCAAAATGAGGGTGTCAGAAAGTAATTGAATGAATGCTATACAATAATAATAAGAATAGTGAGGCTATTCGCCCGTTGCCGTATCTGTGTTCATGTCATGGGGTTTAATTTTGTTTGTCTCCCATTTCGTTGTCAGTTCAACACTCATAAGCACCTGACTCATAGAACCAAATTAGTACTTTTTTTATGTAACCACGTGCTGACCGTGTGTTGACAGTGTGCCATGCATTGCCTTGCCTTGCTTGTACGGAGATACCAAACTGCCTGTAAATGGTCTTCAATAACTACCGGATATTTCTTCGTCTTCTTTTCAGAGGGGAATTCTTCTGATTTGTGGGCACAAGTGGCACAGGTGCCCAGTCGTCTAACATACCATAATTGTTGGTGACCCTTTGTCCATATAGTCAGGGCAGAATCCCATGATCTTGGTGTGGAATCCAAGGTTCACCTTGATCTGACTCTTGGTATGTCCTATACTTATGAGGAACATTTTACCCACAGAACTTAAGGACTAGGACTTTTGCAAATCTGTGTTAGCGTGAAGGACAATCCTTCTTATAGACCCCCTTAAAACACCCCCACCCTCCTACCCTACCCCCCTTTTGGAACAGTGTCTGTAAGATGCAACCTCTTTACATATCTGGGAAAGAACCTCCACCACTCATATCATTATGACCACTTGGTTATTCAGGATAACTATGCCCTGTAGACAGTTCAACATGGAGAAAACCGGTGATAATTTATCTTGCATGTAGGATCATGATGATTTTACAAGTTAGAGACAAACCTCGTCTTGAACGCACCAATATCTGGAACCTATGCTCCAGTCCTGACCGCCTTACGATATAATGTTATTCCTCTTTATCTAAAATGTCTGAATATCTCATAGTTACAACACAGTCCAGCTATGTTCTCGATAATGGTGTTCGATTGTAGTTTTTAACAGCTGATTTTCTAATTTATGAAGGACAATCACCATGTTAGTTTGTCATTCTGTTTTCTAAGGTATCTTGTAATGGGGATGTATATTGTTAATATATGAAAACCTTGTTATTGTAACCCAGAAAATATTGATGACTTTTCTTGTTGATATCTTGGACACCTTTGTGTCACCTTCTTGAATGTATGACTTGCTTCAGTCAAAGTCAAGGCTTTATTTGCCATGAGTTGGATGAAGAGTCGTGTGACTTGACATCTGACATGATGATATGGAGGGCCTGGCAAGAGCCTGGTTCATGTAGGGTAGATATACTGTTGTGTTATACTTATGCTTCGTGTTGACATGTCTCTATTCCTGGTGACTTTGAGATTGACAGTCTTCAACGGTGCTTCAACTTGTTACATGTTGGAACTTGCTTCCCTGCTAAAGTGCAAGTGTAGATTTCTGTGAGCTAGAACTGCTTCCTGTAATGATTTACTGTCCCCAGCTCCATGTAACTTAACATCCTAGAGCTACAACTGTCTTAACTCATTCCATTTACACAGATGTTCACTTGTCTGCATTCATCGTGTTAACTTATTCTATGATAGGTAATTTTCAAAACACTTCACAGTAAAAATACTTAAATATTTCACAAAAGCAGAGATAAAAAGACGTAATAAAAATCTCTTTTTCAATCAAATTAATATTTTTGCAACATTAGGGTAGATTGCATTTAAAATAAGCGCAAGAATAGTTGGGTCTGATGAAGTATAAGGGATCTTTTACAACAACAACAAAACAACAACTTTGAACAAGGTGTAAACATACCTCTACCTATTCTTTTAGTTTGATGGAAGCTCAAGAAAAAGAATGTAACCGTTTGGGAAGTTAGTGACTGGCTCTATACTGCAGAATTTTAAGTGTTATTACAGGATATGGATGGGTTGTAAGATGAACGCTTGTATATGCATGCCAGTTGTCTTGTTTTATAATATGGTTGAATAATTCAACTTTAATCACATTGACATTTCAACCACCATCCTTGAGTATCCAGTGTATTATGTTAAATACCCGCTGACCCATTCACTACCATAGCTTCGTTTCGTCACCATCACCATCACCATCATGTCATCTCATCTCTCTTATCACAAATTCTGCACAGAATTTCTCTCTCATGAGCTTGAAACCATCAACCAATGAAAATGAGAGTTCTGTATTGATCTACATTTACATATGTGGCATGGTATGTGCTAGCACTCGATAAATTTTATTTAACCAGAAGACTGTAGTTAATGAACTTTTAAATAGAAACAATGTTTTCCAATGGGAGGGATGTCGAGTGTTGGTGATATTGCTGTATTAGCTGATGCCACAGTTATTTTAAGTGTCATGTCATTCAAACCACACTCAAAATAAAACTATTGGGGCAAATGGGTTCAGTGTATTTATGATAACAATGAATATTAATACACTGAATTCTAAATATTTGTATTTTGAATGGAAATCCAAACAGGTTCTTCAGGTTATAGTAATTTTTTATTTCTTGACTAGACACTGCTAGAACACCCACATACATTACCATTAAAATTTAAGAAATGGAGAGATGAAAAACTGTGACTGTATATTACTATTTCAAGGCATGGAAAACATAGGGAGGCAAATCACATATTTACTTTCTGTTTCAGATTATTCATTTTCATCAGTCTAATCAGCATTATGTTTTGTTTGTTTTATTGTTGTTAGATTTTGTTAATGTATTGTTTATAAATTTTGTTAATGATGACTTCTGTCTAAACTGTTAATGGCAAGTGAATAAACCACATAATACCATGTACACTCCAGTGTGTGTGTGTGTGCTACCAATTCAGCACCGGTCTACACACAGTTGATCATGGATGATCTGTGTTCTTTGATTTAAATCATAAACATATTTACAGACACACTTTGAAAACAGAATTTTCTCTTTTCCCCCTAGGTATCCAGGAAGTACTTCTCAAGTTATTATCCCTACCGCAATGAATTTGGTGACAGTCATATCTAAATACTTAGGTCAAAATTCAAAGTTAGTCGTCTAGATATTTTCACTTACGTTCACTTGTGGAACTTTTAAACACAAATTATAAAGAAAGTTACCTGAAGAAAAATGTGGTTTAAGGCTGACTCTTTTCATATGTTTGTAGATGGATTGATGAATTATGCTCAAAAGACTTATTTTCATTAGGTTTTGACAAAACAAGACCTAATAAGCTAACAATAATGAGCATGACACAATGAATTTATCCTAGACTGTTAAGTCAATATGTGTGTCATCCACATGCAAGTATTTTCTAACAAATCTGTCAAAAGTATTTGCATGCATCATTTCATTTACAAGTATAATTGGATTGCTTCTCTCTTGATGGTGTGTACTGTATTTTGCTCAATGCTATATCTATATTTTGGTAATAAATATTTTTGGAGAACTAATTTTGTCATATTTTTGCTTCAACATATGCATGATATTGTACATTTGATCACATTTGAGTTATTCAGTAGAAGGTGACAAATTTACACCTGTGTTGGAAACTGATGGAAAATGTACCTAGTCTTAAGATGGATAAATGACAAAATGAGTCTATGTTCTATGTTGAACACAAAATATTTTTCAATTTTCTGAACTTCCCCCAAAATTTGTATCATCAAACCTATATTTAAATATTTTATATATTTAAAGAGAAATGAGCAAAAGAAAGCAGATCTATGCATACAGCAACTAAAAGTCTATACTTTAAAATTCAGATTTTTTAGGTAAAGCCACACCAATTTACTGTACTTTTCATTACATGTTTCACAAATCAGCCTGTTACTTTTTAGCCATTTCCCAAAAATGAATTTTAAAAATCCATTAAAATGTTTTGTCAAATAACCTCTCATCTCGACATTTACAGTTACAGTTATGAGTTACCTTGTTCTCTCCCACCACAGGACCATGTAACTTGTAATAATGGTAATAATAAAAACCAGCAGACAAGGCACGTTTTTTGCGAGTTTGATTATTTATATTATTAGTTACCAGGTCCAATGCGCCCACTTGCTCCAGCAAAGCTTTCACCTGAACAAAAGGGTAGCATTTATTTCTGACCATGGAATCCAGTAAGAAATGTAGTAACTGGTTTTTTTCTAATTTAAAAACATGTTTTTCCCCTTCTGCCTTCGGGTATATTTTGCAAAAAAAATGAGTTAGGCCAATGGGAAAATAATGAGACCGTCAAAGGGAGATAATATAAATGGCAGTGACGAGTTGCCTCCCTTGAATGACAAGCGAGGTTTGTTGATGTTTGATACAGGTGCTTTTTATAAGGAACTATGTAGGATTCAAAAGGCCATCCTGTATATTTCCACAGTGTCTGTTTTGGACATTGACAGTGCCCATATATATAATATATAATACATGCAAATGTATGGAAGAGGACGGAAACCCGGAAATACCTTGACTAGTTTACAGCTGTACTGACATCGGTCTACAGCAAGGTAGCCTAGAGCCGCGATGGGGTCCTACAGTCAAGACATGACCCTAAATCAAGGGTCATGTCTTGACTGTAGGACCCCATCGCGGCTCTCGGCAAAAACTGACCCTGTATTATCACTATCATCATAGAAAGTTGTTGAAAATTTACCAAAAGTTACAGAATGTTTTGTGCTTCCTTCGTCATTCGCCCCCCCCCCCCCCCCCCCCTGCCTATCATAAGGTCTTTTACAACTATCTTGAATTATTTTGTAGGGTATAGGTTTCGCTCTGACTGAAATGCAAAAACATGCATCTAGTAAAGTGTTATACGCTCATAACTCCCTGTATATTTTATGAGCAAGAACAATTTGTGTATATTCTGGACAAGAGATTTACATGTAGGCCTATATCAGTTTACATGCATGAGATAGTTAAAGATAGCCACCCACCCAACATTAAATTAACATAACATGGAGTCACAGAACAAAAAAATGAAAGTTTAGATGACATATTATTTATCAAAACATGCAATACAAAAATTCACTTTTAACTGTATATATATACAAATATTTTGTCTGTATTTCAGATCTGATCTTGTCTCTTCGGTTGAACGAAGACTTTCTCTTCTTTTCCCTATCACTTATTCTTTATGACTTCTGTGTATGTGTTCATGATGTTGAAATTCAAACTCCCAGTCGTCTATATTTCAGACAAATGTACGTCCTCAACGTGCAGTGAGCAAAGGTGTTAGAGAACCAGATACAGTCAGGAAGACTTGGGGAGAGCAATGATCTCACAGAATATTACCTTCTTGGCCTTCTTGTACTTTGTCCAGGGACTTCCTTACGGATTACAGACATGGTTCCTTCCTGTCTATTTCCGGAGTCGAGGAATGTCTCTATCAAATGTCGGATTCTTCAAACTCTTGCTGACACCGTGGATGTGCAAAGCATTGTGGGCACCGTTTGTTGATCGCTTCGCCACCAAGAAGTCATGGCTGATGTGGAGCATGATGGGATTGACATTAACTTGTGTGATTGGTTCCTTCTCTGGCCCAGACTTCCTGTCTCAACTGGCAGCCATTTTGTTTTTATTCAATCTCCTCACTTCAACTCAGGATATTGCTGTTGACGGCCTTGCAATTCAGATCTTGTCTTCCACAGAACTTGCCCATGGTAATATTGCTCAGGTGGTAGGTTATAAGATAGGTGCTGTAGTTGGAGGAGGTCTGCTTACATGGTTGAGTGACTACTTGAACTGGATGATGCTGTTACAGTGTCTTGCTGCTGTTTATGTTTTTGCAGTGTTTGCAGCATGGATGTTTATTCCATCAAATCCAGACCATTTCCATGACGATAGCCTAACACCTAATACATGTAGTAAGAACTCTGAAGAGATATCTCAGGAAACTAATAAATGTGACATTGACGACCATTCCATGCAACAAAGATCTGAAAATATTGGGAAGAATGAAGTAAAAAGTGCATTCTTATTGATTATCGATCATTTCAAGCTTATGTTGAGGCCAGAAGGAACAATATGGATAGCAGTCTATGTCCTTTTGTACAAGTTAGGTAAGTAAGCTTATGCTTAGGTCATGTACAATGAACCACTTATACATGAATAGTGTCAATCAAATAATGGAAAATACAAAAGATTTTGCATCTTCCCATCATAATACTTTTAGTTGAATTATATGTCAACTGTCATCATGAATATTTTTCATACATATTGTTTCTAGGTCACTGTTTGCCTGTGCAGACTGACGAATCAAGTTTCATCCATCATTGTCCATCTTTGCCTTGGTCTTTCTGACCACAGAAGCTGCAATTATTGTTTGAGACATGTCAGTATATCCATCTCATGTAATCTATACTGTACCCATGGCTACATGTGTCTGCGACTAGTGACAGTTGTTGTTGCAGGTGAGAAGGGGTCACTGAGTATGATCCCCCTCTTCCTGCTGGACCAGGGGCTGTCGACCTCCGTGGTGGGACTCTGGACAGGCATGATGGGGCAGGTCGTATCCATCACTGGCTCGGTACTGGGTGGGGTCATCATGTCCAGGTATGGGTAAGTAGCTGCCATCGTTGTGAAGCACCATGTGGTCTCTAGTTGTATATGCCAGAACCTATGATCATGGGTTCTAATCCAAGGTTAACCCTGATTATGATTCTTTGAATGTCAGCACCGAAGTTGTGAACACCTAAAACCTGCCTCACTTCAAGCTCTCCTCCCACATCAGCTGTCACACCATGACTGAAATCCAGTTGACAGCTGTGTAAACTAACTCACCCACTTTCCTGTTCTCAAGCCAGTCCACCCTGGGCCTCCTGAAGACCCTGAGTGTGATCCGGACCGTCGTCCTTGTCATCTTGTGTTCTCTTATCTCAGCGTGGTCCTCAGCATACCAGATCCTCCTTGCTCCTGCTGTTATAGGTGGGTACTTAGGAACAGACTTCTGAGATCAAAGTCTGATTTACGTAATATGCAGAATATTATAAGTTAGTGGTATTGCTCATATATGCTATTCAAAATCATTTTAATTTATTAAATTCCTATGTTGAGAAGACCATATTGTTGAAAGGTATGAGAACTTATTTATAGAACTGCTTTGTGTGCTCTCAGACGTCAATAACTGTCAGGGAGGATGTAATGACATATGGCTTTATGTTGATAACAGAAACTTGTCTGTCACACTTGGGAGTCTGCGTCCAGTCTCATGAAGCCAACATTGCTACAGCTTTCAGATGCCTATGTTGTAGTGTACGAGTTACAGCAGCAGTTGCGCTATTATCACTGGAATTATGAATTTATGCCACTAGTACAACTAGTACAACCATGTTAGCAAAATAAAATGGGTTTCAAGTGGCCACAATGACTGCTCAGAATAGCTAGTACTTGGATGGGTGGCAAGGGGAGGCCAACTCACACGTGTGACCTGGGAATGCTGATAAAGTCATCTTGTGCTCCTCAGGCCTGATGCTGATCATGCTCCTCATCAGTGGCTACATCACCACGGCAACCTTCACATTGATGATGGAGTGTTCCCAGCGGGCACCAGCATCCGTGCAGGCGAGCCACTACACGACCCTGGCCACCCTGGAGGTGCTGGGCAAGCTGACATTTTCCGTGGTCACCGGGTGGATCACGGATATGACAAGCTACTCAAGTGTGTTTGTCCTGTTCACATGCCTCTCTGCCATCATCATTCCAGTTTTCAGTTACGCACCCAGCATCCTTGTACAGAGCAATTCACATAGGAGGAATAAAAGTCGATGATATTGAATGTCTGAAGCCTCCATGTGTTGCTTTAGTATATGTTACATCAAACACAATGCTCACATACCCTGCATAACAATGCTTTGCATCACTGAACAGATTTAGGATTGCATTACTCTGCTAACAGACAGTGATTGTGTACACTAGAATATATTTTCAATAGCTGTAATGAACTGCATCAGTTGCCAGGCAACTCTGGTTGTGGGTCCACATCACAGATTTACCCTTTTCATGAACCTTGGTTTGTCATCCGTTCTAATGGGCTTATCCAGTTTTGTTTGTTTCACACTCCAGTCAGTGAAATTCCAGCTGTATTACAGCCACCTGTAAATAATCAAGTCTGGCCCAACCAAACCATCGGGGTATGATGACAATCAACCAAGTCACCAAGCCTGACCACACAATGTAATTACCGTATTCGACATAATAAGCGCCCAGGGCGCTCTCAAAATTACAGATAGGGGGCTCTCAATATTATTTTGGTGAAAAAAAACAGAGTTGAAAGTTCGTAAATTTAGTGGTTTATGCTGACAGCCTGAAATGTTGATAAACGACATACATGTATATATTTTTCCAGGATTTCATTGCCTATAATGAAGGGTGCATATAACACCTGAGTGCGTATTATACACGAATAAATAAATCTTGTGTACATTGATAAATCGGAAGGGGTGCTGATTGAGATACTTCACTAACCAATATATTAGCAAATATCGCTGTGGGCGCTTATTAGAGCAGGGCGCTTATTACGTCGAATACAGTATGTTGCCTTTTACGACAAGCTATAGAGTGTTGAGGACCTGTTCTAACCCGGATCCCCACAGAGGTCAGATAAATAGGACTAATACAGAGCTAGTGGTCAAGCTGATGTCTTCACACATCAGTGGCAAGATACCTGTCACATGAACTACATCAACAGGATCATAGAAAGCCATCTCCTTCAACTTCTGACCATGAATATATTCAAATAATAATCATGTCCAATAACAACAAACACATTTGGTTATGACAAAACAATACTTTTAATCAACAATACTTTGAATCAGTGGATCAATTACATGATTTTATCACAGCCTGTTGCTAGAACTTGTATCACAGAGTAGAGAATGGTAGGATGGATGAGCCACACATCAGCTTAACAAACAACATGGCAACAACAGTCTACCGGTACTGTATCGTGTGTGTGTGTGTGTTGTTTGGTCACGGGCTTCTTTGTCCAATTACCTAATCTGGCATTCCTGATCTGCAGCTTTACTTAAGTTTCTCAGCTCTGCATATTCATCAGTTCATTATTTTCAATATAATACTATTAATCCTTTAAAAAAGTAAATCTTTTAATGACTTATGTTATGATGTTATAACTAGCTTATCTTCATGTAGAGATGTGTATTATTTCTTGAAGGTTTTGAAATCTAAATATCGTTTATTTACATAGGGAATTTTCCAAAAATATCATATTAGGGATCACAGGTATCTGTTTCTTATCAAATCATCAAAAATCATTGTAAAACATTTCCAACAGCCTTAGAATCATTCAGAAAGTTTTAGAAAATATGCAAACATGAATGTGAACTATACGCCATATGGGATAGTGGAAAATACATTGCCGTTATCCACAGCAAATTCCCACCAAGTGGGGGTAGTTAAAATGGCCTAGTCTGAAGCATAGCAAAGTTATGCCCCTTTTCTTTGTGAGCGTGTATACCTTACGATTGTCTTTTGACAAAGGAAAACCTTTTTCCTTCATTTATGGCAAGCTATTTTTTTGTTTTGAATTTTTGTTGTTATACATAGGCAACCAAATCCATTTGATATATATTTTATGTTGTTCAGATACTAGGCAGTATTTTGTTTCCTCACTGTTTCAATAAAACTCTCAAATACAAATGATTGTAATTTTATCAGTGTACGATAAACAGTGGCAAGATTTGATGGTATTTTTACTCATCACAAAATCTCGGACAACGCTTAGCATTGACTGTTTTCAAATTAGTTTAATATTTGTAGTTACTTTTACAACCTCAGATAGGAAATTTGGTATTTTACATCTCTGCATAATTTTATAGAAATAGGTAGACCCGGTGCCAAGCGACTGGAATTCAATGTTCAATTTTCAGAACTTATAAAGATGTGTGTCTGAAAAAATAACATTTACAGTGCGAGGAAATTATTTTGAGAGAATTAAGCAGCATGGTCAAAGTAGAAAAGTCAATTAAATGACAAAATATTAAATATCGTGAAAAACACATATTCAGCCCCACTGCTAACCATATACCTTTCAGGCCAGGTGAGCTAAAAATTGTAAGATACACTTCTATATTCAAAATCATATGCAAATTCATGAGTAAAAGTGAATCACATGAACACTACTATTCACATACCTGCCCCAAATATAAACACCATGAAACATTAGAACCGTCAACTTAACTTCAATCATGCCTGCTGACACGATTCATGTCGGAAGGAATGTTTAATCTATGTGTAATGACAACAGCTGTACAAATGTCTGTGAATCATTGCCAATAAAGGTACATGTGCCCTTTTAAATGGGTTGCAATAATTAATATACACTTACAAAACATTAACAAAATAAGCAGACGTCCAAGTGATAAAATAAAAGATTCACATGCAAAAAAGATTTAATTTATCAACCTTGGCCGCTTTACTGGAGATTTCATCCTCAAACAAAAAAGTCAGACAACAATTATTTTGATTTTCTTTCAACTGTACTGTAAATACATGTAGTACAGTTTGTTTGTTGTTTAATGACACGCTCACATATACCTACTCCAGCCATATAACAGAGTTCTGTAAATAATCAAGTCTGGACCAGTCAATCCAGGAATTAACATCATGTATATCGATTCACGGAATTGGGATAGAATGACATGCAATCAACCAAGTCTCAGAGTCTGGCCACCCGTTCCATTTATTCGCCTGTTACGACATGCATAGGTTGGTGCATCTTCCACTGGACTTTTATGGTCAGTTAATTCCCTTGCCTCAGGAAGATGAGGTTGGTGGGGGACCTATATTCTCACCTTTCAACAGTAAACAGTAGAGAGACACAACAGGAGATAGGTGAAATAGAAACACCATGATGACAAGACATGAATTGTGAATAATGAGGAGATATGTTTTCCATGCATCTGCTATTATCTCCATACATACAAGACACAGTTCATGTGTCATGTCACATCTTTGGTAGAGGGATGGGATCTGGACATTTGTCATATTGTTTCTGCAACTGTATCATTTCTTTCAAATTTTTCATGATTGTTATAGCACCTATGGTACATGAAATACACTGACAGTACCTGCATTTGTTTATATAATGTTTGTTTCACAACAGAGTACCATAATATATCTATTTTCAAAATCCAAGGGACACTCAGCAATATCGTGTAATCTATAAATGTGATAAGTTTTCATCATTCAAAAGTCAGATGTTTTGGTGTCCCCAATGTCTTGCAATGTAAACTATTTACATCCATTCACAATAAGTATCATAGGGACACAAAACGTTACATATGGTAAAACCCTGTTGATATGATCAGGTCGCTTCATCTACCCCTGGGTCATACAGCAGTCTTTTACAATGTTAATGGAATGAAAGCACATAAAAATTATGAAAAACAGTTTCTACTGAAGATTTTGCATCAGCATTTGTCACTAATAAAAAATAAGTTATTACATTTTGGTTTGTGTTGAGGTAAGGTATGATCCCTGCACATATTTGGCCTCAATAGATTGATATACAAGTCTTGTTACAAAGGTTGTAACTGATATACAAGAATTATAAGATAGGATACCAGTGTCTGGGTGATTAGCCAAGCTTCTAGTCAACAAATGGAAAAATAATGAAAGTTGTAAAAGTGAAATGCAGGCATCGGAACACTGTCAAGGAATACCATCACCAATAATCTCTCTGTGTCTCCACACATTGATAAATAAGTTAAGCTTGCTCTAAGCAAAGACTGACATGGGAACAAGCTTGCATGTTACATACTGAGGAGACTACAGCAGGGAATGTGGGATAAAATTGACAATAAATATTCCCGTACTAGCCTCTGAAGGGCTATTTCTTTGCAATCACAGCAACACGAATGCAGAATGAGAAATAAAAGGCAAAAGTGCACAATTCTTTTTTAAATTGTCGCAGTACGGACTTGAAACATTCTTTGACAATGATCGGATGAACGAAAAAATCTAAATACAGTACTGATCAACTCTTTAAAAAAAAAAGAAAACATTAAGACGTCATAAAAACCAAAGGTTTTGAAAATGCTGAAAACTAAGATTGTGAAAAAAATGGGTTGATATTCATAATTATAAGTGAGACAATGTCAAAAACCACTGAAGCAATACTACAGGTATGTGAATAATATGTAACATATTCAACAATAACATGTCACACACAGTTACAAATATAACCATTAACAATGATTAGAGATCTTAAAATGTCATAGCACTTTGTGTCACATATGTTACAAAATAATACATTAAAACAAACATGTATTGAAACACACGTACACATGTTTTCAGAAGGGCATCAAGAATCCTAATTCTTAGTATGGTATGGGAGAAGGCATAGATGCCCCCAGGTAGAACAAATGACATATCAGCTGTCTTTAGGCAAGTAGTCTGTCAAGAAACAGAAAAATCACAGATATAATGTCCTGACCAAACAAATTGTAAAATATTTTTTTACACTTTTTCCAACAAGTTCTTAAATTGGTAGACATCATTCTTCAGAGTCTTAAGAAAAACATGAAGTCATTCCATTGCTGTTAACTGCAATGATGTGATTTTTTTTTTGGTAAAAAGACCTGATATTTTAGGTGGAAAAAATATATAACTAAGAAGAAGGTTGTGCCAGGTCAACACTGACATACTTTGACCAGCCAATCGCAATGAAGGATGCATGAGTTTTAGAGCCAATCAGCTGTCTGCTTTGATGGCTTCATTTCTTTACCACCTTGAGTCCAGGAATTAATACAAGAAACCCACACAGATCACAGGTTTTGGGTGTCCAGAGACGACAGGGTGAATAAAATATCTTCAACAATATTTTGTTTCTTCACTACTTCCCATTTTTATTATTTACATTCAGAACTGGCCACTTAAGTTTGTTTTTGTTATACAGAAATCATATATGCAGGTCTGACTGACACTCGTACGGAGAAGTTTGAAGCCTTAACACCAACTGGCTAATTAGAAAGTTTACCCTATTTGACTGCGACTTTAATGAGATTGTTTCAAACTTTTACTTTATATCAGTAGCCATGGTATATAAGGATGAACTTGAAAACATATTTTAATGGATTAATAAATATATGTACCTATATATTTACACACACATACCTGACGGATTTTATAATATAGGTGAATGCAATGATGCATAAATTAGAAAGCAACATCCTGATTAATTGGCAATATCGCTTCAGCAAATTATGCAGTAGATATAAACATTTGAATTGTAATATAATGTACACCAGGATGTAACATATGCTCATACGAACATATTCATAAAGGAAAAGAAATCAGATTATCTTAAGCAGTTAAGTACAAATGTCCTTACCCTGGCTATTTTAGTTGTGTAAACACAATCTATTATATATCTCCCACCCAGCAGCATGTGAGGAGTGGGAGACCCAGTCAAGGTACTCCCCTGCTATGTTTACCACGTCAAAGCAGTCATAACCAGTGGTTACAGTTCACACTAGATCAACATCATCGCAATTAGAAGATGCAATGAAAGTAACAAATGTCAGATTACTAATTTGAAATTATACACTATGACTAACAGTTATGATATTTTGAAAAGAACAAAGGCCCAAATTGTTTAAATCTTCTTTTGTGTCCATTCCCATAGGGGAATTAAAATAAATACATTCATGTATATAGTCTCAAGCTTTCGTGCTCCAGGTCTTCATCAGGTACACTGTTGGTTTTGTGCAAGAGAAGGATCTAGAATCATGTGGTTTTTTCTATGTGTTTAGGAAATGTTATCCTGTTTTACATGTTTGTTGCAACTCTTTCTTTTGAAGGAATGCATCATCTGTTGTGGATGTCATGAATGTGCAATGTTGCGTTTGAAGAATTTGATAACATTTGTTACGGCTGTTGTGATATCTGACAGTGCAAATCGAGTTCAGACCCTGTGCTGTTGATGATCTACAATGGCTGGTCTCACAACGAGGGTACTGATAGCATCTACAGATACTGATGAAGTGTCACATGGAAACATACTCTCAACACTCACACAGATAATAACATAGAATCAAACAGTAATAAAGACATATCGTCTAAACAAATATGTACCCTTAACACACATAGCATTGCGCGACCAAGTGGGTTTAACACACATAGCATTATGCGACCATGTCGGTTTAACACACATAACATTGTGTGACCAAGTGGGTTTAACACACATACCATTGCACGACCAAGAAGTGGGTTTAACACACATAGCATTGTGCGACCAAGTGGGTTTAACACATAGCATTGTGCGACCGAGTGGGTTTAACACACATAGCATTGCGCGACCGCAAAATATGTTAAATCTTAACACACATATACTCAGGCTTGAAGCACACTTATAATCATGAAATCAATCTTTAATGTGTACACAAATTTTACCCTAAGCTCCATACAGCTATATTTCCTTCATACCAAAAATGCAATGAATACATGTCACACACTGCTATGGAGCCTTCCTAAACTGCAGGTTGTTTGAACATGTTTATGTTCATAATGTTGAGAGACAGATTCTTGTGGCAATCTATTCTGAAGAATACATTTTTATCTTATAGTCAAGTCAGGATGTTTTGAATGACCCATATCTTAATTCACAAAGAATAGGATAATAAATTTCATATTTAGATATTTGTTTGCAAATATCAAACAAAACAAATATTCTGAAAACTTGGAAATAACAGCCTATGAAGTAATGAAACAAGAAACAATATTCAGAGACAACAACAGTCAGTGATTCTTGCATTATCAAATCATAGAAACAAATATAAAAGAAGCCTCACATTTTGGGATATGACAAACATGGATGGTATACCTTAACAACACTCATTTGGCAACCTCTTGAATTTACTAGTCTCGACTCAGAGAAGCTGTGCATCATCATCTCATGACCTTGCTCTGTTGGCCACCTCGAGATGACCTTGCAGACTTGGTGGACCGCTGAGACATTCGACTGATGGCCTGTTGCTCTCGACCTGGGCTGCTTTCCTCCACAAACTGGGATGACTGATGGAGGAAATCCTTAATGAACTGATTGACTTCAGATGGAGCCTCTATCATCACCATGTGGCTGGCGTCCTCAATCACCTCCAGCCTGGACTGGTAGATGGCCTGGAACAGTGAAGACTTGGTGGAGTGGAGGCAGGGTCTGGACAACACCTGTCTAGCCAGGTGTGACATCATGTTGTGTATTCCAGGTAATACATGAACATTAAAGACAACATCTTAAATAGAGTTTGAATTTAATATGGGTTCTGGGGTCCTAGATCATTGATTCTCAGCATTGCTATTCAAAAGACATCTGTACAAAAGTATTAACAAATATGAAACATGTAACTACATCTCCCCACTGTTTCTAAATTTGCAAGGATTAATGTAATTAATAGATTAATTAATTAATTAAGTGAGTGAGTGAGTGAGTGAGTGAGTGAGTGAGTGAGTGAGTGAGTGAGTGAGTGAGTGAGTGAGTGAGTGAGTGAGTGAGTGAGTGAGTGAGTGAGCGAAACCTTATGCTGATATTAGCGATATTCCAGCAATATCATGATGGGGTACATAATAAATGAGCTTCCCACAGTGTACCCATGTAGGGAATCAACCCAAACCTTCTGCTAGACACGTGAACACTCTAACCGCTAGACTACCCAACAGCCCCTCCACTGTGCTGAGATGGAACGTGAGATGACCCACCTCCTCCATGTCCTTCTCCTCACGCAGGGACACCAGCTGGTCCTTGAGGCCGTAGATGAGGAGTGTGGGGCACATCAGCCAGTTGTGGAACAGCTCATCTCCATCCGGCCAGATCTGGCCATTCATTGTGTGGCGTAAGACATATGTGGGGATTGCAAATGCTTCCTCTGGTGACAGGACTGGCCTCCTGGTGGATGCGAATGCACTCCTGGAGAGAGAATATAGTGTCAGACCATTTCAGGATCAGTAGACAGATATTTTGTCCCAGAAATAATGTTATCTTATCTGAAAATATATTTCTAAAAAATGAAAAAACTAAAATCCAAATGAAGCCCAGAACACTCCTTAATTTCTGAGAGCTGAGGCAATCTAGGCTTTCTGAATTATTCTAGACTTGAGTTGGACTCCATTTTAAATTTTTTCTCTGGGGTCTCGGAGACGGACTGTAGGATCATGTGACTCTGCAGTATTGAATTAGCCTCTGATGAAGTAATATTATCCCTAATGAAAAGGCAAGCAGACCTTAATGGTATTCATAATTTTTGATAAACTGCACATATAACCATGTAATCTAGTGTCTGATAATTGCAATGCTTTATATTTCTTTGTAGAGCCTAAAATGTCATGTCCACAAAATTACAATGTACACCCAGATATAACATTGTATAATGGAATTGATACTACCTTAGGTGTTGACTCAGTAAATGTTACAGGGATACTGTGAGAAAGGTAAAGTAAATATTTGTCAACCTTAAAAAAACATACAGGCATATGGAACCTGTCTAAACAAACTTCACAGTCCCTAATTTACTATTCATAAACTAAAATCTGTTTATTCCAAACTTAATTAAGACTAAAATTAAGGAACAAAAGATCAATTCATTATGTAATTGATGCTCTCTAATTTGGATAAATTTTTCACACATCTCCCTCGCACATCTGGTAGGTCAAGATCAGATAAAGGGGAATAACTCTAGTAATCAGAAGTGATAAGGTATGTAAATACTGTCCATGAGTTGTGGAATTCTATTGTTGCAAAGTAATTGGTAAGTAAGGAGAAATGACCGAATGATTTGTACATGTGGCTAGGACATCTGGTTGGGTTGTGAGGGGATAGTAGAAATGGCACAGTCTCGATCTGAAAAAACAACAACTTGGGTTGTAACTAGCTGTGTTACGATCTTTCACTATCAGTGAAGTGAATGGATGTTGTTTAACACTGCAATCAGCAATATTCAAACTATCTCATGATGGCATGTAAGTACGTCTGGGTACGGCAAAGGATGAGCACCAGGGGTCTACTACCAACACCTACAGGGCTAGAGAGTCGGAGTACATCATCAATGATAATGGAAAGATGAAGTTCCAAAAGTAAAATGTCTTGCATACACATGGTAACCATGGTAACCTGACTTACTTTTTAAAGGTGCACTCTACACATGGTCTGACACAGCACAGCATACACACAGGGAGGGAGAAGATGCCGGGCTGGGGGTTGAGAGGGGTGGGCCCCCCGCCACTGATCAGCACAAGCTTGGCCACACGGCGCGACCGTTTCCGACCAAGTACAGCTGCAAACGAACATCTGCAACAAAAATAACTGTGTTGTCTGTAAACATGGCAAGTATATTAAACAGAGTTGGAACACATCATGAACATATCGTTGCAAAAATAGAAGCATAAACATGATAAGGTTATCTTCACTAAGACAAGCATTTATCGTATGTTTATTGCAGAAGCATAAACATGATAAGGTTATCTTCACTAAGACAAGCATTTATCATATCTTTATTGCAAACATAAACGTGATAAGGTTATCTTCACTAAGACAAGCATTTATCATATCTTTATTGCAGAAGCATAAACATGATAAGGTTATCTCCACTAAGATAAGCATTTATCCTATGTTTATTGCAGAAGCATAAACATGATAAGGTTATCTTCACTTAGACAAGCATTTATCATATATTTTTTTGCAGAAGCATAAACATGATAAGGTTATCTCCACTAAGACAATCATTTATCCTATGTTTATTGCAGAAGCATAAACATGATAAGGTTATCTTCACTTAGACAAGCATTTATCCTATGTTTATTGCAGAAGCATAAACATGATAAGGTTATCTTCACTAAGACAAGCATTTATCCTATGTTTATTGCAGAAGCATAAACATGATAAGGTTATCTTCACTAAGACAAGCATTTATCCTATGTTTATTGCAGAAGCATAAACATGATAAGGTTATCTTCACTAAGATAAGCATTTATCCTATGTTTATTGCAGAAGCATAAACATGATAAGGTTATCTTCTCTAAGACAAGCATTTATCATATCTTTATTGCAGAAGCATAAACATGATAAGGTTATCTTCACTTAGACAAGCATTTATCATGTTTATTGCAGAAGCATAAACATGATAAGGTTATCTTCACTTAGACAAACATTTATCATGTTTATTGCAGAAGCATAAACATGATAAGGTTATCTTCACTTAGACAAGCATTTATCCTATGTTTATTGCAGAAGCATAAACATGATAAGGTTATCTTCACTTAGACAAGCATTTATCCTATGTTTATTGCAGAAGCATAAACATGATAAGGTTATCTTCACTTAGACAAGCATTTATCATGTTTATTGCAGAAGCATAAACATGATAAGGTTATCTTCACTTAGACAAGCATTTATCCTATGTTTATTGCAGAAGCATAAACATGATAAGGTTATCTTCACTTAGACAAGCACCAGGCAGGGTAACAATTGGTACAATCTTTTAACGTCTTTTGGTATGATGCGGACGGGTATTGAACCCTGGACCTTACGCTCTACCACTAGACCACAGTCACAATATCTTAAATAACAGTGTGACAGAAAAAGTTTAAAATCAGCTGAAATACCAACATATCGGGTATTCATTACCACCGTTTGTAGATTTAAAACATTATAACAAAAGGCATACATGTTTCTCTCACCCATATGAATGACCAATAACAATATTCTTCCTCTTGCAGTATTTATCAAACATTTCTTCCATGTCGGCCATGATTTCATCAAAGTGATACGCCCTTGCATTGTTTGGAGTGGAACTGAACCCATGACCAATGAGGTCAGGAGCAATGATCTCGTAGCCCTCATTAGCAAAATACTCCAGCTGAGGCATCCATATATCGCTGGACCCCCCTACACCATGTATGAAGAACAGCACACAATCATTGCTGGTGGTTTTGTCCTTGACGTCTTTGGATTTTTGCTCATTTTCCACAGCAGGTATGTCTAGAGTGTCTGGCTTTGTCACCTCTTCAGATAATGGATGATGATTGACTCCCTGATAGGGTTGCTTCTTGTCCACAGCAACCATGACACTTGAAGCAGATCTTACAGCATTCTGATTTAAAGGGGAACTGCACGAGAATGTTGACTCTTTGGACAGCATCCCTGAAATTCCATTTTGTATTGGTGACAAACTACTGGCAGTGATAGCTGTTTCAGTAGTATTCATTGTATTAGGCAGGATGTCGCTATGCGGCCCACCTGGCCTATCGGAGACAACCCTCCTCTTAGGTGCCGTTAGAGGACCACTGGTCACAAGGCTGGATGGATACCCCTGACGTCTGTACATTAAATAGGTGTCCATTTCATTTTGAAATTTTTCATCTCTGGGAACATGATTGATGTGCCTGATTCTTAAATGTCGTTTGGGTCTGATTTCCACAAGCTGGTATTCAGATTCTGTTCCCGGGGCTGGAGAAATCTTGTTGGGCCTCCGGCAGCAGCAACCACCCCCTCCTGTCATGGTGATAGAGAGGCGGGTCTCACTGTGTCAGTCCACTCTCTCCATCTGGTACACGGGACAGCAGCCTCTGCAACAAAACACAAGTCCTCCATAATATTCTCCAGGGTTCTAAGCAATAACAAGCAACACCTGATTATGAAAATAATAGTCAGTGAGTTGATATTACATAATATTCTCCTGGGTCTTAAATAATAAGTATTAACACCAGTTAATGAATTATGATAAAGTAGGTGTGTGGGTATGGCTACACTCTGCTTCGACCAATAGTCCAGCAATAGTCCAGCAATAGTCCAGCAATAGTCCAGCATGATCACAGAGAAGTAAACTCATGGACATCTCCAAGCATGTGTCAGACACCACCTCGGTCAGTGGTGTGACAAACGAAACACTGACCACTGGATAACCACACTGCCATATTGATTTAGAGGAACCTATACAACATGTACAAAGTAACTGGCTTGACTCAAAATCAGCTCTCATCAGGGGCTTATCTGGGAGACTGAACTAAGTGCTCCTGGCAGGCAAATTGGGAAAAATCATTATTTTCTTCAAAATTGGGAATTTTTTAAAGTTAATCTTTCAGAGGTATTTTAAAATTGCATTTAAAGTAATAATATATCACAAATAGGGCTGGAGTGGGTAACTCAGGCGCTAGGGTCAGGATGGTCCTGAGTAGTCACATGATAGATTGTTTCATGACAAAGAGTATCCATAGCTCAGTGGTTACAATACAAGTCGCTTATGTTCCCATTTCTTTCTGATGATGCACACATTCCTTTTGACTTGTATATCATTGAGTAAAGATAAGGCTTCATTCATGCATGATCAGATCACTTTATACATGTTATATGTGTACCTAAACAGTTTTTACCAGGGCTGCAGTAAAACAAAGTCCCAAATCTGACATTTTGTACCCAACTCTTGAGACCTACAGAGGGTACCCCGGTAGGGTCGGGTAATAGGAGGTCGGGTACCCAGATAGTAAATTTGGAATCATCTCAGCCCTAATAAGAAACCTATTCCTATTTCTTTGTTATAAGTGAATACAGGTTACTTCTACAAAGCCATAAAAATATTTATTAGTTATATATATCGTACATAGAAGTGGGAAATGTTTAGTTCCAAATTGGGAATAATAAATGACATTTGCTGCAGACTTCGGGCCGAATATCGGTCTCTGAGCAGGTCTAGATAAATCTATGATCATGGCGATCTATCACTGCTCTTCTTCACTCTTCATGACTCAGTAAAGTCGAGATAAAAGTTCAGTATATGACAAATATGATAGATATAATTGGGACAGATTCATCATTTCACAGGTATATCTCAACCTGCTTAAAAATCAAAACTCACGAGGACCGCTGCTCTTAGCATGCTTAGTAATATCTGGGCTGGGCAAGGTGAACATGACCAATGACTGCACACAGGATTTAATCTTATACATGTTATAAGCTTAGTCAACCTCAAACACACGCATTGATCAGGATGGGATCAACATATACTTTAGCATGTTAAGTATGGGATTATTATTACCGGTACTTGATAAACATTATTCAAGAGAAATAACTTTTTTTATTACCATGATTACTTATGAAGGAATTTATCTAGACTTGCCCAAAGTCATCAGTTCTTGTCGGCAAAAATTCCTAATAGGGAATTATAAAGATGCTATTTCATATAAATATAGTTATAGCTTATTTATAGTCTTCTCCAAGGTGACTTATTTTCCACAGATAACAGGATCAAAAAAGAGGAAGAGGCCTATTTTTACATTACTGTATCAAAATCAATGTTACAAAGCTGTTAAAATACCTCTGAAAAGTAGCAAATAAGAACTTTAAGCCAATCCCAATTTCAACCAAAATATCAATTTCTTCCCAGTTGACCTGCCAAGGGAACTTATTTTGGAATAAATCCTGGTTATGTAAATCCTTATATATTTGCTATAATTATTATACCTGCCATATTAGGTTCAACAATGACTTCCATGTTGATAAACTTATTCCCAGAGTGCCAAGACAAAGTGAGCCACAGTTGACGTTGCTAACAGATCGCAAACATGATCAGCCACATGGTGACACCCATCCCACATCATCATGATCATGTACATGCACCCCTGGTTAAAGATAGACTTCTTCATAGTTACTGTAGCATCATTGAATCAGGTCATTCTTTCAGTATTCAAATAATATCAGCATTGGGTGAGAAAGGGGTGTTTAGATCAACCTCAGTAAGTCAGTCACAATGACAGCGTGTCGTAATACATTTACATCCAAGATGTCAAAATGGCAGACACGATAAACATGACAGGAGAGACTTCCGAAGTTGTAAATGACTCTGTGGTGGTAACATGTGTTGGTCATCATTGATCAGTTAGCCGATTATTGAAAGGTGATTATTTAGATGTGTCAAATAGATACTAAGGTAAATACATAGTTGCTGTAGACTGCCACTATCAAATTAGACACAGATCAAGTCGATACTACAATAGTTTGTATGTGCATTTCTTCATTTTGTTCACCAGGATGGGTTTGTAGCGAGGATACTCATGAACCATCATGCAGTCAAACTCTCTCAATGTATACAAAAAGGCTGAGTTCAAGATTAAAGGGTCTAAATGATCAGAAACAATGCTTCTGTATGTATTAGTGCTAGGGAATTCTAAGAGCTTCCCCCAGGAATGTGGAAGTTAATTATTGTTTGTTACCCATATAAACATGATGAAACATAAAAAAGCATTCCAGTTCCACACAGCTCATAGATAAGCTAAGTCCATTGCTTCAAACATATTCATTTTTAAACACTGTATTATTGTAGATTATTGAGTGTTACACAGACAATGATTAAGCTCCTGGCTACAGATATTAAATGTTTGTCATGTGTATTATCTCAATGCTTGGACTGACAGTCTACAGGTGGTAATATGCAGTTCAACAGACACAGACATGGCCACTACCCCATTTTACAAAAAAAACACTGGCTGCAACAATCTGCGTGCTAGCTCAAGGATCAATGGTGTCTACCTCTATTGGTGTGGCAAAAATATACTTGGCACAAAGATAATTTTAAAAATGCCAAAACATGAGTTAAAACTTCTTTTTAAATTATGTTGTATGACAAGAAATAATGCAAACAAAGAGGAACATAAACCTCTTATCACATTTGTGGACCAACCTCCAAACTGTTTCACGGGGTTCACAGAGTAAGCTTCTCTGTGTCAACAAGCTGCCTATTGCAGGAAGTCCATAGGACTAAACAAGGCTAACGAAGGTGAGGACAATAAGTAGATTTTCTGCTGCCAGGGCTACTTTGGCACTGCCCTCCAGGTCAGTCATCATGCCTCATTTGAGCAGTTGAGTGTCAGACAACGGTCACGCCAATCAAGCTGATTCTGATACAGTACACAATTCCACCTAATCATGCCTATACCGATATGCTTGAGCCATGTTTGCTTGCTTACTTCAGGGCAGGGGACTTCAGTGATGGATAATAAGAATGAAAGCCAAAGGTACCTTTTCATAATACTAATGTCATAATTTTATTATCATCTTCATAAAGAGATAGGGCTTACTTTGACATTAGCATGATTAGATAATAGGATTCTTTTTAATTTATTAAAATCAAAATCTCATATATACATTTCAGGAAATATGTATACTGGAGGATGCAATATCAGTAAATAATTATGATAAAAACCCTAGACCAAATTGCCTCCATCATGTCCATTGTGTCTGTAGCATTGTTTCAGAAGTGACTTCACCCTGTTCACTGTCTCATCTCTCACAAAGTGTCAAGCTCACTATGAAGCTGTGGTAACCAATGGGTCCAGGGTATAGTAGAATGGAGAGATATATCAAGCACTGGATAATCGAGGATGGTTGTACTGGAAGGCAGGAATAAGAGGACCATGCATCCTGTGTTACAGCAACAGCATCATTCTTTCTCAGAGAATTATTTTGCATTAGTCCCTTATGTTCCAACATCTGTCATAGTTCCTTCATAGGCTCAAAGGAATAATTTACCTACACTCTATCTGACATAGTTTTACTCACTGTACAGATTGGAATGTGTTGGTTGCTATAGTTGACAAAACTGGTAAGTCTTTCATACTTATCATTACTTTCTTACTAATCATTACAAATTACAATAGCATCTTATTTGCCTACTTTGGAGCTTTTAGTTACAATGTCTTGTTAAGCCAACTGTGTGGTCATTTGGGTAGAATGTACTCTCACTGTCCCTATGATTCTGTGCCAGTGATTGAGTGGAGTCCTGGGATCGACGTTTTTCCTGTATAGAGTTTGATTATATGCTTGTCTTAAAGGGGCACTGATCTAAAGCAATTCCCCGGGAATGGGTGTTGCCTTTGTTATTGTTTCTTCCCGTGAGTACCCGGATGATAGAACAGAAACCTAGACTAGTTCGCAACCTGTGCTGCGCAATTCGTAAGCGCATTTGTCACTTTTATTGATAGTATAAGGGCGTATGGTCACATTGATCAACAAAATGAAATACAGTTTTGGAAATAATAAGGAAATGTAGGTATCTTTGTGGGTAGCATCGGTAATGGTGACGAAGTTTTGATAAGTCACTTGCTTGGTAATTGTGCGATTTTCGTTTACACTATTTTAACTTGCAATACAAAGTAAATATTTCTCCTGAGCATTGCTTATTTTATTTATTTATTTATATTTTTACAGTCAAAATGTGCAAAATTTTCACTTAGGAAATTTATTAAACGCCTAAATATTCAGTTATTTTACAAATTGACTGAAAAATATGTCAATCTGTATTATTATGACAACGAATTCCAAACATTTGTATGTTTAATATCATCACCAAGAGACTGAAAATGTTACGATGAAAAGTACATTTCTATATTGTTTGGCTTCTAATCCTACATGATAATCTATTGTGATGTTTTTAGGCCCTATTGATCGTCTTAATCAATTTTGGTCAATCTGTTAAAGAAATGGACAGATTTTTCAGTCAAAATGACTGAAATATTTACACATTTTATAAATTGCCTGAGAGAATCACATTTTACAAATTGACTGTAATATACAAAGGAAAAGACTTGTGAAAACAACGTTTATCACTCATCGAAGAATTTCCCAACCAAGACGTAGAGAAACAAGAACGAATCGTTTCAAATGAAGGAAAACAAAATGCGAATATCATAATTACAACCTACCAAATTTATGTGTATAATTTTAGGCAGCTTCCTTGTTCAAGGAATGTATCGTGAATATCCACACAAAGGAACAATATCCCAAATGTCTGCAGCTGTACAAGGAAATGTATTCGATGTTACGTGTCTCTGTAAGAATCAAATATTTTAAAATATATATGTATCGTTTCGGGATATTATAACCTGTGTTCGTTTCTCAACTGATCACTTAGATTGTTTCAGGTGTTTCACATAGGTGTCAAGTCTCAAAGGTCGGCTGAGAAAGCCCATGTGACAACTATTTTCATAACGTCCACGGTTCCTAAAAAAATCCATTGAGTTAGATAACAATGAGCAATTAATCAACGTATTATCGGTAAACCCTTTGAACAAAGTATGTTGTTTTTACATCGGCACTTCACGCCATGATATGAATGTATTCCCTTTGTTAAAAAGTTTTAGTAAACCTAGACATGTAAACACTCAATTTTGACATATCCACCGGGCAAGATAACAGTGATTAATCAATCAATGTATTTTCTGTTAATCCTTTGATGACTACGAACGATCCGCTGATTTACAAAAAAAGTAAATCAACTGATCATTCATCTCTTGCTGGGCTGCCATGTGCATATTACATAACACACATTTCACCTCACTTCAAACCTGGATTTCGATTGAATAATTACCCCAGACACAATGAATGCCAAATGGGAACCTTTGTCAGGTAATATAAGTGGTGCTACCACTAATTGTACCTGTAATAAATTCATTAACTGAGCATCAAGTGAATGACGACAAATACACAAGTGTAGGGTTATACGAGAAAACGTGGATGACAACAAGGGAGTAGTAATCGTATTATCGACGCAATCGGAAATCCGAAAATGCTTTCACTGCATGGATACTGTTTTTAGTATTAAACTATAACCATCTGGGGTATTTCCAAATGACGACATCCGATGAGCTACCTTGTTCTTTTTGTCTGTTTGTTTAGGCTGAAGAAATGAATTAACATGCGCCCTTTGTCGAAATCTTTATAGATCACAGTTAACCAATCAGTGTTCGAAAATGCGTAAAACAAATATTGCCTCCAGCCTCCGAGTTTATTTAGCTGTCCTTGTAGACGGTACCCCAGTCTCTGGTCACGCTCAGTTGCGTTGCGTATCATCCGGGTACTCACGGGGGAAAAACAATAACAAAGGCAACAACCAGTCCGTTAGATCAGTGCCCCTTTAAGAAACATTCGTTTGTCTCTCTAATCACATGAACAGCTGTAAAAAATTCATTCACTTATTACACAACTTTCCCTTAAAAACAACCGATCTTCTGATTATTTACAATGTCTTTGTGGTGCTACACCCCCCGTTATAGCGCTAGTCATCGCGATAACCATGGCCGTCCGAAAAAATATGCTCCGACGATATAATTATTGCATAGATCCAATTAGGCCCATATCCCAGATTAATTAGTCTAGATAGGCTAGGCCTCCTGGCTTGCAGATACATAGACTCCTTGGTAAATATTTGCTCTCAAGAACTACATCTGCCACACCATTACCAACAGCAACGTTGAATAAAAATAATCTAACTGTTTCTAAATTTGATTAAAATGAAACATACATACACCGCTGTCAAAGTTGTTTACGGCATCTCCATGTTTATCCTTATAACTACTTCCAATTTTTGTCATTCCACTTCCTGCAAATAGTTCGCTAACTAAGGTCTTATTTTATTACACAAACGATTGACTCTTTCGTGTAGTATAGGTACCTAAACTAGTAATGATTTGAGTTAGTTTTGTGTTGCAATATTTGTCATAGAATCTTCCATAGTAAAAATCATTTGACAAAATTAGTACGCGGAAAATAGTTCGCGCACTCAGAGGAAGTTGTAATCTGATTGGGAACGTCTAGGGTGGAAACATGTGGAGGTATGTATATTCGGTATAACATGCAATTTTATCAGTATCATCTTTCCAACGTGTTTGTATGACGCATAAACTGTTGATTTCGTATCTCTTTTGATATTAAATTGGCTGTGTCAATTTATGATACAGAGCATGTCACACCTTAGATGTATTTTAGAGTTACCCCCCTTTAGGGCAATAGTTTTTGGAAAGTAAATTTGAAGATTATTGTCATTAAGTCATGTTTATTGAGATAATATTGTTGACATTCACTTTACCAAATGCACTTTATATTTTAGATTACCAGCTGGTTGCTGATTACTGCTCTGGCTCTCTCTCTCTCTCTCTCTCTCTCTCTCTCTCTCTCATAAAAGGCGACTAATGGGATCGGGTGGTCAGGCTCACTGACTTGGTTGATGCATGTCATCGATCCCAATTGGGTGGGTCGATGCTCATGATATTAATCACAGGATTGTCTGGTCCAGACTCGATTATTTACAGACCGCCATCATATAATATGTGGAATATTGCTGAGTGCGGTGTTAAACAACCAACCAACCAACTCTCTCTCCCTCTCTCTCTCTCTCTCTCTCTCTCTCTCTCTCTCTCTCTCTGGTCAGCTGGTCAAGCTACTGATCATTCGTTTTCAATATCTGAGATGATCTTTGAATTAAAGTGCTTGCTTGTTTATTGTTTAACGCCACACTCAGCAATATTCCAGCCATAGGACAGTGGTCTGTAAATAATCGAGTCTGGACCAGATAATCCAGTGATTGATATCATAAGCATCAATCTATGCAATTTGGATACGATGACATTCACACAGAAATTAAGCCATTTGTATGCACAAGTAATTTAGTATGTATTGTTTTTTAAATACTTTGTTTTCTTAAAAAATTAAAAGTTGTAAATTATTTTATCATCACTATTAGGAGGCAAATTTCCTCCATTTTAAAGTCAAATATCCCCCATTGTCTTGATGAGGCCCTGACAGGTCTGAAAGCTTCTGTCAACTTCATGCATTTGTATGCATGATCAGATAGTTTTATATGTGCATCTTAATTGTTTTTGCTAGGGCTTCAGTGAAACAGTTACCAATCAGACATTTTGTACCCAACTCTTGAGACCTACAGCAGGTCACCCGGGTTGGGTCAGGTAATGTGGGTCGGGTACCATGGTAGTAAATTTGGACTTGTCAATTTTTCATCCCCCAATCCCCTCTTTTGTTATAAACTGTAAATTTCTGCATAACTCGTCAATCGAGACTGTTCGTTTCGCAAAGCACCATTTTTGTTACTTGACCAGCGTGTATTCTTTCGCTTCCAACAGCGGTCTCCTAGTTTTGAAGAATAATTTTTGTTACTTAAAGTTGATTTTGTATATAATCATGTTTAAATGTATGATAAAGAATTTTTGTGACCTATAATATTTTTTTATACTTTTGTTAATGTTGTTTAAGATTTTGCAAACACAAAACTACTTTTTAAGTCATAAACACAAGGGGTGGTGAGCCATCCCTGTGCGTTTACATTTTTAATGAAATAATTTAATTTTCCAGTGGACACCTACACAAAAAGTATATACTAGATAGGTTATTCCATATGTCTTGTGAAATATCATGTTTCTCTCATCTTCAGATCCTGTGATGGGGGGAAAAGGAGATATTTTCACTCGTGGCCATGTCACTCGTAAAAATATCCCCCTTCATCCCCGTCACATGATGAGAGAAGTAAGATATTTTACTTGACACATGAAATATCCTCTATGTATTTAAACAAATCACAAGACTGTTATAAACAATATTTTAGCTGTAACAGATGTTTCCTGAGGACTAAAATGTGGGGGGGGGAAGGATTTTTAAGCTGCAAGACTTTCTGGTTTATTTGTGAAGGCACAAAATATAAGTTATTGCTGCTTGTTTTTATCATTAGAAGAACTCTGTAAATTGATTGGACATTTATTTTTAGTATCATGTTATTCAAACCAGCCCCAAAACGAAGCTATGGACATGATGGAGGCACATGGGTTCATAGTATATATCAAAATATAGTCAAGAGATATGTCACGCTGAATAATTGAGGATGGTATTCTGTGTTTGTTTCAGATTGTTATCACGTTTGTCATCTGCAATTTTTGCCCAACCAACCACAAAGTGCTTCTCACAGACACAGCAGTTGTCTTCTCGGACTCTCTTAACCACTGGTGTGTCAACCCTGAACAATGAGTGTCCAGCCCCTGGTCAGTGTCAGTGGGCCAGTGTGTGTGTCCAGTCTGTGAGAGGGAGGAAGGTCAAGCCACTCTATAACCCAAGTGCATGGAAGCGCATCAACAAACATGGCATCCACCAGAGGCTGCATTCGGATAATGGTATTCACATACTCTGGAGACGATTCCTTAAAGGGAGGCACTCTCTTGCTCCTTATGAGAGACTGCTAAGGGGATCTATTAAAGGCAGAATATTACCTAAAGCTGCCAAATGGCTCTGAGGGAACTATATAGTCGTTAGAAGGCCAACATTGAGTGATTTTGTGATAGCTATTTTGCATGAAGTGAATGGAAGATATGGATGGACTTCATTAAAGTTATTTCCTTCATCGTTTGTGTCATTTGTTCATTGAAAATGTGTTAACATGGGAAGATTGAACCCTTCTGATGGAATAAAAGTCTGTTCAATGTTAGACTAACATTTTCATCATTTCATATGCCATGTCTGGACATTTATGCAACTATTGACATATGTTATGTACAATACTGTGCACATCTTATTTGACAGTGTTGGAGTTGCTTGGTATCAGTGTTTAAGATGACTGATACCCCAGCAAGCAGAGGTCACATCATTGCTTGGTATCTGGTTACTTGGAATCATAGCCTCTCGTAGAATATCCTCATGCAGGAACAGGGTTCACTCCGGACCATAGGCTCTCCTAGAATATACCCCATGCAGAAACAGGGTTCATTCTGGACCATAGCCTCTCCTAGAATATACGTCATGCAGAAACAGGGTTCATATAGATAGTTAAGGTCCAAGAATATACCCCCTGCAGAAACAGGGTTCACTCGGAACCATTGCCTCTACTAGAATACACCCCCTGCAGAAACAGGGTTCATATAGATATTTAAGGTCCAAACTCAAGCTCTCTTCAAAGACAAAAACCTGTCTTAATGTTCATTCCAAAATAGGCTAACAAGTCTCCTGAAATTTCATATGAAACTCTTTTTACTTCAGAATAATCATTTCAACAGTTTATAGTTCCGTATTTTCTTAGTTGAGCAAACTAGTCACTGAATGCTCCACACTGTTCATTGAATTCCAGCACTTTTTAAGCAGTTTGTTTGAGAAATGGTAAGTGCTACTTGTAAGTACCGGTACTTCTCATTGAACAGTGTTAAATTTAAGCACTTTCAAGTCTATAAGAACATTGAGTACTGTATTCGACGCAATAGGCGCTCTCAAAATTAGAAATAGGGGGCTCTTATTAGAATATTATTTTGGTGAAAAAAACAGAGTTGAAAGATAAATTTCGTGGTTTATGCTGACAGCCTGAAATGTTTATGTATGACAGATACATTTTTCCAGAATTTAATTGCCCATAATCAAGGGTGCATATAACACACGAGTGCTTATAAGTCTTGTGTACATTGGTCAATCGGAAGGGGTGCCAATTGGGATTGTTCACTAGCCAATATATTAGCAAATATCGCCGTGGGCGCTTATTAGAGCGGGGCGCTTATTACATCGAATACGGTAATCAGTTTTTTTACACATCAAAATTTCATCGAATCATTAAGTAAACGATCAATAAATTGGAATCTAAGTCCAATCTCGTTAAAATCAGATCTTTGTTCTCGCTACCGCTAAACAAAGATCTGAGGACATCCCATTACGGGTCACATCAGAATGACCTTGCGCCAAACTTTGACCGTCCAATGGATTGACCAATCAGAAGGGAGCTTTCTTGTGCTTCATTTCTGTCATGATTTCAATTCTGGATCTATTCAGCATCTTGCTGGCACGAGGTGTGGGACCTCTGCACTAACCATTCTGTTCAGCATCTTGCTGGCACGAGGTGTGGGACCTCTGCACTAACCATTCTATTCAGCATCTTGCTGGCACGAGGTGTGGGACCTCTGCACTAACCTCTCTGTTCAGCATCTTGCTGGCACGAGGAGTGGGATCTCTGCACTAACCATTCTGTTCAGCATCTTGCTGGCACTAGACGTGGGACCTCTGCACTAACCATGCTGGCACAAGGAGTGGGACCTCTGCACTAACCATGCTGTTCAGCATCTTGCTGGCACAAGGAGTGGGACCTCTGCACTAACCATTCTGTTCAGCATCTTGCTGGCACGAGGAGTAGGACCTCTGCACAAACCATTCTGTTCAGCATCTTGTTGGCACAAGGAGTGGGACCTCTGCACTAACCATGCTGGCACGAGGTGTGGGACCTCTGCACTAACCATTCTGTTCAGCATCTTGCTGGCACAAGGTGTGGGACCTCACCACTAACCATTCTGTTCAGCATCTTGCTGGCACGAGGAGTGGGATCTCTGCACTAACCATGCTGGCACGAGGTGTTGGACCTCTGCACTAACCATTCTGTTCAGCATCTTGCTGGCACAAGGAGTGGGATCTCTGCACTAACCATGCTGGCACGAGGAGTGGGACCTCACCACTAACCATTCTGTTCAGCATCTTGCTGGCACGAGGAGTGGGACCTCTGCACTAACCATTCTGTTCAGCATCTTGCTGGCACAAGGAGTGGGACCTCTGCACTAACCATGCTGGCACGAGGTTTTGGACCTCTGCACTAACCATTCTGTTCAGCATCTTGCTGGCACAAGGTGTGGGACCTCTGCACTAACCATTCTGTTCAGCATCTTGCTGGCACAAGGAGTGGGACCTCTGCACTAACCATGCTGGCACAAGGTTTTGGACCTCTGCACTAACCATTCTGTTCAGCATCTTGCTGGCACAAGGTGTGGGACCTCTGCACTAACCATTCTGTTCAGCATCTTGCTGGCACAAGGAGTGGGACCTCTGCACTAACCATGCTGGCACAAGGAGTGGGACCTCTGCACTAACAATGCTATTCAGCATCTTGCTGACACAAGGTGTGGGACCTCTGCACTAAATATTCTGTTCAGCATCTTGCTGGCACAAGGTGTGGGACCTCTGCACTAACCATGCTGTTCAGCATCTTGCTGGCACAAGGAGTGGGACCTCTGCACTAACCATGCTTGCACAAGGAGTGGGACCTCACCACTAACCATGCTGTTCAGCATCTTGCTGGCACAAGGTGTGGGACCTCTGCACTAACCATGCTATTCAGCATCTTGCTGGCACAAGGAGTGGGACTTCTGCACCAACATGTTAACACAACACATGTACAATATTAGTAAATTTATTTCACAAAGATTGACACAAGTCATTATTTTGAAGTAAAAAATAGTTGAGTATAATATGACCGAGAATGTTATGTACAATTTATAATTGGCTATGTCATTCAGTTTGCATATCAACAGCTTTAATCAGGAGAGAGTAAAGCTTGGTGTCACTGAAGCACAATGTCCGATATCTCAACACCAGCACACACAAAAACATGCTAACTGGCATGATTAATGTAAAGTTCACTCACTCACAGGAACATGATACTTCCATATTGTCATGTTTGACAGGCAGAGTGAACTTGAGTCTGTTAAACATGTAACTGCATAACAGCTGTTGTTCAAACACAAGAAAATCAACCTTATATCATGTATGTTCACTGTCATTCCACTGAATCAAAATACATTGCATATATATGGCGTTACAATTTGGCATCATGCATGACTTCACAATATGTTCAGTAAATCCTTACAGCCCTACTGAGATATCGATGATGTGAATCCTTCAAAAACACTTTGCCATCACAAACATCTTACACAGTTTAAGTAACTTACTGCACGAGTTAGAAGCTATGAAGCAGGCAGTAATGCTGGTGCTAATCAAACTGGGCCCTGTTCCACAAAGTGACCTTGTCTTTTCATTATATAGGTAAACCAATACACCTAAACTCTGAAGGACTGCAATACGTACCCTTTGATATGCTACAGACGTATTGCGATACATGATGAATCAAAATATGTACTTTTTGGGACAGTAATGACAGGATTTTTCTGAATCCAGATTTAGGGGCTTTTTTTCATTATATTTAGAAATCTTTCCAGTTCATTGCCTTGGCGTTTCTATTCTGGGATATGTATGGTATCGTGGCCTGTAGTATTATTGCACTCACTGGCTTTCAGCGCGATGACTATCAGAACTCCCATACTCTTTAGCATAGTGAGTTTTTGTGCCGCTTTGAACAGTATTACAGTTATATCACGGCATGTCGGCTTGTTATGGGAGAAAGTAATGCAGGTCTCAGACGTTTACTCTGGTGAAACCCACGGGTACTGACAAACCTAGAAACATAATTGGGGCAAACTGGGATTCAAACCCACAATCATAGCTTTCTGGCGTGCGGGAGGGACACAACTCTGCACATCGAATAGCAGCACCTTAGACGACTGGGCCATCTGTGTCCCCTCCTTAACATAGACTTACGGTAGTCACAACAATCGGATCACTGTGTGGAACAGAGACTTGGTTACTATTGAGAAGAATCAAGGAAAGTCTAGCAGCATAATCACACAATTCACTCCTCCAAGAAATTAGATAAAATCACAGCATTTATTTTAATGGCAATCATATTCCATTTTCCAAAAAATAAGCCCTGCACTGTTCTTAGTCTTGCTCTTGGATGAACATGATGTTTGTTAGTAATACTTCTTTTGATCTCCACTTGGACATATACTGAAGGATTATTTTAGAGGATGGGTAATCCTTGTATCCTGACTATCATTCAGTTTAATAAAAATTAAATGTGATAGATCAGTATCTAGTACTAAACAATGTTTGTTCGTCCGTAAACTGCATGTTACTTTCTTAAAATGTCCACCTTGATTACGTTCATGTATGTTCCCATATTTATATATTACTAAATTACCATGACGATAGTAATACATGCTCTTCTCGTTACAGTGAGTCATGAGATCTGTTGGGATTAAATTGTCATGAAAAACTCCTGAAATCTATGCATCAAAGCGTAAAGATAAGACACAAGCATGTTTCTCACAGGGAGCATGTATTGTAACATAATTGCACTCTGCCCTTGTATGAAAACAGAAGTAACATGGCACTGTGTAAGCTGTAACTGACAAAACGTCACCACAAATGTATTCTAATTGTACAAGAAAACTCAAGGCTCTGGAAAAACAAGTAGAACAGAATCATAAACTCTAAATTACTGTAAAAAAAATGCAACTTAGAGTAAAAAAAGATGCAAACAAAAATTTTTTGTGTTTGATTAACAATGTTTGACATTCAGTCAACTCCATGTGTAAAAAAAAGAGTCATAACCTGTTGTTCGAAGCAAAAAGAAATGAACCTGTCTGCCATTTTGAAACACTTTAATGGACGTTAAGATAACTACTGATAGTTATCAACCTAAAAACAGAATAAAATATGTATCACTGCATCCTGTTCATGCTCCATCTTCACCAGTCAAACCAGTGGTTGAAGGAAAGCCTAAAGTAATGTTAGACATTTACGACTTGGTGAAACGCACAAGGACAGTGCTGACAATAATCGTACATCTTCCCGAGGCAAGAGAGTTAACTGACTATAAAAGTCAAGTTTCTACCCCTGCCGAACTAGCCAGAGATTATAGAGTTACATTTTGACTGGACTAACGAGTCTTTGCATAGTCCAATCAAAATCGCGCAACGAAATCGAAATTTGGTTCGTAAACTGTCCCGCAGATTTCGGTCAATTGCAGTATTTGTGCTCTGCCAACTCGCTGTCAACAGATATTTTCCAAACCTTTTCATGTTTTTAATAAAGGTGCCTGCGTGATTTGATGCACTTCACGATGTAAGACCAGTTTTATCACAACATGCATCTGGTTTATCAATCAGATCATCTTGACTGGGCGCCACCGTTCTGTTTGAAACAAATGCAAGTGATGGAATCTGATTGGTCCATAGGAGAGGCTTAGAAGGGACATAACTTGTAATAAACACTGGTGGCGCTGCGATTGAGCCCAGGAATTCCAGCCTCGTTCGGCAAGGGTGCAAACTGGACTATTAAAGTCAGTTAACTCACTTGCCTTGGGAAGATGATAATCGTGTTGAATATGGGATTCAATCTCATACTTATGGACATCTGGCATGCCCAAGGGACGCAACTCTACACAGCGAATTGAGGTGCCTCAGACAACTAGACCATCCATGCCTCGGTGCCTGACATTGTTGGAAGTTTATAAAAATGGAAACAAAGTCAAGCACTAAAACACTGAACTGCAGTATACAGATTCTTGGACTCTGAGAGGCCTAAGTATCCAGATTCTGTCATGTATGGTCCAAATTACAAGGGAATAGCCTTTGTGACATTATTGCTAGTTTCACTGACACCAAATCTGTCATTCACTACAACATGTATAATCAAGGACATTCTGAATGGATCGCTACATTTGATTATTCATTACGTCCAACTTGTAGCTTGATATTTACACAATTATGACAGACTAGGTGATGGGAAAACCTGAGGATTTCTTTAGGTGTTTATCATCATGTTTATAACTGCATTCAGCAACTGACATGTAGAAACTCATATGAACCCAACAAAAGCCTTGAGTAGGTTCCAGAGTTAGAGCAAGGACTACAATATTTAACAAGGTAATATACTTAATATTATATTACTTAATATAACAGCAACAATTCTTACAATACTAACAAGAATGATAAAACATGGACAGAAGAGGATGTGATGAGCTTTAGATTTCTTACACTATATAAACTGAGCACAAATCAATGTTTATTATTTCATAACTTTGAAACTCAATGAGACAATCATGTTAGAATACTTAAAACAATCTGACACATCCAAACCTAATTTGCTGAGGATGGTGGCTGAAAATAATTAACCATGCTTCTCCTTGCTATCACCCTCCTCCTGCCTGGCAGCCGACGGAAGATGGAGTTGCACAACATTGTTCTTATCATAAGAATGTCTTCTGGAGTTTTGCCAATAGTTGGATGATCACAGCAGTTTGTTGTAGTAGATGTATAGACGATGCCAAGCTTTACTCTCCTATAATGTGAAAGACATGATAGATTCCCAATCTGCATCGAGGGGGCATGGCAGGGCCTCATGATTCGTTGATGTTGGCGTTGGCATCACGGGTGTTATAGTTCTCCTGCTCCTCTGCTGTGATTTCTTTGGCATGGTACTGGGTAGTGTCAAACTGCTTTAAATGAATCTGCAACACATCACGGTTTGCTAAGAACTAAAGTCATAAACTTTTAGGCTCCCTCCCAAAACTAATTTTCCCAAGCTGATGGACTAAAATTTTGTCACACTCGATCTATCAAAAACCTTCTTGCCATTCGCATATGATTTGTTGTTAAGGCCGCACTCAGCAATATTCCAGCTATACGGCGGTCTGTAAATAATCGAGTCTGGACCAGACAATTCAGTGATTGACATCATGAGCATCGATCCACGCAATTGCGATACGATCATATTGCATCAACCAAGTCAGCAAGTCTGACCACCCGATCTCGTTAGTCGCCTCTTACGACAAGCAAAGTCACCTTTTACGGCAAGCATCGGTTGCTGAAGACCCATTCTACACCGGATCTTCACGGGTCTGTGCATATGAAAAAGTGGTAAGTTTGGGTCCCTTTCATTTAATTTATTGCAGATTTGGTCAGGCAATCAATATAACAAAATGTGCCTGGATCACCAGCAAATTTTCAGGGTGAATCCAGGATTTGAATCCACAAGCAACATGATACGAGCAAGTTCGAGCTGCATCTCTGCAGAAGGGGCAGACAACTGGGACATAAATACCTCCTTACACAGCTGAGACTGAAATGTCGCCTGACTTTCAATATATCATAGCTTAACACATACAACGAGTTGGGGCTGCAACAATAAACTTTGTTGCGATATAATGACATATTGTATATACACAAAAATCAAACCGTGTCATGTTAGGTCGTTTATTCCATTGTCAAAGGCAATGAAACCGAGATAGAATTACTTTGAGTCATTTGAAATAATAACTGCTTCAGACAGGGATTCATCTCTGCTCAGAGGCACATATCTCGCCACAAGTCTGCTGCAAAAGACAGTATAAATTTCCAAATTGGACTTAAAACTGCAGAATGTCTAACTAACGTAAGTCATGGCTTTATAGGGGTGGTTTTTGTTTCACTGATAACAGGACCAGTAAAGAAAGAAGTCTACTATATTGAAGGTAATGCTAAAATATAATGTTAAAATACCACTGAATTTAAGACAATAACATATGTTTTACCCAATTTGCCTCCCAAGGGCACTTAGTTTGGAATTCTATATATATCCTTGTCACAATTCTTGAAGTTGCAGGAATATTTTCTTGCCTTACAGTTGTAGTTTTGGTACGGGGTGAAATGAAGTCAATGAAGCACCAGACCATTGTATCAAGTAACACTGTAATCTATGTCATGTACCTGTATGAAGACGTTGACCTCTGCACTGCGACTCAGGTAAGGGAAGTTGCCGCCAGTCTTCAGGTGGGCTCGTTTAGCTTCTGGGTAACATTTGTACATCTCCTCTCTCACAGTATGAGATAAGGCACAGTCATCAAACACCTGCAACAGACAGTAGCACCCTCAACAGACCATAGAGCCCTCTACATGCCTTAGCACCATCAACAGACCATAGCGCCCTCTACATGCCTTAGCACCCTCAACTGATCATAGCACCCTCACCTGATCATAGCGCCCTCTACATGCCTTAGCACCATCAACAGACCATAGCGCCCTCACCTGATCATAGTGCCCTCTACATGCCTTAGCACCATCAACAGACCATAGCGCCCTCACCTGATTATAGCACCCTCTATATGCCTTAGCACCCTCACCTGATCATAGCGCCCTTTATATGCCTTAGCACCATCAACAGATCATAGCGTCCTCTATATGCCTTAGCACCCTCACCTGATCACAGCGCCCTCTACATGCCTTAGCACCATCAACAGACCATAGCGCCGTCTACATGCCTTAGCACCCTCACCATTATCATAGCGCCCACTATATGCCTTAGCACCATCAACAGACCATAGCGCCCTCTATATGCCTTAGCACCATCAACAGACCATAGCATCCTCACCTGATCATAGCGCCCTCTACATGCCTTAGCACCATCAACAGACCATAGCGCCCTCTACATGCCTTAGCACCATCAACTGATCATAGCACCCTCTACATGCCTTAGCACGCTCACCTGATCATAGCGCCCTCTACATGCCTTAGCACCATCAACAGACCATAGCGCCCTCTACATGCCTTAGCAACTTCACCTGATCAAAGCGCCCTTTCTATGCCTTAGCACCATCAACAGATCATAGCGCCCTCTACATGCCTTAGCACCATCAACTGATCATAGCACCCTCTACATGCCACAATCAGCGGCCCAAGACGTTGCACACCCTCCACGTCTTCATCAGAGACCTTTCTGAGGTAATGATTGGCAAAAACCGAGTCAGAACGCCAGTAACAACCCTGCAATATTCTGTGAACAGATATATTGGAGTGTAGGGCAAATGTTGCCGCTAGCGCCCTGATCTCATGCGCAACCGGTAACCCCCGAGACCGGTACGTCAGATTGATGACAGAACGAAGCCATAACACAATCGAGTTGCGAGTTATGTCAGCAGTCCAATTAGGGTTACACGATATGAACAGACGGTCACGCCCTTGTCTGCGTTCATTCGAAGCCTTAAGATAATACTTGAGGGCCCTAACAAGACACAGCGATCTGTCCTCGGTATCAGCAGGGTGTAAGATTTCTTTGAGTGATCTTACACTGAATTCTCTCTCCGTTTGGCCAAATTTCTGATTCTTAGCGACGAAGCCTATGAGCAGGCCCAGGTGGACCGCTCCTTCGTCGCCCCTATCGAATCGTACTTACTCCAGGGAGAGTTCTTACATCGATGATGGTGACTTCGACATTAACGCTGATATAGAATCTACAGGAGTGTGGTCTAGTGAGAGTACTTACATCGATGATGGTGACCTCGACATTAACGCTGATATAGAATCTACAGGAGAGTGGTCTAGTGAGAGTACTTACATCAATGATGGTGACTTTGACATTAACGCTGATATAGAATCTACAGGAGAGTGGTCTAGTGAGAGTACTTACATCAATGATGGTGACCTCGACATTAACGCTGATATAGAATCTACAGGAGAGTGGTCTAGTGAGAGTACTTACATCGATGATGGTGACCTCGACATTAACGCTGATATAGAATCTACAGGAGAGTGGTCTAGTGAGAGTACTTACATCAATGATGGTGACCTTGACATTAACGCTGATATAGAATCTACAGGAGAGTGGTCTAGTGAGAGTACTTACATCGATGATGGTGACTTCGACATTAATGCTGTTATAGAATCTACAGGAGTGTGGTCTAGTGAGAGTACTTACATCGATGATGGTGACCTCGACATTAACGCTGATATAGAATCTACAGGAGAGAGGTCCAGGGAGAGTACTTACATCGATGATGGTGACCTGGACATTAACGCTGATATAGAATCTACAGGAGAGAGGTCCAGGGAGAGTACTTACATCGATGATGGTGACCTGGACATTAACGCTGATATAGAATCTACAGGAGAGTGGTCTAGTGAGAGTACTTACATCGATGATGGTGACCTCAACTCCCCGTAGTTTCTGTGGTTCAATGTAGCAGTTCATGCAGTTCAGTGTAAGTCTCGAGGCCAACTCGGGCTGGCTAAGTTGGTCCAACTGTAAAGTTAGAAAGACGACAAGGAACTGAAACATCATCCTAGATTTAGTTAGTTGTACCATGATAAATAATCGGGATCTATTTGCCACAATTGCTTTGTTTGGGTGCCATTACTATGTACATCTCTCTTATCAGTAACTACACACACAAATTCTCTGACTGAGATAAACGAGTCCTGGGGATCTATTGTAACAGAATGGAGGTATGATGCGTTGGATGTTGGAGGATGCAGAAACACTTTGAAATCAGCAGGTTCCTAGGATGAAGCTGTGTTTAACTTCTAACATAAGTGAGTGAGCTGACTTTTTTCACCACTTAAAACTGCATTTCAGTTATATTACAGCACATCAGTTTCATGACACAGGTTGTAGACATGTACCACTAAAGTCAGATCCAAATGACTGACAGACAAAGAGTCACAGTCTGGGATTCAAACTTAAGACAGGTGAGGAATGGATAAGGGACGCAACTCTGTATACTCATATGCCAGAAAACTAGTGTCCACCTCAGAAAATAAATGCGGGCGAGTTGGGTTAAAACCGCCCTGAATAGTATCTCAGTTGTATCAATGGGTTTAAAACTGCCCTGAATAGCATGTCAGTTGTATCAATGGGTTTAAAACTGCCCTGAATAGCATGTCAGTTGTATCAATGGGTTTAACCCCGCCCTGAATAGTATCTCAGGTGTATCATTGGGTTTAACACTGCCATGAATAGTATCTCAGTTTTATCATTGGGTTTAACACTGTCCTGAATAGTATTTCAGTTTAATCATTGGGTTTAACACTGCCATGAATAGTATCTCAGTTTTATCATTGGGTTTAACACTGCCCTGAATAGTATCTCAGTTTTATCATTGGGTTTAACACTGCCCTGAATAGTATCTCAGTTGTATCATTGGGTTTAACACTGCCCTGAATAGTATCTCAGGTGTATCATTGGGTTTAACACTGCCCTGAATAGTATCTCAGTTTGATCATTTGGTTTAACACTGCCCTGAATAGTATCTCAGTTGTATCATTGGGTTTAACACTGCCCTGAATAGTATCTCAGGTGTATCATTGGGTTTAACACTGCCCTGAATAGTATCTCAGTTTTATCATTTGGTTTAACACTGCCCTGAATAGTATCTCAGGTGTATCATTGGGTTTAACACTGCCATGAATAGTATCTCAGTTGTATCATTGGGTTTAACACTGCCCGGAATAGTATCTCAGTTGTATCATTGGGTTTAACACTGCCCGGAATAGTATCTCAGATGTATAATTGGGTTTAACACTGCCCTGAATAGTATCTCAGGTGTATCATTGGGTTTAACACTGCCCTGAATAGTATCTCAGGTGTATCATTGGGTTTAACACTGCCCTGAATAGTATCTCAGGTGTATAATTGCAGGTCAGCTGTGGAAGGAAAGCTCAAGGTGATGAAGGTCTTTACCACTTTTGTGAACTCAAACAATTTAATGAATTATAAGGACATGAACTTTAAGTGTAAGAGGCCAACCTTTTCAACCAGGAAATCAACAGAGTCAGCGATGTCGGCATCAACAACGCCTTTTTCAAAGTTTCCCATCACCATCTTCTTGAGAAACAGCGCTGGCATCATCCAGAATCTGAAAGGATGGATACACCAGCTCAGTGGATGAGAGTGACTGAATTGAGTATTAAACAGTAGTCAGCAAAATCACAACATGACCCCTGCATTTGATGTAAGATTAATTAAATTTGAACATCTCTAGCTGATTGAGTGAACTTTTCATTTTTAAACCCAATGATCCTGTTGTTGCTAAGAGATGCATATCATATCTTTGCCCTCCCTTCACCAAAAACACATGACAGTAAATTTAGGAGATGTAGAAATGGAAAGAATTTTTCAGAATCCAGCAAGTATTCCTCAGCAACAGATGCACTGGAACATAGTTCTAGAAGAGGGTCGAGCATCAACGGCATCATGTACATACGTAGGGGCAGAGTTTGTCTGCTGGAAGATGGACGTGTCGTAGAAGGAGTTGCATAGAATGATGGACGCCACCCTGGGAGAGCGGTGAGTGAACTCGGCAAACTTCTGGGCCAGGAAGCCTCCGAGAGAAGCCCCAAATATATGAACCTGGTGTGGAACATAAACAGGTCAGTCTAGAACATAATGGAAGGTTAACACAAGCACAATGAAAAGCAAGAATGTCACAGTACAAATCTCAGGACAGATCCTCCTGTAACGTTGTCACCAACGGTCTGAATTACATCAGCAAGGAATGTCTGGGTCCATACAGCTGAGTCCTGGCGACTACCAGAAATTTGGCATGTAAATGTGAGCCCTGATATGCCCACTCTAACCTATTTGACGTCTACAGACTGGCAACAGTGCACACTTCCACAGTTCCAGAAATGTAAAAGCTTCAAAATATTGCACGTGCTCTGATGCCAGAAGCTAATTCAGTGAAGAAAATAGGAAACAGAGGGACTGTTAACTTTAACACATGGCTACAAATAAATTAGTTTAAATGACTCCACCAGCCATTCATTTTTGCGTCTGGAATTGCAGTGCACATTATTTGCACCCATTCTGAATTTTATTAATATAGGATGCAATATTTTCATGCAGAAAGTTCTACTACAGTCTCAGTTACAAGCAGAGTATAAACATGAACCTGTTGGCAGTGAGGGAGAATATCGCCACCCGGTCTGGGGGAAAAACGCTATTTAACAAACAGATAAATATTTCTGTCAAACACTATGAAATATATCAAACACAGCTGCAAAATGAATGTTTTATTAGAGTGATTGAGTGGGTGAATATTGCTAAACGCCACATCAGCAATTTCGCAGCTATATGTGGCGATGTCTCAGGAGAAGTGGAAGGAGTCACACTAAGAGATAGTTAGTGACAGATGGTGTTTCCCACTGTAGTAGGAGATATTCCAGCTATATAACATCATAGTCTTTAATCGAGACAAACCCGTGCTTGACAGCTAGAGTGAACATCAACGTCATCAGAGTATGATGATGACATTGTAACTTCTGCTCGGGAACTCTCAGGGGCCCACAGCGAAATTACTTACTTTATTTAGCTGCAGATGATCACATAACTTTCTGAAGCCTTCACATAGTTCCTTCATGGTCCAGTACACCGGGTACTCCACCTGAAACATTGCTGTACTGGATACATCCGGCAAAACTTAAACAAGTAAGTGAAGGAGTTGGATTTAATGCTGCTTTGAACAGTATTTAAGTTACATCACGGTATGCCATCTTGATGTGAGAGGAAAGCGAGAGAGAATACAGATCTTAGACATTTACCACGTTTGGTGAAACCCATTAGCAAAGGTATGCACTGACAAACCTAGTAACATGAACTGGGATTTGAACCCATGAGCATCTGTTTCTGGCCTACGGGAAAGAGAATTGTGCCATCTCAGATGACTATGTCACCCCTTACCCATCCCCTCCAACAAGTACCGGGTACTTCAAGAAATGTTCATACATAAATTGTGACTGAAAATTATGATTCGCATAAATCTTCCCTGGGAATAATGAAGATACTTCATAAACATTTATCTTCTTTGAAGAAGGTTAAGTTATCATTTGTCTGGACGGCAACTTCTATAGAAAAGTTGATAATATTTCAAATGAAAGTGTATGAATAATTTTCATCAACTTTTTGTCCTTGGTTGATATAATGACAGTTGGAGTGTATTTTCTACTGATGTTGCCTACCCCTATCACCCGGAATCCAGCTGCAGACAGGCCCAGTATTTGTCGGAAGTAGACGTCTGCTCCGCCGCTGGCCGGGGGGAAACAAATGAGTGGACACTTGATGCTCTTTGGTCCTGCATCATACAGCGTCCACTCTTTGCTGTTGTCATCGTCAACTATTATCTGAAATAGTCAGGTTATTACTCAGTCAGCAAGTGTCACAAGAGTGCAGAGGTGTGTGATCTTTTGGAAGCATTTGGTAGCATGTTCTAAAGAAAAATAACACAATCATCAAATTGCCTCATGAATTATTTGTATTTATCTTGCATTGTATATGTACCCCCATCAACCCTTTCTCCACAAACCAGTAACCACACAAAACAATCAAATAACGAAGGCCATTGCAAATGTTGTTTCACAATGTCACACAAAAATGTCTGACAATTTCTCAGACCTCAAGCCTTCATATAATGTTTCAGTTATTAGTAAGTGAGTTGGGTTTAACACTACTTTTTCCCAGTTATTAAGAAGTAAATAGCTTATGACTGAAAGTTATGCATACCCTGAGGTACATGTAATTGTTAATCAGACACTCAAGAAAGAGTAGGGAATACTTCTGCCCAGTAACTGTTCACAGGTAATTCAGACCAACTCTTCACAGATCACAAAAATTCCACCCACTTCACAATCACAAATAATTGCCTCGTAAACTATTTCATAGAGATTCATTCTTACTTATCGATCTGATAGTGTTTGTTTGTTTGTTGTTTAATGCCACACTCAGCAATATTCCAGCTATGTGACAGCGGTCTGTAAATAATCAAAGCTGGACCAGACAATCCAGTGACTGACATCATGAACATCGATCCACGCAATTGGGATCAATGACATGCATCAACCAAGTCAGTGAGTCTGACCACTCAATCCCGTTAGTCGCCTCTTGCGACAAGCAGTCGCCTTTTACGGCAACCATGGGTTGCTGAAGACCTGTTCTACCCCGGATCTTCACGGGTCCAATCTGATAGTGATTTAAACCATATCATTGTCAAGTTTATGCTGTTGCATGTATAAACTAGGACCACATCTCATATTATTATAACATATAAACTCGGTAACAACCTGTCAGACAGATCATCTCATGCATTGCTTAGGCAACTGTTTCCAAAGTTTACTATATACTAGTATTCCTGGTTATGATGTAAACAAACGGGAAAACAAATAATGACGGTTCAAGAGTAAAAAAAAGACAATTCACAGAAAATGTGTAATATATTTGGTAATTCACTACAACAAGATACTTGTGAAATAACGTGTCACAGCTAATCATAACGTGAAATATTAAACAACGGCAATTTAAGAGAGCCAATAACGGATAACGAAATAGGTATTCCATACCCGCAAGAAAGTGCTAGGTAGCTGACACAGCTCTTTTGGACAAACTATCACAAATCATAATAGGCACAAACCAAGTTCACTGATACAGCTTAGCTTGGAATCACAAGACAAATGCCCTCATTTTAGTTAAATTCCCCTGAAAGACTTCAATATTCATATCAGAACAAAACTATCTTTTCCTATTTATTATTTGTGCTACTAATCACCCAAGTCAAAATGTTCCATCCAAATAGGCCAGGAGGTTTGGACTCCGTGACTCACTTAGATTGCTGTGCGTTTTTTAACTTTTAGATAATTCAAATCAAATGTTGCAAATGTCTTCATAGACTAAGAGGAAAACAAGACAAAATAAAAATGAATTAGGGCAAAATGTCCAAAATTATATCTGGTAGATAGAAAAGATAGACATGTAGTCTTTTACTGTAAGTATAAAAGTCTGTAGAACAGAATGAACACTCAACATACTGTACAAGAACAAACAATTTATCATACACAAAATAGATTCATTCAAACAACATATATAAATATACCTTCTTCTGTGGAATGGAGCTCCTGAAACTCTGGTATTCCAGAGACTGAGATACTGAGGATGTCATTGTGCGTATTCCAATGCTGCCGATAACCACAGTACATTCAGTTACAGCAGAAGTGAACAGCCTAAATCTCCCTCATTCTGACAGCGTGTACCTGCTAAACAGATGGCAGGTTTTACTCAATCGCTCAACAGGCCACATCAACAAAGACCTACTGCTGATACTATCAACACACAGTTTAGCCTGTCATACAGACCCTGAAACAAATATATCCAATACAATACAATATAATGTTTGGCAAGTTTAGATTACTGCAGTATCTGAAAATGAAGAGAGTATCTTGGCTCCTTTTTATTATATTTTTATTAAGATAATTTAACAACTGTTTTTTTCTGTAAGATATGTTTATTTCCGAGACTGGATGTTAGTCTACACTAGGGCTGTTACGATTCACTCGCATATTCAGTGAATCGAACCGTATCCATTCATACATTGAATTCGTTATTTGTGGCCACTAGAATCGAATATTTATGAATGTATGCAAGCATGAGCCTTTACATTATAATATCCATAAGAACATATCATATGCATAGATTTCTTCAAAAGACAACAATCTTATAATATTTAATTTGACAGTATTGTGGTCACTGGTCATTGTCACATTTGAGCAGATACCAGCACCTGGATAAGAGCAGCATATAAATGTATAATATATTAATAATTAACAAACCATGTCAAATAATGTATGTTGTTATTACTACACTTCATATAACAAATAATACATCAGCTGCTGACTTGTTATTGTATTCCAGAATTAATATTCGTATTCGTTACCCTATATTTGTGATACGAATCGTATTCGCCTCATAGTGTATTCATTGCAGCCCTAGTCTACACACAGCTTTGTCCTTTTAAAGGCAAAGGACAAAGGCTCTGGTTGTCAAGGTGATGAGGATTTGTAATTTGACAATGTTGCATTGTGTCATTTTCCAATAAAAATTCTTAAAATTTGCTTTGCTTCTATAATCAGGTATTTTGAAATACTGTAATATGCTAAATTTGATCAAGATAATCACTGATAATAGGCCTTTTTACATGAAATCAGCACAATGCTGTAACAATTAACCACCATGTTTTGAACTATCATCCAAACTATTAATGTCAGTCATGACAGCAGGAAAATGTTGTTTGAACCACCTGGTCAATATGTTTACCATCCTTATACCACCTAACTTACTTCTGTGTGGAACTCAATAACTGTGTAACCTAGTCAAATGAGATTTCAATAAATACTGCACCTACAGTGGAATCCTATTTATCTGGACCATATACCCTGAAACATTGCCCACCAGATAACCTCTTTTATCCAGACAACATACATGTATTAAGAAACGCAAGATCCGGATATATGAGGTTTGACTGTCGTATGATAATCACAAATCTTTAATAAAAAAAATATAATCAGGAAATTTCCAATATTGTTAACTACTAATAACTCAAATTTAGTCATCTCTTAATAATGTTGTACTAGAAACAATTTACATATGATGAAGGTTGTCAATGGCCAGTGTCCAAAATAGCTGCAGGCTATACCGTGGCTATACCGTGGCTATACCGTGGCTGCTAACATTTTCGTCAGTACAGGTGAAATTTATTCCAGCCTGCCCAACTGTCATCAAATACATGGACGATCTTGAATCAGACATAGGGTGTAAATATTATTTCAGACACTGCCTATGGCTCCATTTACAATTACAGAGTCATGTACTTGGAGACACATTATCTGGGATAGGACTGTACCTACTGACAACAATATCCTTATTCTATTGATTTATCATGTGTATTCTGTCAAAAAGCTACAGGATTTTCCTAATTTCGGAACAGCAATGGAAGGTTAGGAAAGCAAAACAGGAATGTGACATTTCAATGATAAAATAGGTTAGTAGAACGGGAGTCAAAGCATTTGCAGCTGCAGCACCAAACTGTGGCATGACCTACCATGCCAGATGTGACAAAGCGTTTGTGAGACAGCCTTCAAAAGACAGCTTAAAACCTTTCTATTCAAACCTAACATACCACAGTAGTGAGTCAGGAATACAAAAACAAAGAGCGATCACAGCAGTCCTCAATCATGACACACATATCATTAAAGCATTTCCATATTTTATTGCTATTCCCACAAAACTCAATACATTTTATCATTGCAGTGTTTTTTTATTGTGAGTAGTTTTAGAGTAAATAGTATCAGCTAGCATGAGCGATGACTTAGTTGATGATGTCACATGCACTACCATCATGATAGATGAATAAACCTGTGAACGTATCCAAAGGTCTTTGTGGTTATAAGATCATTATGGAGATAGCTCTCAATATGAGAACAACATGGAGACTATTTACTTCATGTAGACTACAATCACATGTTCAAGCACAAGCAGCTAGCAGATGGATATTAGGTGCAATACATATCTATTATTAGTAGTAGCAATATGCATTACTCAATACTGACATTACTCATTCTCCATAATTACAGCAATTATTTTACATAAAGACGCATATTCTTCTCGTTAATGCACACTAAGTTATTTCATAATCGAAATGTCAGATCTCTGTTGTTCAATATCATTATTTGTATTTATCTAAATGAAATACCATCTGAATGCATTTGCTTGAAGATTGAGATAAGAGACTGATATCGACCTACATATAGGCTAGAAGGCCTAAACAAAATACACACAAGTTGTGCATTCACAGGCAAACTATATGTTCTGACAACACTTCTCTTCGCTTGGACATACACAACTTAAACTATTTCAGCCATCCCACATCATTGCGTCAATGCTGCACATACAGATATGCCTACTGAACTGATTGACTTATTTATCAACACGCAAGATGCAGAATCACTCAACCATTTCCACCCAAAACATCACCGAAAGATGACAGACATAACGTGAATATTTCTAAAAGTCACTTGATTATAACGTTCGTTTAAAAGAAATCGTGTCTCTTTTGGGATGTGCATCTTCAAATGACTGTACAGAATAAACAGTAATTCACAATATGTTCTTAAAGTTTGTGTACCTCATAAAGCAGGAAGTCACTTGACCAAGGCTCCGTATTCACGTTCACCGCGCGAGATTGGGACGTGACGACAACCCGGAAGTGCTTGAATAGCAACGCGTCATTGTTGTTAGGGCACGCCCCCATTGAGAAGTCTTTCGTGGCGGGATATTTAATCAGACATGGATTCTGTTAAGAGCAAGAAGAATATCCCCATTGCTGCTAGACAGAGGGGTGAGTGAATTTAATACCTGTTTTATATACTTAGAACTTTAGCACTCGGTGTCATTATCAGTAAGTCCAGTTTATCGTGTCTCTACGGGGAGCAACAGCCTGCCCCTTAATCAATTGCTCACCTCTACTGAGGTGCCAACTTGCTACCTCCAGGCATCCGGCATACCACTTAATTTGTAGAAAACAACAACATATAAATGTACGGCTACCAGACATTAGAGAATAAATTAACAAAATAATCCAACTAAAGTCTAGATTGATTTGGCAAGCCCAGATTGACTCAGCTCTAGGCTGAAATTTAGCTTTGTTCTGAACTCATGTGGGTTTTATTTGGTAGTTTGTTTATAAAAAAAAATTAAATAAGATAATTTCATTTCTGGGAATAAATGTTGGTCTAAGCAACCAGTGGAAATACGAGTTCAGCTTTATCAAATCACATGAAGAAGACGTATCCTGCATATTATATTTTATGTCTTGTCGATTTCACTCAGGTTTCGTTATGTATGATTTTAGTCACGTCGTAAATATGGATATATTAATCGTGAATATCATATCGTTACTTAGGTGTTAATTACTATATCTATTTACTACAGGTCCCGGTCCTGGACGCTATGCCTTGCCTTCTACGTGTGGATTCAATGGTCATGACTTCACAAAGTATACCAGACCTGCCTACTCGTTTGGACGTCGTCTCGGGGACTTCTGTTAGTTGGCATAGTTACCGTTTAAATACTAAGTTAATGTTACTCGGTCCAGGATCAAACACATTTACATGTTAACATGTTCTACACGGAGCTACCGATCATGCCAAAATACGTAAACGATTGCATTTAATTGTAACTGACATTAAATATCAAATATGTGCTTTTGTGTCACGTATTTACTGACGATGCAGAAGACAACAGCTGTTTACTCGAACAGGGGATGTGCTTTTGCGGATAGGAAATCTAGAGTTTGTTATTATTGCAGGATTAGATTATCATTAGATCATTGCAGTTATTTTGGGTGTTACTAATCCATTTGGCCAATTGCACTTAATTCTGATGGTAGTCATTCATCTTCTTTTGAGAGTGTCGATATAAACAGGCGACTACTATTATGTTATTGGGGAGTTGGGCCATTTTATGTCTTATATATAGCTTGAGCAGCGGAAACATAGCAGAAGACGAGGGTTGATTCTTATCCCACTGCGAGTGTGGCATTTATCAATAGGTCCTACCTTTCATAACTTTGATGTCACTGTCTCTGTGATTGCTGTTCCTTGATATATATATTTGTGTTCAACTCGGCGCCTCTATAACTGAGTATGTGTATATTGGTTGATAGCATGAGCTTCGATGGACGCTGTCAGGGGTACAATGACGCATTCCATCAAATAACACGTTGAACACTCTATTCATATTTTGTGCGGGTCTTACCACAAAATAAGTGAAGTGAAATGGGGATTAACGTTGCGTTCAAGATTAGTTCATTTGTTTTGCGACGTGCATTCACGTGTCAATGTGTGGCTGCTTGTACTAGTCCGGACTTCTAGTGCTAGCCAACTGAGATACCAGACTCGAGTCGACAAGTCCTTTTTATCCCCTTAATGCCGAGGATTTTATGTAATTTGGACATATGGTTCTGAGCGACTGTTAAACAGTAGTCAGCCAAATTTTACCAATATGAACCCCTGCAGTGAAATTATACTCTCAGGTGAAGATCTGTAGCTGATAATACGTATTTCAATCCATACCTTTTGCGAACTCCCTGGTCCTTAGACCAGTGGATCCTAGCGGTGTTGAAGGATGCATATAATTTCTATGCTCACATTTCACCAAAAGTGAGTGAGTGAGTATATACTTCACATTTTAAAGAACATTATAGGAGCTTCATTAAGCGGATCATGTGTGCATGTGTAATAAGGGAAAATTGCGTGCAATAAGGTGTTTCATACAACGAAAACCTGTGCACGTGTCTTAGACCAGTGGATCCTAGCGGTGTTGAAGGATGCATATAATTTCTATGCTCACATTTCACCAAAAGTGAGTGAGTGAGTATATACTTCACATTTTAAAGAACATTATAGGAGCTTCATTAAGCGGATCATGTGTGCAGGTGTAATAAGGGAAAATTGCGTGCAATAAGGTGTTTCATACAACGAAAACCTGTGCACGTGAAGGTCATTATGTTGTTTAATTTTCTAAACTGAACTATACATCATATTATGTATCTGGGTGACTTTATAATAACCCACTGTTTGTCATAATTTTTTTTACGTGCTGTTTCTACAGCCACAAAGAAGGAATGCAGTCCTGGTCCGGCGTATTTCATCAACCCGAGCATAACAAGGTCGGGTAGAGACGGCACCCCTGCCTATTCCCTGCTTGCAAGGCAGACATATCTTGGTATGTATAACAACAATAATAACAATAATGTCGACGTGGGATATAAACTGAATTATATTGTATTGATGGCAAGATAACATAAATAAAACATCACTAAATAATAATGCTTTCTCACATTAAAGGCACGTTCAAGACTCCATCACCAAGAGCTTACATGCCGGAACGGGTTCACCCACAGGGGGAGAGAAATGCCCCTAAGCATTCCATCGGTGCCCGGACCCGCTACCGTAAACGTGATGGCAACCCAGCCCCGAACAAATACACCCTACCAAAGGTTCTGGGGGCATTCCAGCCGGACAAGCAATCATCTCCCGGCTACTCCATGACGGCACGGTCGATGATCGGCGGCTACGCGGACGACTTGGCCAAGGCCCCCGGACCTGGCAACTACAATGCCACCGTCCCCGACCTCTATAAGGACAGGTCCCCCCTGTACTCCTTGAGGAGACGCAGCTACATGCCCGGGGACAGTACGATGAAGCCAGGGCCTGGAGCTCACTGCCCGGAGAGAGTTGTTATAAACCGACCAAAGGCTGCTGTCCATTCCCTTGGAATCCGCCATTCCGAGTTCATCTGTCCCCTGTTTGTAGATATTTCAGAATAGCTCCTGCTTATCTTGTTTTGGTTTATGAAGGGATTTTAAACATTTTAACAAAATATTTGTATATTTTGATTGTATTAATTGTCATATTGTTATAAATGAACTTTTGGCATATATTTCGCGCTAATAGTTTTTGGATATTATAATGTTAATTTCTTTCACACCTTGGCAGACGTCTGTAACCAAGATTTTTATACATGATACATTTATTAAGAACGTATGTATATCTGTGTGTTGGTTATATTTTTCAGTAAGACCTGTAGAGGTTTTTTTTTCAAATGGGTAATTAAATTGGAAATATGTGGTAGAGGTAAACGTGTATATACTTCTTACTATGGTGTGTAATAGTGTGTATGTGTATCACACTACCATACGCCATATATATTTATTCTTCTTACGATAGTGTGTATGTGAATTCCATACCACCATACGCCCAAAGGGACAGGCCGTTATAGATACTTGGCATTCCTAAGTCTGTTTCCTGCATGTTACATACAGGCATTGTGTACCTAAAATTGTCATCACCAGGAAGTTACTGGCATGAATACAAGTTATTAACAATGTTGCCAAGAAAACGAGGTATGTAATCCTTTCATTAAAATTGCATTTTTTGCAAGGTGAGGCTAGGAAATAAATGGATGAAAAACGTAACGTATTGTTTGTTTATATTTGAACCCGAAATAAAAGTTGCACTGGGAAATGTGGGAATATAATTGAAAAAGTTTGAAATATACTGAAGGCAAAGGAAACGCAAGTTAGCCTTATTTTTCAAGTTTGAGAACAAACGACCAACGCTATGATGTCAAATCACATATTTTTAGAGAGGACTGTCAGTGAACTGAAGGCGATTGTTACACTGGCAATACAGGAGTTTACAAAGGAACACAGAACGTTAAAGAGAGATACCTTTCCTAGTAGAAATGACAAGTATCCTCAGTATCAAGTATGGCGGCCGTTGGTCTGGCACACAGGCCGTACAATGTCGCCTCTTCGAGTTAACAAGTGTCTGTGAGAATGACTGGGGACCTATGGTTGCAGCTGAAGGTTCCCCAAACCTTCACACTTCCACCACCCATCAGTTAGTCAGAATGACAGCAATCATGATGACGTTCATTAGTGGGAGGCCAGACTCGTCTGAAAAGAACTTGAAGCCACTGTGCACGTCGCCAACACAGATGTTGCCGGGCCTTTACTGTAAACGTTGCTGATGGTGTTGTGTCAGAATTGGTACCACAGGGCGACATCGTCGACAGTGGAGTTAGGCAGGATGGAGACATCATTGAATACTGTCAGCCGATACTGCCCCATTGGCCCCTGAACTAGAGCTGCTGTTCTTGTTGCTTGATTTCTGTTCCTGAGATGACAGAGTGAACCTTATACAGCGTTATTGTGCAGATATTATGTACTACTTAACATTTCCTAAGGACCAAAATAATCATCTTAAGTCAAATGTGTGGTCCTTACTAGAGTTGAGTGGTAATACTCTGGGTCGACCAGAACATTGTGTTAATGAACATGACACCCAGCAACATTCCAGGACACCAGGAGCATCGATGTACGCATTTGGTTTATGATGACATGTATCAACCAAGTCAGTGAGTTTGCTGAAGGCCAATTCTAACCCGGAATCTTCAGAGGACCAGCCTGATGCATCGATCAACAAGGGACAGAGTTAGCTGTAGACTTTGTGCAAGCGCAGGCAGCAGTCTAGGCATAGTTGTCTTCAACTGTAGACCTGGGTGCCATTGTACAGTTCAGTGCTGCGACTGTTGTATGTATGTTAAGGAATGGGAGTTATGATCACCTCAGCACTGCGATCCTTTCTACCACACACTCTAGTGTGAATACTGAACTAATGTTCCACATCCACCTTAATTTATAAAAGAGTGAAAAGGCACATGCTGTTACACAAAATTTATGGTCATGGGTTATTGTGGTTGTGTGTGCAGGTGTGGTAGGGACACCATCTTGCATGACATTAGTTCATCTGTCATTTCCCATTCAATTCAGACAAAATGGAATGTTTTAATAATACATATACAATTTTTAAAATGTTGGGTTTCTTTTGATCTTCAGTATATTTGTCAAATAACAGTATGATGAAAGCATTATTATTCCTTCTTGGTGTGACTGGTCCTGCCTCCATCATAGCTTGTGTGTGTGTGTGTGTGTGTGTGCGTGTGTGTGTGTGTGTGCGTGTGGTGTGCACGGACTGATGCCATATATAGTGCTAGCTTACTGAGATACCATGCCACAGTTTAACATGAATACCCCACTCAGACACAGTATACTGACTCCAAGCCGTCCAGTCCTTGTTTAAGCCCCTTAATGCTGATCGCCAGACAGGGTAACAAGTACCACCATTAAACGTCTTTTGGTACGACACGGCCGAGAATCAAATCCCAGACCTTCCGCTCTCCGGGCGGACATCCTACCACTAGACCATGGAGGCAATCCCAGATCACTTGGCTTGTTGGTAATCTTGGTGCTCAGATGTTGAGGATCGTTGCTCATGCTATCAGTGACAGGATTGCCTTGTCCAAAACTTGATTATTTATAGGCTGCACCAATATGAAGAATATGTCTGACACTCATTCTGGAACAGGACAATCATCTTAAGGATTCATGTACCAGCTGAGCATAAACCCCTAAAGCGAATTTTACAAACCACTGATTACATAATAAAAGTGAATCTAGGATCTGAACACAAAATCACACAGGTTAGGATTGTCTTTTAAACCATGGCTCCTTTGTCTTTGACCATGCATTAACACCACTTGGCAATGACAGAACTTTTCCCCTTATAATTTACCTTGATGATACAAGTTCATGAAAATCGTGTTGCAAGAAGGATTCAAACCCGCGAAGCTGCACGGAAGGTTAACATATGTAGTCTTATGCCATGGTGATGCAAGAAATTGTATGAAACGAACAACTTAATATTTACTTACATCAAGACTAATTGTTTATGCATTCTTGAACAGCAAAATGTCTAATGCAGTTTTATACAGTATGTTACTCTGCACTGCAGTATATGTACCTACTTGTGATTTGGTATTGTTTTCTTCAACGAAACAGATTAGAGCTGTTTGCTCATAACATGGGCATGTAATATTTAGGTGATTGATAAATGTAATTGAGTTGGTCTAAATGAATGGTATACTTGCCCTGGGACATGCATTTCATAACTTAACAAAAAATAAAATGCCAGAGCAAACAAAACATGGAACATTTCCCTATTTGCACATCCTCTTTGAAAGAACACACTAGCTTTTAATCCTTCCTACTTTTTTATGAAGATGATGTTAGCTTTCTCTGCTGGTCAAGAAACTGTCAGCACACACTAACGATAAGTTACGCGAAGCAAATAATGTTCTCTCAGTGCTCCAGATACCTTTTTCTATTTTAATTGGGTTATTACATTTTTCATTGGGTAACCAAAATAATCTATATATCACTCTACTGGGTTTTCCCCCAAACGAGCCAACATTTTGAGATTTAAAAATAAATAATGTTTAAGATGTATATAACGGTTTAAATTGTACACAAGTTAATTGAAAGCATTTGGGTTTTGAGTGTGTGTGAGTGTGAGTGTGAGTGTGAGAGAGAGAGAGAGAGAGAGAGAGAGAGAGAGAGAGAGAGAGAGAGCGCGCAAATACGCAGCTGTTCTGTCTCGTTATCACAATTCCTTCAGGTCAGAACCATTCACCCATCTAAGTAAATAATAAAAGAAATCCAAGTCAAGACAAGTCATTTATTCTGAGTTCTTATAGAAAAATAGAGTAAGTGTAAGAATGAGCGCAAGAGTTAGGAAAAGACATGACAGGTATCTACACAATAAACAAAGATCTCAGAAGGAATGACACATAATACACTCTAGTATGACTCTGAACACAATGTTCACTGCAACATGTATGCCATGAAAGACTGGGGAGACTGATACCTTGTAACCTGCTGTAGTCCACACATTATAGGGTAACACTTGAAACTGAACCGCATCTTAATGTCAATGCTCACTTCACAGTGGAGGTTATATGTATAACGTAATGTTCGGGACTTGGGATATAGCACTGCCCTGCTGCTCGAGCAAATGCAACAATTCTGCCTGTGGCGGAGGATCCACAGATGCTGGATGAAGGGGGACGGCATCTGATTGAGGGTAGATCGATCGCATGACGGTGAATTGAGTATGTACAAATGTAGGTGCTCAACGTGGAGATGAAGTGTGATCATGCAGCGGTGAGTTTCCGTCGGAACAGTAGTATGTGTGGCTCTGGAAGAGTAAGGGTTCAATGAGTGATGAAATAGCAAAGATAAAATCAGTGTAAAGATTCTATACATGACACATGATGCCCTCAGTCGATAGAGATTTCTCAGTGGATTACACACAATAGTAGATTTTAGCATAATGTTCAATAATGTGAGAATATATAAAGCCTTTTCTCTCTATATATATTGTTCCTGGTATCAGCAAAATACAAGTCACCATTGCAGAATCAAAAATAATCTTCCTGATGCAAAAGAGTAAACTGACCATAAAAACCCAGTTATAGTTCTTTATAGTTTTTACTAGGCTGTAATGTGAGTCATATTTTGGCTGACCTAACAAGTATGCATCCAACATCCAGTTCATAAAGATAGCAACTGCTGTGCAGATTTGGGGTAATTGCAGGATTTGCAAAGCATGTGTACCATCAGCGTAGACATTTTTCAATCTTTACATGTTTTAATCAACATGGTCAAGTACTTAATGCACTTAGCCAGGTAAGACCTGTTTTAATACAATAAAGATGTTGATAATTGATCAGATTGTCTTGACAGGGTGCCGTCATCTTGTTTGAAGCAAATGCAAGTGATGGGAGGTGGAATGGGGACATAAAAGGGATGTAACTCGTAAAAAGCCAGTGGTGGCGCTATGATCGAGCCATGGAATTCCTAGTAGCTCACATGGATATGTAAACAGTCTAAAACGTTGACATTCACATAAAACATGTTATATTTTGTGCCATTGGAAACAAAAGTATATACAAATATAAAGTTAGAAACAAGTCTTATGCTTATAAATCTTCCATGGAGCATAACGTTTTTCTAATGCTATACATTTTTTCAAATTGTTTACAAAAGAACACAGAAAAATCTTTATGATCTGAACAAAATGTCACAAGAACCATACATAACAAAGTCAAGCTTTCTCAGTCTGGAAATTTTAGGGATGTTAACAGAGAAAAACCTGGTGATTGGTGGCCATAATGAAATCAGACTCAAACCTCTTGAATTTTTTTCAGATGTCATCAGTGGTGGGAATAACCATGTGAAGTTTCAACTCCATTGGTTCCATGGAAATGCATCTTGAGAGAATATAAGATAATTTCAAAGTGTAAAGGCCCAAATTAGAAATATCGCTGAAAAAATGGAATGTGTTGACTGTTGAGCCCCACTACTAACTTTCAATCTTTCAGTATGGTCAAGTGCAGCGTTAAACAACAAACCAACCAACCAACCAACCAACCAACCAATCAGGGTTAGAAACTAACAGTTTTTGTCCACTAGTCCTTACAATGATAAGATATAGCAAAACCCTTAAAATGGGCCAAATTCTACTAGTCCTTAGGATACCTCTACTATTGGGCAGTTTGGTAAGGACTACAGGACTAGTGCCAAATTCTAATGCTGAAGTTTTCGCTGCTGCTAAACAAAGATCTGAGGACATCCCATTATGGGTCACTTCAGAACGACCTTTCGTGAACTTTGACCGACCACTGAAATGAATAACAAGAACTCGACATCAGCCAACTGGTAAGCAGCTTTCTCTTTATGCAACTTTATGGACCTCGTTTCAACCTGGCGACTTCCCTTTCAGACTACACTTGAAAAATATGTTGACGCAGTTCTCGATTAAGATTTTGATAACTGAACAAACGAACATACCGGAATGTCTAATATATGGTTGAGATTGCATAGCAGTGCTTCCCACATATACTGTGCAACACCTCCTCCGTTCAAATGTTTATCCCATTGAAGCAAGAGATAGACGATAATTTTGATGGAATCAGACGTATGGGCCATAACTGTCGTTCGGAATACACTGTGTTAATGTTTTCGAGGTTGCATGATTAGAAAACACATTCTGACTGTCACTTTCATGATCTGGTAAGCGATGCTTTGATTGGTCGGATGAAAGGTCGTTCTGACGTGACCGCAGTAATGGGATGTCCTCAGATCTTTGTTTAGCAATGAAAACTAAGATCTGAGTTTTATGAGATTGTTTTCTTTTCTGCCAAACTATTGTACAAGACAATAACCAGCATATACAATAACCAAATATACAATGGATCTTGACCATGTTGACACATCAATACTTCATGCCAATACTCTAAACTTACAAAGTTAATTACCTTGGGACACAACCCGCAATTCCCCACTGCTAATTCTTCAAATCTTACAGGACTATAGCTTACCAGGTTCATGTCTCATGTAGTGTATCCAGCCATGGCTCTGCTGGACACCAATACTTCTCCACTCTGGTTCAGACATCAAGTGAGTCTTTGGCACAAGTTTGGCAATTTCTTTGGGAAGCATTACATGTCTGTAACAAAAATTCATATTGCTGCTGAGTAAAGTGGGAATAATACACGTTTTAAGTTTTTAGATTAAATGTAGTTTTCATTATTATGCACAAGAATGTTTGTTGTTTAACGCCGCATTTTTCTGCATTGGGGATCAACTCACTAGACACTTCTCGTTCAAACATAACGTTGTCCAATTTACCACGTCATTAAGTTGCAATGCATGTTCGAATCTCGAGAAATGACATGATAGAACAATGTGTTATAGTGAAATAAACCACTTTCGTTCAAGTAAAAACTCAATATTTTATAAAAGTCCCACAAGACTAGTCTTGGACAAACGGTCTTGTGGCTGTACATGTGTCTTTCCCCGAGTGCTGTCTCGCTTACAACTGAGACGTGTATTGCTGTTGGGAGCTTATGCATCATGTGATAAATGGGAAAGACTATGAACAGAAGAAAATTAAAAGTTGCCTGAAACAGCATTTTAAGCAGAATTATTATTAAAATGTCAACTTATGAGTACCCCAAATCTGAAATCCAAAGGAATATAAATAGACTAGAGTGAATACTGTCAGCTGATGAAAACATACAAATGGGTAATTTACTCAATGGTTATTTGGATCCCTGAGCCTGGTAATAATTCACCTTTTTCATAGAAACGATGCCAACATTGCCAATTGTTACTGGAAAGAGTATGCAGTGCATCAGCACTTGTCTGTACTATGCAGCCTTACCAAGTGCTTGTCCCATATGCTTATATGGTAAGAAATGGGAAAGATTTGTGCCAGTAACCCCATCTTCGCCATTTGCATGGGCTAAATTTGCAAACTAACCAGATGTTATGAATTTTATAAAATTCGAGGCAGGGTGGTAGAAGTTATAGATGGGACCATGCCATAATAAATGATACGATTAAGATATACGTTCTAACAAAAAATAATTCCCAAATATCCAGTGATCAGTGATACGTCTTATTTAGCTAAAACGTTTATGATATGTCACATGTCACGTGTGAATGCAACACCTCGCATCCGTTTGAGATAACTTTGCTTTTATGAATACAGATTACACTGATTTGACCCCTCTAGTACTGGCAATATATTGTTTACCTGGTGAGACCTATTTCATTTATTATGGTTTATTATGATTATTCGTTCATCGAGTATCCTGTATTTAAAAACCGTCGCAGTTTTCAAACAAGTTGCAACAAGTGCTTGTTATGAGCGGTATTGTTCAAACAGGTTGATGTAAATTATTACATGCTCACCTGTACTCGAAGTCCTCATCCGTATATTTGTCGGAATAATATATCTGTTTGGCAGACATTTTCGGTTTCGCGGTTGTTCGAAACTTTCCAAATACCGCCTCGCTGTGCCTCTCTTAGCAAGTTTAGTGACCGAATGAAGGCATCTGACAGGTTTTCAAACACGGTCCCTGCATTTGATTGGTCGGCAGGATCTAAACATTTGTCCCTATTGGTTCATTGATATTTACGGAATATTTGACGAAGATTGTCGAAATTATGAAGCACCATATTTTTTAATATGACTATTCATCAACAATAAATAGCTTAGATTTAAGGATGGACGACATTTTATCAATCACAATACCATTATATTTACAAACAACTTAGGAAATAGCAGGCATGCGCACTGTCCTTTCGATGGAGAACTTCCTGTTTATTTCGCCAATCCCACTTCCTAGTTTTGGTGGGATGAGTTTATGAACAGGGTATTGTTTGCTTTAACAACACACAATCAGGTAAGGCGATATGATATTTAAGCGACGGTACGTTCGTTTATTTGGAGAATGATATCGATCGGTAACTAACCACTATTTCCTATAATGACTTTAAGTACTTTTTTAGCTCACGTTTTACTAAAAATAGAAGGTTACAACATGTTCTATTTGTCATTGCATGCAGTGAATGGTTTGATTGTATACAGTACTCACGATCTAGACTATGATTCATTTAAACCTCACACGTGCATATTCTATTTATGTGATGCAATCAGTTTAAGATAAGTATAAGAGGTTGTGCTTGTGAATTTGAGAGACAATTTAGAATGGGTTTTACCAAACATTGCTGTAAGTCTAAGGCAGGGTGAGTTCCACAACTATTTATGAAATACATACTAAACTTTCCTTCTATGTTACCATGAAAACATGGATCTCCAGCTATTATTTCATTACTGATTACATGTGAAAACATGTTCTTCAGATACATGTTTGAGTATTTTCCTGTCATGTTCGCTATTACCAACATGGTCAGTGTTAAATTTAATTAATCATGACAGGCAAAGAGTCCTGTCATAACAATCCTGTACTATAGAAGCAAATTTCAAGGACCTCAGTAAATGTCTTACAAAGCATGTCATTTGTCTTGACATATCCCCTATTAATATGTCTAGGAATGACATTGACTACCAAGCAGTCTTACATTTCATTCCTTGTTCATAGTGACATAATAAGATAGAAAAGAATTATAATTTTGAACTATATTTTGTCATTGCATGTCACAAACTTATGAAAGCACTCTAGAACAAGAGTAAACCTTAGCGAAATTTCTAGTTCTAGCTTTACAATAGGACATTTTGACATATTTAAATCCATTTTTTCTGTTCCAATTTCTGATCAGTTTCAATAGTTCATGAAACAATTGTGTAAATATGATGTAACATAATAAAAATGTTTAACTCAGAATCCATAAAACAAGATCCTTCTAATTTCACTAGTATGTGGTCTTTATGAGGAAATGTTTTTATTCTCTTTTTGTACTTTGTTATGTTCAAACAAAAGTATTGACTACACAAGCTGTAGTAAGTAGACGCACATTTCAGATATGTTAGTCTGGGGAAATATTTTGTTGTTGTATTTTTCTGATTATTATGATAACAATAACATATTCGGCAAGCTATTAAAAAGTAACACATATTGCACATGTCAGAGGACACCTCTAACACAGGGCAGGTTGTTTCGGATGAGTAGGCCTCATTCCCTGCAGAATCAGTCTTATTGTTGTTTTGTTCAATCAAAGCAAATAAGTATAAACTGCACCAATAATTTAATTACTTTGGTTGAATTTATTCAGTGGAGTCATTACATTGTTATTTCTTTAAAATGTTTAATGTTTTAGTGACTGAACACTACACATGCTGTATTCATGATGTCACCAAACGAACCTCACCCACAAAGAGATTTCTAATGACTTTCCATAGTGACATCACATGCAACTCCCTCTTTTAAACAATGACAGATCAAGGGTGAAATATGGTGACCTCATTTTGTGGGTCAGTCAGGTCAAGCAAGATATCATAATTCTCCATATTTGGGTATGAGGATCCATGTATTTAGAGGCTCCCTGGTTAGAAACACTGTGCCATTATGAGATTATCACACATCAGTAACCACCATGCTTCAGTGACTTTCACCATTTGCTAATTCCTTGAAGCAGTCTTCTGAGTATATCACGTATATTTTACAGTAGTCATTTACCCCTACAGGCAACACCCAGGCCAGCTGTAGACACTCCTGGGAATTAGACATGCACCACTGGTCTCCAGATTAAGAGTTGATTGATTATGGAGATGCTGTTTATCTTGCATCCAATGTTATGTAATAGCTTTGAATGATGATAATGGTATTTGGTGTTTAGCTGTGCCTTCAAGGCAGATATTTGGCATATAGACTCAATAAATAGATTTCAGCCATGTGATAGATTTGAAAAGTTTATTGGATACTGAGTGACCTTTTTCTGACGGCAGGAAGGTGCCATGTTGAATGTAGAGCCTTACTGGTAGTTACAAAGTTAGTTCTGTGTTCTCTCAGTACCCAGTGGAAAAGATAAGGCCCCATCATTAAAATTGCACAACACGTCAAGCAGAGGGTACCTTATTAACTGCCAGAAAGGGGAATCCCCTTACTGGAGGATAGTTTTTGTTTGGGGGACGATTTATTGTGTTGTATTTTATTGTCTTTTATTCACTATTTCCGATTTCATATTTAATTTTGGTCAAGCGTTTCAGATTAAGTATAAAAATTAAAATCTGCAAAGTTGCAATGTTGACTTTACTTTCCCTTTCAAGCTCAAGTTTTTCATAGTATTGTGTTTAGTGCAATAATTTGGATAGGTGATATTAGTAAGTGATGGACATAAAGGCCACATTTGTTTTTTTATCTTGTTTATATTTTTTAACTTAATACCAAGCAGTGAAACGTGTAGGCATCTGAATTTAAAAAAAATTAATTTGGCACAATGATTAAGAAAAGAAATTTAAAACCATTTCCCTGGCAGGAAAATCCTAAGCAATGGTTTAAGAAATTTGTTGAATTAAAACAATTACTTCATTGTCAATATATTTTTTTTCATTTATTATTTGATAACATTGTGATTAATTTAATTGTTTCTCATCATGCTCATATATAAAAGTTATTGTATTTGCAGAAAGTAACAAGTCAATCTCAATACCCATAGACTCCTAGTCCTGCACCATGACTTTGGAATGTATTTATTTTATAAAAAATAAATAAATTAGAAACTTATACAAATTCCAAGTCTAGCCAGCTCTAGCTAGCTCTATTCCACAGTCTATGAAATCAGCATAGGAAAATTATTTTTAATTTTTAGAGTCGAGAAGGGTATTGTGTGATATAAGATTTCATCGACTAAATGTTTGTCCAATAGGCCACATTAGTTAACATAATGTATCATTGTGATCCTGCTGGTTAGTGAATGTGATGCTGGTGGTTAGTGAATGTGATCCTGTTGGTTAGTGAATGTGAGTGAATGTGATCCTGGTGGTTAGTGAATGTGATGCTGGTGGTTAGTGAATGTGATCCTGGTGGTTAGTGAATGTGATCCTGGTGGTTAGTAAATGTGATCCAGGTGGTTAGTGAAATGTCCAAGGAAACTAGATTGTGCATTTCATTTGACTTGAATTCCTGCGCTGATGTACTTCACTCATCCACCTATTCCTACATATCCCTGATGTGTTTCACCATACACAAGGGAGAGCAGAAAATTCATTCTTTGATTATATAAGCAATAAACATGACAGGTAAGGCTTGTTCATCAGGGCTAGTAAATGTTTCTGACTGCTAGCCCAACTTTTAATGCTTGGTAGTTGGCAGGCATTACAATGTGTAGTTAGTCAGTAGGTATTATTATGTGCACAGGCACTGTAACATGCACTGGTATTCGGTAGGTATTAAATAGGGCTGCAACGAATACACTATGAGGCGAAAACGATTTGTATCATGAATATAGGGTAACGAATACGAATATTAATTCACGAATACAATAACAAGTCAGCAGTTGATATATCATTTGTCATATTCAGCATGTTCAGTGAGGCAACAACAACATAAATTATTTGACATGGTTTGTTTATTTTTTAATATATTATTAATTATATTATCCATTTATTTACTGCATTTATCCAGGTACTAGTTTCTGCTCAAATGCAACAATGACCAGTGACCACAATACTGTCAAATTAAATAGTATAAGAGTGTTGTCTTTTGAAGAAATCTATGCATAAAATATGTTCTTATGGGTATTTTTTTTATGTAAATGCATATGCTTGCATATTCATAAATATTCAATTCTAGTGGCCAAGAATAACGAATTCAATTCATGAATGGATACGGTTCGATTCAACGAATACGCGAGTGAATCGTAATAGCCCTAGTATTAAATCAAATTCCTATCATAGGTAGTCAGTTGTAAGCATCGTGTCCGTACAGACTATGTTTGATCTTGAGAATAGTTAAAAATATCTTATCGTGATATAATGTCAAGTCTCACTTCAACATGAAATTCTGTTTACATGAAATCTTATGTACACATTCCTTTGTAGCGGCACCCCAAATCATGATTGCCAGATACTATGTTTAGATGTGAAGGCATTACTCTGTTCAATAGTCAATACACTGGGGGAGTGTTCAAGACAAACAGGAGAAAAACATTACTAAATTTCACTGAAGCAGAATTGTAAATTTGAAACTGTTTTCCTACTTTTTTGTGAGTTGTACTATAGACCTTAGTATATTATCTCTGTGTGTACAGATTCAGCTTTGTATGAGATACCTATGTCCGGGACCTATGTCCGGGACCCAACACAAGATTTAGGGGAAGCAAGGAACAAATGACTTTTGTCTCCTTTTTTTTAGCATGATGAACTGACATAAATTATTTGTAGGCTCACAGGGTCACGCTTACCATTGTAGGTCTAAATATATCTTTACTTGATAATACTAGTGACACAGTCGTGGGTTTAGGCATGGTATGCATACTGACCCAGTTTGCCGCTACACGCACTGAAGGACAGTTGTTGAGTCACAGGACTGTTCATGTAATACACTTCCTGCTTCAGCTGACTTTGGACTAGTCCACATCTTTTTGACTTGGACAGACAAGTAGGGTAACCAGGAAATCAGTCCTCTCTCAGCAGTGACACAGACCACCACACGTTGTGGTCACATACCAAGTCAGTGCTCTTGCTGAGGAACACATATTGAGGTAAATAGTTTATTATGCTGATTTTGTTTTTTTATTTTGGCATTATTTAGTAAATAAATGTCAGAAATGTAACCAGGGTAACCTTTGTCTCATTTTGAAATAGAACTTGTAGCATGGGATATTTTGTTAATGCTTTTTTCGAACTTACGTGTTCTGAATAAATCAGTGTTTGACATTGACAGAGGTACTGAAGTTTGCTGATGTGCTATTTGTATGTATGGACCCTTAAATCTTCAGCTTGTAACTTGACGGCATGACCAAGACCCTTTGAATTCAAACACTGTATATGATATTTCAACAAGAGACCCAAACTTCTTTACTGTTAACTTGTACTGACTTGATTAGACGCCAGGCTTCAATTACATCCCAGGTAGTTTTTTTTGCATGGAATTCACTATTATTATCTTTGTGTTTAAACGCTGGGGGGAGTGTCTCAAAGAAATATATGCCATGGTGTTTAATTGAAGTTTTAGTGATGTGTCACATTATCTCTGTGATAAGTTTATTGATGAACAAATAATGAAGGATAAATAATTAGGTTATTATTTATTATTTGAATGATACTTAAAACATGCTTAAAAAATGTGACAACATGGTAGTCCTGTTTGAGTTAAATCAGTTGAAATACAATCATCATGATGTAACTTTGATATATTGTTGACCTATTTTCACGATGTTGTTGTGCTTAATGTAAATAATAATGTAACTGTAGTTATGGAAGATAATCCAGTAATTAAACACTTACAGAACAATACTTACCTTTAATGCCAATTATACAATGTATGCTATTTCTCATGTCACTATCAATACATTGCTATTTGTATATGTATCATGTTTGGGAGATAAGCAAAATTTGCTTGTTTGCCAATCCCTCCACTTTATGGAAAAAAATATGTTTATATCGATTTTCACCCACACCATTCATAATGTGTATATTGTGTTCTTATGTTAGCAGTGATAAAGACATAGCTTGATAACATACAGATGGATTTGGTGACTGGGTTATAAATATGATGTGGTGGTTATATGGACATCTGTTGACAAGTATTAAATATCATGAATACTGTACTATTGATTTTCCTTTTCTTGTGGTATTATGACCACATATACTATGTTTATATTTAACCATAAATGCAACATATTAAAAGTTTCAAAGAATAAAAATGAGTTTGTATTAAGTTTTAAGGGAAAAAATGATTGTTTTTGCTGCAGAATTTAGCAATTTTAGATGCAAAAATTAATAATTTTAATTCAGAATTTGTCTGGGACTGGATAGCCAAGCTCCTGTCATCTCAATACTATAAGGATTAGGGCTGGGATTAGTCCAAATTTACTTCCTGGGTGCCTGACCCCTTATTCCTACCTGGGTACGCATTGTAGGTCTCAAGAGTTGGGTACAAACTGTCTGATTGGGAATTGATTTACCACAGCCCCGGCAAAAACTATTTACATACATGTATCAAACGATCAGATCATGCGAACATTGAAGTGACGAAAGGTTTAACTTTTCTCAAGCATATACAAGTCAAAAGGAATGTGTACATCGTCAGAAAGAAATGCAAACATTACCAACTTGTACTGTAACCACTGAGCTATAGTGACTTTTTGTCATTAAATGATGTATCACGTGACTAACCACGGGTCCAGGTAGAACTGTGGGTACCCGGGTCCTACTCAGTACCCACCCAACCCAAGTATCAGATTAACCATCCGAGCCTAATAAGGATGGAATATAATCAATCAAACAATTGAATAATTAAACAAAGTTCCATGGCTGTATTCAACATGCCATGTCATGGAGCTGTGTTCTGCTGTATAAACATGACTAGCATGACATGTCATGTAGCTTTGTTCTGTATTAAGATGACCAGCATGACATGTCATGCAGCTTTGTTGTCTATAAACATGACCAGCATGACAAGTCATGCAGCTGTGTTGTCTATAAACATGACCAGCATGACATGTCATGCAGCTGTGTTGTCTATAAACATCGCCAGCATGACATGTCATGCAGCTGTGTTATCTATAAACATGACAAGCATGACATGTCACGCAGCTGTGTTGTCTATAATCATGACCAGCATGACATGCCATGCAGCTGTGTTGTCTATTAACATGACCAGCATGACATGTCAAGCAGCTGTTGTCTATAAACATGACCAGCACGACATGTCATGCAGCTGTGTTATCTATAAACATGACCAGCACGACATGTCATGCAGCTGTGTTGTCTATAAACATGACCAGCATGACATGTCATGCAGCTGTGTTGTCTATTTACATGACCAGCATGACATGTCATGCAGCTGTGTTGTCTATAAACATGACCAGCATGACATGTCATGCAGCTGTGTTGTCTATTTACAAGGACCAGCATGACATGTCATGCAGCTGTGTTGTCTATAAACATGACCAGCATGACATGTCATGCAGCTGTGTTGTCTATTAACATGACCAGCATTGCATGTCATGCAGCTGTGTTGTCTATGAACATGACCAGCATGACATGTCATGCAGCTGTGTTGCCAGCGTGGTACAAATACAGAGATTTGTCACATAACAGTACTGGGATTATTTCCTCTGTTTCATTTTCACAATATTTGAGAAGATGATGTTACCACCATGTCCTCGCTGTGAGTGGAGTGCAGTGAATCGTTTCTGTACAAATATCCCAATGGGGTGTCTAATATGTCGTAAATAGCATCGTCACTCTCCCAACCAAGCGGTATTCATATTACCCGGTAATCCTAAAAAAATGAGTTATCATGGTAATCAGGTAATCAGGTAATAGGATTTAAGTCACTATGTATGGATATCTTATAAATCCCGTAGAAAATATTTGTGTTTCAGATAAACCAACTGACTACATATTATCATTGAATATCAAAACTGTCACCATCTTCCCGAGGCAAGGGAGTTAACTGACTTTAAAAGTCCAGTTTCCATCCTTGCCGAACTAGGCTGGTATTATGGAGTGAGATTTTGGCTGGACTAACGAGTCTATGCTTAGTCCAATCAAAATCGCACACTGCAATCAAAATCCAGTTCGTAAACTGTCAAGCAGAATTCGGACGATTGCAGGATTTGCACAGCATGTGCACCGCCAACTCGTTGTAAACAGATTTTTTCCAAATCTTTTCAAGTTTTTAATCAAGGTGCTCATGTGATTTGATGCACTTCGCGATGTAAGACCAGTTTTCTCACAATATAGATCTTGATTATCGATCAGATAGTCTTGACTGGGCGCCGCCATTTTGTTTGAAGCAAATGCAAGTGATACAAGAGGTGGAATCTGATTGGTCCATAGGAGAAGCATAGAAGGGACTTATCTCGTAACAACCACTGGTGGTGCTACGATCGAGCCCAGGAATTCCAGCCTAGTTCAGCAAGGGTGGAAACTGGACTTTTATAGTCAGTTAACTCTCTACCTCGGGAAGATGAACTGTCGCTGCCTGGACCTACAAATTTGAGAAACATTATAATTAACATAAGTTCTAAACAAGCCATCAATGTTCAACATAATTAAAATATTTATTTTATATTATTGTTGCCTGAAACACAAGTATTTTGGGGGCTATTGTGATTAGAATTAACTGTAACCACTGACACCAGCTTCTCAGTTTGGCAGTTGGTATGGTAGACTAAGAACCTTGATGTGCTGGAATGTTAGTTTGAGCTTGGTTGAACATGTTGAATAAAACTTGCAAGATCAGATACCCAAGTTCCCTCCGATGTCTAGATTGCTGGCTAGCTAGCTTAAATAGTTCTATGTGTCATTTTCAAATTTCAGTAACTTTAATATGCAACAGTATTTTTTACCAGAAATTTTATTCTTCGAAGGTGTCAATAAAGTAAATCCAACTCTGATCTTGCAACCTCGATTCATTAAGGATAGAAGTTTGGATCCAGGCAGTTGTTTTTGTTCAATAATGTAACTGTGTTACTGGGTTGTAGGACTCAGCTATGAACAGGAAGTTGTTTTGTACCCGGAAGCTGTAATATTTATAAGAACCGTGTGAACAGCTAGTGTTTCTGACGGGTAGTATCAGCAGGTTAGCATTGCTGTAGGACCAGCAGCATACCAGACATTGATAAATGCCAGTAGTTTCGACCTTATGGTTTCTTATCAAATAGAGAGGTGTTTTTTCCCTGAACGAATGTTTGACAACATTTTCTGCTTTTTGTTGTTGCCCAGCAGCACATGCTATAAGATAACTGTGTCATATTACAATCACACGCATTCACACACACACACAATACGTACATTATATGCCCCCCCACAAGCACACACACACACATGCACACACACACACACCATACGTACATTATATCCTCCCCACGCACACACGTACATATACATTACATGCCCCCCCCCCGAAACGCACGCACGCATGCGCACCATACGTACATTATATGCACCTTAATGGATCTGCTTTGACTTAGCAGATTACGTGTCATTGTACCCCAACAGTGTGAATCATTGCTCATGCTATTACTTGTCTGGTCCAGTGATAATGTGATAATGTGATAATGTCTGTCTTCTCTTCCAGCATGGCTGGTGTGATTGACAAGCTGCGGAAGAAGAACAAGGTTCCTGCGTCAGAATGGTCCAGGACAGGAAGCTTCCTGAACAAACCCGAGATAGGCTGGATCCACCCAGACCAACAGCTGGAGCCTGATGCAGGAATCTGCTATGGTGTCAGGGTATGTGTCAGATGTATATTTTAACTGTAGCACCACCTGTGTCAATCTCATTACAATCAGATCTTACTTATCACTACTGCTGAACAAAGTCCTCCCATTACCGGTCATGTCAGAATGACCTTCACAGACTTTGACCGATGAAAGAAATGACTAACCCTAAGTCATCAGAAAGCCACTGTGTTGATCTATACGGCACTAGTTTCAAACTTGCGACTTTCATTCCCGACTACACTTTGATAAATATTTTCTTGATTACGACAACTGAAAGTCTTATAGATAGCCTAGATTGTCTAAAGATAGCTTAGATTGTATGGCAACACTTCCCACAGCTATGCAAAGTCTTTTCTGTTCAAATAGTTATCCCACTGAAGTGAGAGGACCGCCTCCATGGTCTAGTGGTAGATGGAAGGTCCGGGGTTCGATCCCCAGCCGCGTCATACCAACAGACGTAAAAAGATGGTACTCGTTGGTACCGCCTCCATGGTCTAGTGGTAGATGGAAGGTCCAGGGTTCGATCCCCAGCCGCGTCATACCAAAAGACGTTAAAAGATGGTACTTGTTGTTACCGCCTCCATGGTCTAGTGGTAGATGGAAGGTCCAGGGTTCGATCCCCAGCCGTGTCATACCAAAAGACGTTAAAAGATGGTACTTGTTGTTACCGCCTCCATGGTCTAGTGGTAGATGGAAGGTCCAGGTTTCGATCCCCAGTTGCTCGGCATTAAGGGGCTAAAACAAGGACTGGTCAGCTCGGAGTCAGTATACTGTGTCTGAGTGGGGTATTCATGTTCAACTGTGACTAGTACAAGCACACACACGCACACGCACACGCACACGCACTCGCACTCGCACACACACACACACACACACACTCGCACACTCTCTCTCACACACACACACTCACACACTCTCTCTCTCACACACACACACACACTCACACACTCTCTCTCTCACACACACACACACACTCTCTCTCACACACACACTCACACACACTCTCTCACACACACACACACACTCACACACTCTCTCTCTCACACACACACACACACACACACACACACTCTCTCTCTCTCTCACACACACACACTCACACACTCACACACACACTCACACACACTCACACACACACACACACACACACACACACACACACACACACAGAGGAATAAGTCGTACAGCCCGTAACTGTTGTTCGGAATACGCTGTTTTAACGATTTCCAGGTTGCATGACTAGAAAACACATTCTGGCTGACTCTTTCCTGATCTGGTAAGCATCACTCTGATTGATCCAGTGAAAGGTTGTTTCAACATGACCTGTAATGGGATGTTCTCAGATCTTTGTTTAGCGGTAGTGTCCATTACAATACATATGAAAAGTGTAAAAAGTCTCATAATTTCTTGAGAAAGGGTTCTTGAAAATATACAAAAAAGTACCATGCATTTGTTACCTGAATCTTCATCATTTTATGAACATTGTTATCATGATCTGATTACATGTTTTTCTCAATCTGCAGTATATTGGTTGTATAGAAGTGAAGGAATCCATGAAATCTTTAGACTTTGAAACAAGAACAACACTCACAAGGTAGGTTCACTGTTTAACTTTATTTAAGAAATAAACGACGATTGGAAGTTGTTTATTGTACAATAAAACACTATAGGGAGAAGGATGTTATTAAAATGTACAAGCTTTAAATATATTTACCCATATGTTTTGGTTTGGTTTGGTTTGGTTTGTTTGTTGTTTTACTCCGCACTCAGCAACATTCCAGCTATATGATGGCAGTCTGAAAATAATCGAGCCTGGACCAGACAATCCAGTGATTGACGTCAAAAGCATCAATCCATGTAATTGGATCGATGACATGCTTCAACCAAGTCAGCGTGCCTGACCACCCAATCCCGTTAGTTGCCTCTTATGACAAGCATAGTCGCCTTTTATGGCAAGAATGGGTTGCTGAAACTTATTCTACCCCGTATGTAAATAATGCTGACTCCCTGAATAGAATCTGACCTCGGAAATGTTGCGTAAGTCCATAACTGTATAAATTCATTTCTATGACAGAACGATTCCGTATGATCATTTCTGGTGGATGATTGTTTATGACAAGATCATATGGCTTTTGTTACAGAGAAGCAATCAACAGAGTAACAGAAGCAGCTGGACTCAAAACAGCATCGAAGAAACGAAAGGTTATTTTTATTCTTTCCTGAGAAGAATATGTCTCCCTCAAGAGAATAACAGTGGATAAAAGTTCTTATTAAATCTTTCATTGACTGAATTCAGAAATGTTATCCAATATTGATATTTGTAATATGAAGCTTGATTACGTTTATTTGACAGTATAAGACGCATATATATATATGACAGTTAATGGTCATGTTGTATTTTAGGTAGAAAAGAAGATACAGAAAATGATCGGCGACAATCCGTACATGCAGTATGCTGGATCCAATGTCAATCTTACCATCACTGTGGAATCCATTAATCTTATGGTCATGGAATCAGGGGAGGTAAGTCTCTTGTTGCAGACCACTACTGACTACTACTACTACTACTACTACTACTACTACTACTACTACTACTACTACTACTACTACTACTACTACTACTACTACTACTACTACTACTACTACTACCTGAAAGGGAATTTGTTAGACATTAATATAATATTGAATGACCATAAGTTGTATGTATATGTTGTAGAACAGGGAGTGGGGGTCATTGCAAATATTTTTTTGTCAATAAAACATCATTTTGCAAAATTTTCAGTTCATTGAGAATTTCATTAAAAAAATATTGTATACATCATTGTTTTTCCCTCCACAGATTATTGCTGACCACCCCATGCAGGTTGTGTCGTTTGCCTCAGGAGGGGATGCTGTAAGTAGAAATACTTCTTCGTACTTCTCACCGTGTAATGTGAACAATCTTTAAAGTAGCATCATTGTGTTGAATCCTAAAGGTGATAGGTGTCACTGCAGACAGTGAAACATTAGAGTTACTTCAAGATGTGCATGAAAATGTGTGTTTGGGACACTGGGAGTTTTATCTAGTAATGAAGGTTGTTAAAATGAGAATTGTAGTCACGGTTTCAGATTTAAATATTTGTGCTGACCTTATAAGTTGCAAGCATTTGCTAAGGCCACAGTAAATTCATTGTTAGATTTTCATCCAAACTTATATGAAATGTTAAATGGGATCCATGGAGTTCAATCATTGAGTTCATGTTTGTTTTTGGACAGGAAACATTAGATTTTGTGGCTTACGTTGCCAAGGATCCCCAGAAGGGCCGAGCTTGTCATGTGCTGGAGTGTGGGGGAGGACTGGCGGAGGACGTGGTCACCACAGTCGGGCAAGCCTTTGAGCTCCGCTTCAAGCAGTATCTCAAGAAGCAGCCTAAGGCTGTCAGGCTGCCAGACAGGTGAGACCTGTGATAAGATGATGAGGCTGTTACTGATGAGGATGATGTGCGATGGGCATAATGCCTGTGGTGAAGATATGGTGACAGAAATAATGAGATCATTTCATTGATAAGAAACGGGAAAGGAAATAGTAGGTCCCAGTTATAGTTTAAGTGAAAACAGTGGGAAATAAGATGTCTGAAATTAATTTGATATAGCAATGTTAATTGATATGATAGCAGAGCTGTATGTTTTTAGGCAAGAGAATCCTAGTTTTGACAACAGCAAATGGGGTGATGAAGAGGAATACTACAATGACCACCCTGGGGCGTGTCCCCCCTCACCCCCTATCCCTGAAGTCCCCCCTGTCCCAGAGTACAAGTCTCCTACCAATGTACCGGTGAGTGCACAATAATTCATGTTTCGATATATTTGGAAAGATATCTATGATACATTCATTTCTATTTAAACAGATATTATCCTGTAAGAACAAGAATTCAGAGCTCCAGATAAGCTGCGTATCTGCGTAAAATACGCATCAGAAATGCAGAAATATGCAGTAAAATGAAATACAAGCGTATCAAATACGCAACGAACATTACAGATTCACTACAAAAATAAAACTTGTGCGTATCATCAAAATATTGTGAAGTAATCCTGCGTATTCAATTAGCAAATCAGCAACTTATTTTGAAATTATAAACAGGCATTCCGTCAACCTTGCCAAACTCCATGATGACAGTTACATCATGATCATTTGCCATCACACTTTCTTGTGGAAGTATCGTGGTATTTTTGAGTCCTATAAAGCTCTCGAACCCACACGACACCAGTTTGCAGGGACTAGATGAATAGTGTTTTTAAATATTTAACTTCAATACCCACATGTGTAAAAACTGGTGGGTAACAGAAATTTGAATACCCAGATAGAATTAATGATACCCAATGATTTTAAAATGCATGGGTAAAATACCCACAACACCAAAAGCTTATCTGGAGCTCTGAGAATTATAGTCAATTATTGATATTAAAAAAGGTTTAAATCTCAGTTTGAACAACTTGTAGTTTGACTATAATGAAATGAATAAATTGTTGTGTACAGGTTGGTCTGTATGCGTCGGTGAAAGACCGCAAGGAGAATGGTCTGCATGAGGGGCAGCTGATAGATCTGAGAGATGCAACGTATGACAACACAGGTTGGTGCAACAACTTCTTGTTACTTCTCAGCTGTCATCATCAGTTATTCCATGTTGCCCTGATAGGACAGACTATATTCCTTATAAATTCCTTATAAATTATAACAAGAGACTCTGTTTTAAAATAACAATGAGCAGTCGTTGTTTTTCATGCAATAAAACACTGCGGGGAGAATAAACCACAAGGGGTGCAGCCCCGAGTGGTTTATTCTCCCTCCAGAGTTTAATTGTATGATAAACAATGACCATTAGTTGTTTATTTCTTATATGTGACATCAACATTATGTACAGACTCTTTAAAGATGTTGATAAATGTACAAGTATATTTACCCAAATTTTAATAATGATCACTCCCTGAATGGAATCCGACCTCTGAAATGTCAGACAAGTCCATTTTATGAACAGACGGGTTACGTTTGCTATTTCCCGCATATTCTCATAATCCTCACAATGGACATCAGTACCTTTTCCCCCAAACACTGATGTGTTCCCTTCGTTCTGAACTTAAATACACCATAGTCACCATTGTATTTTATATCATAAGTCACAACAATAAAACCATGTGACCATAAAAGATTAATACCTTTCCATGCTATATTTGTTCAAATGACATGATGTTTGATGTTCTACAATGCTTTCTGTTTATCCATTAATAGCAATTAATTAATCACCAATAGTGATGCTTCTTGTACCAAAAACAGAACGAAAGAATATTTTAGAAATTCAGGGAGGAGAATAAAATGTGCCAAGTTAATAAAATAATGTGTAGGAACTCTACACACTGTTTTCCCACTGAATCACTGAAAATTCAGAGATGCATTGGAAGAGTTATTTTTAATTACTTATTGGCTCATGTTTGGGAAGGATAGCAAAGGTACATGTTGCAGGTTTCCACAATCATAAACGGACATGTCGTTGCTTCTACCACCAATTATGTAGAAGACAGGGCGCGTCAAGGGAGGTAAATCGTCACTGTAAACTCGCGTACAACGGCGTGAACTGAGGTGCGCATGAATAATTCTTTCAAACACCTTTAATATGGTAAATGATGACCAGAATAAGGGAATCATTAGTCTCAATGAAAAGGAAAGGGGTAAACTTTCAAAATTATAACTGCTTATCATCAGCCGTGGTGAAATGAGTTCAATGATTGATGAACATTATTCTTCTAGTAGGTGCACTTTAAAACATTTATCAGTACCCTGTGGCACAGTGGAGAAAACTTACATTTCTGTCCCTTCGTAGTCCTAACAGACATTCAAACAGCACATAATCACACCTGTTGACAACTAATGTCCAGAGTTGAAATGTTCGTTTAAAACTAGGGCTGGGACGGGTAACTCGGGTAACTCGGGTACTCGTTTTGCCAGGGCTATGGTAAAAAGATTCCCAATCCAACATTTTGTACCTATCTCTTAAGACATACAGTGGGTACCCAGGGAGGGTCGGGTAATAGGGAGATAGTACCCAGGTAGTAAATTAGGACTCGTCCCAGCCCTAGTTAAAACCTATATTATATGTAAAATAAGATGCCTCCTGACTCCATTTACAGATATCCCAATATGGTGTATGAGTATGAAATGACTTGTTTCCGACTTTAGTCATCAGGAAATTAGGTGACACTGTAGAGGTTGACGGATTCTGGACAAAAGGGGGGTTTATGTACAAGAACTGTTGAAAGCAGTACAGTACATAGCTTTATCCTTTCACCTCTGCACTCTGCTTTTAGGGGTTGGGTACATTAGAAGAGTGGGTACCACCCCTTTTTACTTGCAATTCCACCTGTGGTTAGCAGAACCCCCCTTTTTAAAAATCCAGATGTCAAACTATTTTAGATACAAAAACAAAGACTAAATTTTTATGTCACTGGTTGTTGTGTAGGAGCAGCATCGGCCTCGGACCGCATGTTTGATGACACAGTGTATGACAACAAGGAGAATGGCATCATCTATGACAATAAAGACAATGTCATGGAAGAAATGATTGAAGGAGGAAAAGCAGCTGATCCTTTCAATCTGGGTAGGTAGAACATCTGCCTCAACGTTACCTCTGTGTACCACTCATCTTCCAGGCATGTTTTGGCAGTATTCACTGATTGAATCATGTTTTTGTAAAAAATCTCAAGTTCCAATGAAAATGACATCTTAGAGCTTGCTAAAGATCTACAAAGACCTTCAGACGTCTCTTTACGGAACAACCTTTGCGAACTTTGACCGACCAATGGAAGGACTAACAAAGTTGACAGCCAATCAGAAAGCAGCTTTCTCAAGCTTTTTAGCACTTGTTTCAAAATGGCGACTTCCATTTCACGTTACTTTACGTCTGAAAAATATTGTTTTAATATTTGAAATATGACCAAAAGAAAATATCTAGCATGTCCAATAGATAGTCGAAATTGTGTGCCAGTACTTCCCTTTTCAATATTCAGGTGTTGTGAGAACTGAGATGTGATTTTAAATACATTGTGCTGCTGTTTCACCTGTGTGCCCACAGGGACTAAGCTGTGAAATTGGCAATATCATTAAGATAAGATATTTTACTCGAAAGGATTTCTCTGCATGAAGATCTGACAAAACATCCATAGAAGGTCATTTCAGGAGAGCTAAAACCGCGACAGAGCTCATACATGCCCTCCAGAGTATAACCCTTGGGGTGTAGATGCCATGTCGCTCAGAAAGGCAGGGTGTTTGAATTATCCACAATGATATTATAGAGTGGCTTTTGTTTTTGCATTTGGAACTCCTTGATCATATTCATTTGCGAGATATACAAATCAGATATGCTGAGGATTTAGAAGCCTTGGCACTCATTGGCTGTATGGAAAAAGTGTTATCATATGAGAGTAAAAGGTATGGTTTTGATGAGATATGGAAACTGCAGTAAATGCTTGCTTTCAATCAGTAGTGATAAACGGGCCATCTAGAAAAACAAAACAAAGTATTAAATTAGGACCTTTACTGTATCAAGAATAATTTTATGCAAGTATTGATAATGGTGTTTTATTGTGAAGGTTTGAAATTAAGAATTTGACTTAGAAAGCATTCCAGACCAAACCTTTTCAGGCAGAGACACACATCCTGACCTCATCTGTTGATTTTCTCCTTTCCAGGTCAGTTTGATTCCAACCTGCCAAAGTCTCCTGTGACAGACAATGTTCCAGCATCAGGTGCCATGAAGCCCTCTGGTGGCGCCGTTAACTCACCACCAATATTTGAAGAGTGGTTCCATGGCAACATTGGCAGGAAGCAGGTAAGTGCCAATTTCAAGTGTTGTCCAATCTGTGTTTGTTCAAATAGTGTGTTTGTCTTGTGGAGTTAAGACACTAACTTTTTCATTTCATTTTACTGGTAAAATGTTTCTTATGATCTATCAACAATAATATTTACAGTTGAAGTAAGTTTGTATATGTATCCAACAGTTATGAATCAAACAAACATTGTTGAACTGTGAGAAAGAATATCTATTGGACAAGACATAGTGTGAAATTTGGAAACACTGCAAATTTGTCCTTGTATTGAGTTCTTAAAGTGTAGGTTTTCAACATTAGTGTGTATATGCTTTTACTGTAGTTTTCATTTCAACAAGTGTGTAGCACGCCTCACCACAAAACACTGCTTTTCCAACTCCAGGATCCGTTATATCTAATCATGTGGATAGCAAACAGAGCACTCCCTTCCAGACCAGTGAACTGTAGCCAAATATTCCCAGTGATGAGCATTATAGATAGAAAGTAGAATGTGACTTTTGTCCCTCCAGGCTGAAGACCGACTGGAGCATGACGGGGACTTCCTGGTACGAGAGAGCAGTAACAGTCCTGGACAGTATGTGCTGAGTGGCAGACAGAATGGACAAGTCAAACATCTGCTTCTTGTCGACCCTGAGGGAGTGGTGAGTGCATCAGTTGTAGGGAAGGGGGTGGGGGCACTTAGACCAGGGTGGGGGCACTTAGACCAGGGTGGGGGCACTTAGACATGGGTGGGGGCACTTAGACCAGGGTAACTTAGACCAGGACATTCTTTCAGTGGGCTCTGTATCCTCGATTATCCAGGATATTATTATATCTTAGTTCCATTTTAATATATATATATATATCTACCCTGCCCCATCCACCACTAAAGCCTCATTGCGGAAGTGACATCACAGTCTCTGTCACCCTTATCGCTAACCTACAGAATCTGCAACCAATGAAAATGGCTTTCTAAACAAGAAGTCTAAACAGATCTACATTCAAAATAGTGGCCTTGTTATATTTCAAATAAGGATTTGTTACAAATCAAACAAACTAGCAGGAAAAGATATTTATTTTCTTGAGAAATAAAACAGGTAGTCCTTATGCTACCATGGGTTTCCAGTTGTATTTGTGATGGTTCATAATAACATGTGTCAAGTACTTGTGCTATCATTACTTTCCCTGTATGGAGTTCCTGAAATCGATATCATGTAATTTGATTGGATGAATACTTTTAGTCAAGTCATTTGAACTGGACTCAAAACGAAGCTTTGGTGGAGAATGGGTCCAGGGTTTTTATCATAATTCAAAGGAGATACGATATGCTGTATGATCGAGGAGGGGGGTCCGAGGTCCTGCAGAACATGATAAACATTAATGGACACTTTAGTATCACCATCCTGATCAACGGAAAAAAAAAGAAGAGACTGTTAAAATAATGTTTCTAGTATTCACATAAGATCTACTCATACCTATATATTGCTAACTATTGTGATATTCTTGTTTTCTAGGTAAGAACTAAAGACTTCATATTTGACAGTGTGACACATCTCATAACCTACCACCGCCAAAATAATCTACCCATCGTCACACAAGGCAGTGAGCTCCTGCTTGTTCGACCAATCAAAAATAGCATTTCAGCAATATGATATTATCGCTGAAACCAACAGAAAACAGGAAGAGTGGAAGTATTGCGTTGTCTTCCAGCGTGTGTAAGCCAAATGTAGACCATCTTGTATTAACTAAATGAGAAACCCCTGTGGTATATGCGATGTTAACATTGTGTGGTTTAAACAGTGTCTGTAAACCATTTGTGTAAATCATTATACAAACATGAGGTGTACACCTGGAATATTAACCTTGTATATATTATTATATATACCTTTTGGTTTAATTCACGCGGTAGGAATCATGGTTTTAACAAATTGATCTAAACCATGCTTTGATCGCATGGGTGACATATGTTTTAAACCATGGTTTGACAATATGGTGTCACTCTAGGTTTAACTATATGTTTTAAACTATAGCTTGACAATATGGTGTCAATCATGGTTTAACTATATGTCTTAAACTATAGCTTGACAATATGGTGTCAATCATGGTTTGACTGTATGTCTTGAACTATAGCTTGACAATATGGTGTCAATCATGGTTTGACTGTATGTCTTAAACTATAGCATGACAATATGGTGTCAATCATAGTTTAACTATATGTCTTAAACTATAGCTTGACAATATGGTGTCAGTCATGGTTTGACTGTATGTCTTAAACTATAGCATGACAATATGGTGTAAATCATGGTTTAACTATATGTCTTAAACTATAGCTTGACAATATGGTGTCAATCATGGTTTGAGCATTTGTCTTAAACTATTGCTTGACAATATGGTGTCAATCATGGCTTGACTGTATGTCTTATACCAGGGCTTGACAAAATAGTGTCAATCTTGGTTTGAGCATTTGTCTTAAACTAAAGCTTGACAATGTGGTGTCAATGATGGTTTAACAAGGTTTGTTTGACTGTGGCACAAATTGAAACCATGGATACATGCAGGGATGCAACTAAACCCGAAACATCATCATCCCAGGTACTGATACTAACATTTTGGGACACCCCCTAAAGAGCAAAATTCTGCTTGCCTTAGGATGCCTTTCACATCAGACAAACTGACACGGGCTAGCAGGCTAGAGCCAAGTTGCATCCATGGTACCCAAGTGGAGATGGCTGAAACTGTCCAGGTATATGCAGGCTGGAACTGCATGTTTAGGGGCAACTGTAAGAAAATATTCTGAATACTGAGGTTGGACCTTTCTCCAGTGTGTATAGTATAGGAAGGCGAACTCTCAAACTACACATCATTCAACAACTGGCTTTGGACAATGATATGGAAGAACAATATTGCAATAAGATGATACTTTTACAGCCCTAATTAACAAATGTGCTTGTCATTCTAATCTTCTTCCTGTTGCTGAGCAACAAGGAAACGCCCAATGTTCTCCTGCTGACCTCGCGGTTGTGTGTCGTCAGGGTCATGTCACTGGTAAAGCAGGTGGGCTCGTTATCACACCTGCACAGGTGTGGCCATAGCGTTAAAAATGAAAGGCAACATGCAAGTTTCTCAAACTTCAGTATTCCTGCTGTTTGCCAAATGATGCATGTAACCAACTGATGTCTGAGTTACGTTTTACATGTTACATTGTTTGGTGTATTGGATACACTTTCTTTGTTGTCTGACTTTATGTTTATACTTGTCCACTGTTTGACATTTAAGATACTCATGCAGGTATCACTGCTCCTTCAATTTCACATTTTATAACATAAGTTCCTTCAGTATAGATAATGGATTTTTAATCCAACACAAAACAGTATTGTTGACACAATTTTTAAGACTATTTATGATGGCTCTGACTGCACAAAATATTGTATAGTAGTGACATTATTTTGTGTTGAGATCTGCATATAATTGAATGTACATTGGAACGATGATTTGAACACTGGGATAATAACATGTATGTGTGAATGAATAGGCATAATTATAATGATCTTGCTGTGAACAGGTGAAACTGGTCATTTAACAAAATTCCCTCCCCCAAACGAGCTCAGGCCCAAAGCATAGTAGTGACCCTTGTGTTTGAAGATCTCCAGTTTAGTATCAGTAACATTATCAATCCCATTAAAATCAGATCTAAGTTCTCGCTACCCCTAAACAAAGATCTGAGGACATCCCATAAGGGGTCACGTCAAAACGATCATGATCATCCGGATCATGAAAGTGACAGTCGTAATGTGTTTCTAATCATGCATCCTTGGAAACTTTAACACGGGGTATTCCCAACGATAGTTAACGGATTAACGACTGAATCCATACAATCTGGACCATCTATTAGACATTCCAGAATGTTCTTTTGTTCAGGTTTCAATTTTTAATTGAGAATTTGTCAAAATATGTTTCGAAGTGTTGTCGCCATTTTGATATTAGTGACGTAAAGCGCGAGAAAGGTGCCTTCCTATTATCAGTCATTCCATTGGTCGGTCAAAGTTCGTGCAAAGTCGTAATGGGGTGCCCTCAGATCTTTGTTTAGCACTAGAGAGAACTATGATCTGATTTGAATGAGATTGAAACATTCTATGATAGGCCTATTGTACCGACCAGGCAGCCATTATGAAAGTAGGTTGTTACATTTAAGGATAAAGCTTATCTGAACAGAATCAGGGTTAAAGGCTTTATTGCTTGGGAGATTGTTGTGCAGACTTCAGTGGATGTTGAATTATTCTTAATATCTCTTTATGATTAGTATTTCATAGATTGTTTAATGATACTAATTGATAAGCAAAAGAGGGTGGTTGACTGGGGCAAATATTAATGCACATGTTTTACAATTTCCATATTTTGTTTTGAGTATTGCTTGTATGTTTTTTTGACATTATAATTTATTCAAAGAAGCATTCCAGCTGTAGTGATTACTAAAATTCTCACCAGTAAATTTTCTGTGGGTGAGGCTGTGACAAACAAAGGTGTATGTTACTGTAGATGTTTGAGCCCAATAGTGTGGATTAGATGAAGAAATTACAGAGGATTGTTTTGCATTTGTCCATGTGTATGGCTTAGTTAATGATTCATATGTTGATTTGATTTATTGCATAAGATGTTTATGTTTATTGATTGCTATCATAATGATTAACATAAACTTATACTGACAGACATTTTCAGGACAGAACAAAATGGGGAAGTGTGTGTGTGTGCGTGGGAAAGGTGCACGAAAGGTCACAAACAAAAGTAATAGAGGCCTGACACATGTTGACACAAGTTGTACCAGTGAAAAGTGTATGTCCATTTATGGTATATCAAGGTGAAGGTCAACAAATTGTATGCATGTCCTACATTGCAGATTATGTGTAAAATTAATGAATGTACTTAGCTCTTTCTTATCAGGAAAGTTTGAAGCATCTGTGTCAAAACGATGCACCTTATTTTTGTTTTGTGAATATTTCAATGAGCAATAGTTGCTTTGCAATGTTGCTGTGAACAGTATTGATACACTTGATGGATACATACCCAAAATAACATGAGCATGCTTTATGTGTCACTTACTCCAGAGGCAATACAACACAGTGGAACCAGTGTTTATATCAGGGAGATATCGACTTTGTGTGTGATCAACTGTTGTTTCAACACTACTGGAGTGAAATGTACTCATATATTACAGTTGACATGGTGTGTGATTATTCAATGACAAAACTCTTACTGCTATTCTTTTTAAATAACAATACAAAATTAAATTATTGTGACTGCATATAAATCTTGGGAGGAACTGGAAACTAAGTTTGTTCTTTAACTCTTTGACTTGATTAAGATGTCAAAGTATTATGCCTCTGTCACATCTGCCGCCACGGCCATGGGGTCTAAAATATCTACGGCCAATAGCAATTATAGGGCTGCTGCAGCATTCCCACAGTCACATACTGCAGCACTCACAAATGTTAGGTTAGCCGCATGGCGTATTTTGAATTTGTGGAGACAGTAAACCTGCGGCTGCCGTATGGCCTTTGAAGTGATTATGCACTTAGAGCATCCCTGTGGCGGCCGTAGGTTTTGGGCAAATATCAAGGCAGACACAAGCCACTTGCAAGGCGCCCGCAGAGGGACCATACAGCGACTGTGCGGCCAGACTGACGCTTCCGCTACACAGGGCAACCGCACGGCAAATGCAAGGCCACCATACGCCTGACGTATGGTCGCCGTGGAACCACTCTACAGCATGGCTACGGCATGTCTATTTGTCTAATTGCTACAGCGAACACAGAAATTAAAAAAGTTATAACTCCGCGCTATATTCCCACAGCAACCCCAACGGCCCCTGAAAGATTATCATACGTCCTAGGGCGACCCTGAGGCCACCGCAGATCCTCTGCAGCCGCTGCCATAGCGCAAATGTGACTGAGGCATTAGTGACAGTGACCACAGTAATGTATGCCATAATATTTCCAGTGTAGGCTGCAGCTGAGTCATGATATGTTAAATTGTCTGTTCAGTTTAGTATCAACAGTCTTTATGTTTGACCAGAGGCATGGATGGCCTGGCTGTCCAAGGCACTGAAGAATGCCTGTGATTGTGGATTCGTATCCCAGATTCACAAGGAGTGTGGTCCTTGGTTTGTCAGACTAAGTGGTAAATGTCTACAGCCTGCACCACTTCAGGCTTTCCTTCTGTATCAAACAGACATGGTGGGATATGTATGAAATACTGTTCAAAGCGTCATAAAACACTCACTTATATATTTGAACGTCAGAGGTTCAGGTATTTTTGAGAGAGAGTCTGTGGAAATAAGATTCTGTTCCGGAATTCAAGAAGAAAAAAGTTATATGTCTGGAAAGAAAAGAGTGAAAATCTCTTCATCATAGCCTTATGCGATCATTTTGTGTTTATCATGAGCATAACTGTAGTATTATTGTGCCAAACAAATGCTGATACACCCCACCATGATAACCATGATAACCCAAGTTCTGAAGTTCAGTAGAATGTTATGACTACTGTCAAATTGTTCTATTGGAGTCTTCAATTCTCCTTAAATATTATCATGTTTTTGTGAACAATTTTTATAAAGAGGTCTTTTAACTTTTTAGTTTTTACAAATTTTATTTAAGATAAATATTTGGAGAACAGATGCTCTTTTCTTTCCACCAAGTCTGCGATTTCTGATAAAGTTTGGCAATAATGAATGAAACCAAACTGACTTCTGTGTATCCGCTATGGATACAACAATCTTGGAAGCTGTTTCTTGTCCTCTTTATGTTTGTTTATAACCTTTACAATTTTGTTAGCATATTCCTTTTGCATATCAGTTTGTACAGTTTTACATCTTATTGTATATTTAATTTCATTTTCTCATTATGTTTGTTTTGTCTACCTGTGGTTGTATGAGTTTGATGTATTTACACACAACTATATCATTTTACAGACAGACAAATTGGACTATGAATGGCAGTGTTTTTCTGGAGGAAATAACTTCATCTGTGATTTCAATGGAAGACTGAATTGATCCTTCATTAGGAGATGCTGGAATTAAAGCATCAATCCTGGCTTTAGAAGATGATAGTATGCTTGTATAATAGTCAGTATTGAAAACTGGAAATGTTGCCTCAAACTTTTAATTTCCGGTATTGTTAACATTTTGTAAGTAGCTAAAAGTCAAATTTAATTTGACTTGATGGCAAGTTATATTTCAACTGAATTTTCCTGCCAAATGGTTTGTTTTTTCCCCGAAATGTTCAACACAGTTTATGAATTACTGTGTTCTAATGCTGAACTTTGAAACTCATTCGATTTAGGAGAGTGCTGATAGTACTTGTATATATCAATATGAAGAGGTCCTTATCTTTAGGGAGTGAGTATGGTTTTACACCGCTTTTAGCAATATTCCAGCAATATCACGGCAGGGGACACAGTCCTGATCTTTAAGACAAGGATGTGGTTCAGGTAATTTCAAATTGTCCCAATAAGTGATGTGTTTTGTTGACTGAGTTGGAGTTATTTCTACAGTGAGGCACACCTCTATCATACATGCGTACTGATCTTGGAAATGATTTTAGTTGTTGTAGCATATCCTATATATGTTTTCTTTTAAAACTGTATACATGCATGCTCCTACTTAATCATAATATTGGGTTTTGTTTAGCTACAGTTGTTTACAGCTTGTCTCATCACTTGTGTGGGGAAATGAATCTCCTCTATCAAATATAGTATGTCCATTTCATAATCCTTGAATTCACATCCCCAACAAGTAACATTCATTCCTTGATCCTGGAAAGTGCAATATGATGTTCCCAGCCCAGAAATACCAATAAGTGATAGAGCTATGCAAGGTCAATACAATGCAGCTTGAGTGAGTCACTTCTATCAGTAACTGCAATAGAACCTTGATGCATGTGTGTCATCCTTGAACCTTGATACATGTGTATCATCCTTGAACCTTGATGCATGTGTATCATTCTTGAACCTTGATGCATGTGTGTCATCCTTGAACCTTGATACATGTGTATCATCCTTGAACCTTGATACATGTGTATCATTCTTGAACCTTGATGCATGTGTATCATCCTTGAACCTTGATACATGTGTCATCCTTGAACCTTGATGCATGTGTCATCCTTGAACCTTGAGGCATGTGTATCATCCTTGAACCTTGATGCATGTGTGTCATCCTTGAACCTTAATGCATGTGTATCATTCTTGAACCTTGATGCATGTGTATCATCCTTGAACCTTGATACATGTGTGTCATCCTTGAACCTTGATACATGTGTATCATCCTTGAACCTTGATACATGTGTGTCATCCTTGAACCTTGATACATGTGTATCATCCTTGAACCTTGATGCATGTGTATCATCCTTGAACCTTTGAAACACGATTCAAGGAATGATTATGAACAAAAGTGCATAAGCACTGAATATTGTTGTATGAAATGTCTTATCATCTAATCCCAATTTTCATTGATAGGAAAAGCGTTTATGTTAACAGGTTCAAAATGCACTCACTGATATATGTAGTTCTGATGTTAAAACGTGTCATGGTAATTCTGAAGTATGTAACAGTTTTTGTGCAGTGCATTATGATCTATGGTGTGATTTTATCACTAATCAGTGCTATACATATCATTTCATCACAATTGGATCAATGTTGAATAAAGTTGGTATATTTGAATAGTCCATGCCTACCTTGCTAATGATGTTGGCTTCATGATGTTATCACTTTTGTCAACCCAAGAAAACACAGTGAGCAGTATCTGTATTGAGCAGTTTCTTTCAAGCAAGTGCAATGTTAAATTTTGTTAATATGTTTTCTTCTCAATGGCGATTTGGGGAAACAGCCCTTTGTCAGATACTCATAGATAATTGTTATAGTTAGGGTCTTGAGTTAAGTACCTACATGTTTTGCATACTTAATTGAATTCATGGCCATACTGATCAAAGGAATTCATCAGACATGATCACTTGTGTTGTTTTGCAAAAAGAATGTTTTGGCCATCAGTCTTTCCCTCAGCCCCAATCATGAATGCTTGAGGTTTTAAAATCTGGTTGTGTTGTAGTTTCTAGGGGCCAGTCTTTGTTACCGGTATGCATTGATTTGTCAAAACTGTTGTGCTTGTTACCTGAAAACTGACAATGTTGTGCTGTACTGCTAAGCAATGCCTCCTTGTTACCTGGAAACTGACAATGTTGTGCTGTACTGCTAAGCAAGCGCCTCCTTGTTTAACTAGTAACTGACAATGTTGTGCTGTACTGCTAAGCAAGGGCCTCCTTGTTAACTAGTAACTGACAATGTTGTGCTGCGATCTTCTGCTGTGTATAGTTAAAATGTGTGATATGTGATTGTGTTATCATTTATACCTCTTCATACCCAGAATAACAACTAGCTGACTTAGCGTACACACTGTTAAGTTATTGTACAGATTATACCTTGGGATTTCTATATTTTTTAATTTAATTGTAAAATAACTTGCTGCTATTAAACTTTGTACAAAACAAATGTGTTTGTGCTGTTGTTCAGTATGTGATGAAGATGCTCAGCTAGTCTGGAGATAGAACATCTACCTGTGGCATCATCTATGACTGGGATGTTTGGCTAATCAGACTCCACAGACAAACTAAAGGTATCTCTATCAGGACAATTTATTACATATCAAAATTTCACAATCTTTGTTCCACCATGTCCACCTTTCTTTTTCTTAGGTGGTGGCTGTGGTGATGTGTCCAACTCGGTGTCTGCACTCTGGGTGTTGCTCATCTTGTCTATTGTCACAGTCTCAATACCTGAAATATACAGTTTCACAAATAATGGGAGTTAGTTTCTTGACAAATTCAAAGACATGTTGCAGTGGATATAGCATCTTTAACTTAACTGGTGGGGGCACGGGTGGCCCAGTCGTCTAAGGCGCCGCGTTTCGCTGTGCAGAGTTGCGTCCCTTGGGCACGCCAGAAACCTATGATTGTGGGTTCGAATCCCGGTTCGCCCCGATTATGTTTCTAGGTTTGTCAGCACCATACCGTGCTCGTGGGTTTCACCGAAGTGGTAAATGTCTGAGACCTGCATCACTTCAGGCTTTCCTCCGACATTAAGCTGACACGCCGCGATATAACTGGAATACTGTTAAAAGCGGCGTTAAACCCAACTCACTCACTCACTTAACTGGTAACATACATGTACTTCTACCTAGAAACTGGCACGTTCATCTCATTCGGCTACATTCTACAAACACATCCAATCACAGTACCTCTCTGTTTCTGTAGGTCAGGACAGTCTTTCTTTAAGTGCTCCACAGATCCACATTCATTACAGCATCCCCCTGAAGATGGAGAGTGTCAGAATCATTACAATGTAATACATGAAGCAGATACAACACTTATATCTACAGATCCACATTCATTAGAGCATCCCCCTGAAGATGGAGGGTGTCAGAATCATTACAATGTAATACAGGAAGCAGACTAACACTTATATCTACAGATCCACATTCATTACAGCACCCCCCGAAGATGGAGGGTGTCGGAATCATTACGATGTAATACATGAAGCAGATACAACACTTATATCTACAGATCCACATTCATTACAGCATCCCCTGAAGATGGAGGGTGTCGGAATCATTACAATGTAATACAGGAAGCAGACTAACACTTATATCTTCAGAACGACATGCCCCTGAACACATGCTGAAGATTGAGGTTGTACAGCACTCTCAGAATCATTATGATGAAATACAAAGCTATTCTTCTTCCCACAAATAACCCATCCAAGCTATATCCACCATCTGCAAATTTGGTAAACCTCTCACACAGTCCTGCATAGTTATAGATAAATCCTGCAGTTTAGTTACCATTAGGATAGAGGCCCCTTGGGTTGTCTGGACACTGCCTGGTGATGTGACCCATCTCCCCACAGATGAAGCACTTCGCAAATGGGTAATTCTCTGGAACAACAACAGCAATAGATGTGACAGACTTCACTGAAGTATACATGGTATAGGCAAATCAATGCTGTGAACACTGAACATAAATAACCTTATATGAAAAACATACCACATGACAATTAGGTGTGTAGATGATGACGATGTAGACAGTACATACACAGAAGATACAGAGTAAATGGTTTATAATTCTGTTCACACTGTTTGGGCTGTACTCCTCGATTAATGATTCCATGCAATGTAATACCGTATTTGCTGTATTAAGCACCCGTTTAAAAAAGCACCCCTTTGCAGCCTGTAAGTGATATTTATAAGACCCATGTCTTAAGCCCAAACTTTTATATGAAAGTAATATTTTCTTGTTTATCGTACAGCTCTGTTTTCATAAAACAGAGTCGTCTTAATAGGGTATATAAGGTCCTGGAAGCTATTAATGAAACAGAAAAGTTTCCTGTTTGAATATGTCCATTCTCTATCGCTCTGACATCAAATTTACCTTGTATGGTTTCAACAAGCAATTCCCCTTTGTTAGCTTTCATAGCACCCATGGCGCTTATTACGGCAAAAACGGTAAACTAAATGTCCACAATATAAATAATTGTGTTCAAACATTATGGACAGATGTACAGACATGTCCATCATGCAATGTGCGGTAGGGATACAAAAACACCTTAAATAAGAAATGCCCTTATCCTGAGGAAACCCAAGAACCCTACCTGGAGCTACTTTTGCGGAACATGCACTTGACACATGCTCCGTGGAGCCACATTTGAAGCAGATGCCTGTGCCATGACTGCTGGAGCCTTTCGTCTGGGGGCAGTCTCCCATCCGGTGACCATGCTTCCGGCAGTTGAAACACACCTACACAGGAGACACCACACATCTACACAAGGGCACTGATGATACAACTCTGACATTCTAGATGATAATAGGAGTTGTTTGTCCAGTGAAGCATTTAGTTCCAAGACTTAAGGGATCCAGGGAGGCTTGTGCAATGTTATAAGAACATTGTAAAAAGTAAATGTTTCACATAAACATGATAAAGAACCTTATCAAAATGTCCATGATGTTTTTTCAGTTTTGGTAAGTGGGAATCAAGATCCAGCTAGCGTCTCTACTTTTAATATCTAGGATTTTAAAAAATTGGAAAAATTTGGTAATTAGGAGGATTTGGGTTTAATGTCACTTTGAGGAGTATATCAGTAACATCACAGTGTATCACATGGTTTACCTTGCCCTACAACACTGGGGGTCCAGGGCACCCCCAATAATTCATTTCAAGAGTCAATACAGCTGATATGAGGGTCCTGTAAAGTAATGGTGTCATGTACTGTATTGTAGGATTTCATCATTACATTAATCACAGGATCTTATATTTCATGTATTTCTTGTCAAGAATTTGGTACAATGAATAGTACTGTGCATCCCTTGGGACGCACTATATTTTTTCCTGCATCCATTCTAACATTGAGCATGGTGGACTCACATTTCTGAGTTGTGTAATTGCAAAATATTTAATTCAAATTTGGGAAGTTTCACCAAGATTAACAATAACAGTATAGGGATATTTCAAAAGCCATTCCATGATAATGCTGTGTGTGTTTACATGTTATATAAAAATCACATGTGAGCAGACCCTATAATCAGGATTATTTGTACTGGTTGGACCCAACATATCTTAGATCATGTATAAAGTGGAATATGACCAGTTTCTATAGTGCGACCTGAAAGAAGGGGATGCAGTGTTCCTGTTTACCGGTAATACCAGTTTTTAACCGGTAAAATTAGGCTTGGGCCGGTAATTCATGTGACTGCCAGTCCCTGTGGACCGGCAAATAAAGTACCCTATAGGTGGTTGTTGTTAAACATAACATCAGCGATATTCATATACATGATATAAGTCTATTGTTCCGACAAAGTCAGCATGTCTGTTACCATCAGCCTGATCAGTGTTTCCCCTTGCCTGTTTTTGATGCAATAAAATAACATTTTACTTTGCTTCGAGGTGAAATATATATTTGTAACGACTTTGTCTCGAAATATAAAAAAAAAAATAGGTGAAAATTGTAACTGCACTTTGTGTAAATGACATGTAGATCTAACTAAGTTACTTCAGAGATGACGTCATTGCATTAAACATGATGTTGAAAGAATTAAAACCAGGTAATTTTCATATATTTTTATTTTATTGAAAGTTGGGGCTGACAAAAATGATTGGGGACTGGTAATTTTTAGAGTTGCCAGTCCATCGTGTCCATCAGGACTGGCAGTTTCAAAAGCCAGCAGGAACACTTGGATGTTTTAGGGGCTGTAAGCATGCCTAGCATGGTCATTTCTGATATGACATCAGTGTTTCACCATGAGTTACAGCCCAAGTTGTTTATTAAACATGCAAAATAAAAGATCCAGTGTTCCTGCTGGCTTTTGAAACTGCCAGTCCTGATTGACATGATGGACTGGCAACTCTGAAAATTACCAGTCCCACCTAATTTTTGTCAGTTCCGACATTCAACAAATCAAAAACTGTATGTTCTTTCAACATCAGGTTTAATGCCATGACATCATATCTGAAGTAACTTGGATAGATCTACACGTCATTCACACAAAGTCCAGTAACAATTTTCTCTCCTTTCTTTGAATATTTCACGCCTAATTTGATAGAAATACAGATTTAATTTCGAAAGCAAAGTGAATGTTATTTCCTTGCACTAAAAATAGACAGGGGAAACCCTGATGGACAGACAAGCTGACTTCGTTCGAAAATATAGTTATATGAATATCGCCAATGTTTTGTTCAACAACAAAGATTTATGGGGTAGTTTATTTGCCGGTCCACAGGGACAGGCAGTCACATGAATTACCAGTCCAAACCTAATTTTACTGGTAAATTACTGGTAATTACCGGTAAACAGGAACACTGAGATCACACCTTGCACCAGCATGTCTTACCAGATATCGGTCTCTATCATCCTTCCTCTGTACACGCCTCTGTTCACTTTTTTTATCCCGGAAGAACTGATTCCTCATAGCCCGTTCCTTCATCTTATCACCAGTAGTACTGTTCACTTGCCATGGCTTTTGTTCATCAACCTTTATATTTTTTCCAATGCCTTTGACTTTCTTATTCATTTTATCCTTCTTGAATTTCTTGAATTTTTTGTCATGTTTTTTCCCTTGTGTTTTGGACACACTGTCTGACTTCTGTTTGGATTCACTACCACTTCCAAACATATCCTTCCACTCTGTACCATCATGTGGGATCTTCTTAGCATTACCGGCTCTCGCAAAGCGTGTCATGATCTGAAACCATAAATGTAAAACAAAACTACATCACATAACAGATGACATAAATATCTTAATTAAACTGATCATCACTAACCATAACTTACTCACCTATTTAATGTTACCACATTAAATCATGGACCTATATAACTAATCATCCCAAAGCAGCAATTTATTTTTTTAGTTTTCAATAATCACATACAGTAAGCATTTTTTCTTAAGAAAAAGCCACCATTCAATCTCTTTATACATTTATGTCACTAGCTGACACAAAGTAAATGATTCCTCTCCCATCACTGACTGTTGGAGAGTGAGTGAGTGAGCTGGGTTTTTAACACTGCTTTGAAGAGTATTCCAGTATTATCGCGGCATGTCAGCTTAACTATGGGAGGAAATCCTGAAGTAATGCAGGTCTCAGACGTTAACTACTTTGTTGAAATCCACAAAAACGGGTATGGTGCTGACAAACCGAGAAACATATTTAGGCCAAACCGGGATTAACCCACGATCATATGTTTCTGGCATACCCAAGGGACGCAACTCTGTGTCAGGTGTGTCAGTGACCCTCACTGTTGGGAGAGAACAATGGTAAATGGTATACAGGCTATCCACCAGTTATCGCTGAGGACCAATTATCGCCAACTCCCTGTTATAGCGCGCACGTGAAAACAAGCATTTTACTTTTGCTCGTTTTCATGAGAAGAGTGAAATATTTATCCAAAAGTGATGACCAAATGGACTCTTGTGAGGAAATATTTTTAAAAGCCCCACCATAATTAGCTTCCCCAAATACAACTTTAGAAAAGACACAGGACTAATTCCCACGAAAATATAAATCAAACAACACAATGATGCACTTTCAGTTCTGTCATTTCTTCCCAAAAACTCAAATACAACTTTAGAAAAAGACACAGGACTAATTCATGTGAAAATATAAATCAAACAACACGATGATGCACTTTCAGTTCTGTCATTTCTTCCCAAAAACTCAAATACAAATTTAGAAAAGACAGGACTAATTCATGTGAAAATATAAATCAAACGCCACGATGATGCACTTTCAGTTGTCATTTCTTCCAAAAAAAACAATTTTTACAACCTATTTTAGTCATATTTGCAAAAATGCAGAACCTGTGTATATATGTCGAAATCCATTGTACATAGTGTTAAGGATAAGCATGTGAAGATCAAATTTTGGGAATATTGGGTTTTGTTAGTTTGCAGACGACAAATTGATCATAGCGTTTCTTATTCATTTTGATGATAAAAAAATTGAGTGTGATACACGAGATACTAAAATATATAATTAGTATAACTGAAGTGGGTCGTGTGATGTTGTGGCACGCGCTGTAAAGATGATGGCAATAACTGGTACAGTAAGTCGACGGGAAACTTCTTTTTCCACTGTCTTGATTCCCCATCGTAGCGTTAACACCGAAGTCAACTTAATCTTATCATGCTTATTCCACGGAAAGAAATAAGTGCATTTGTTCATTGTTTCACAAAAATGAAAGTTATTGGTACAGTCAACTTTGTACATGTCAGCAAAAACATGAAAGAAATGGCGATAACTGGTCGGTGACCATGCAGTATGGCTTCTGACAAAGTGCTGCTGAAGTTCAGATACATCTTACCAAACTCTTTTGAATCTTTTTTTCCCAAACATTAATGAATACATTCTTAGAATTGAGCTTTGTACCAGTCGTACGCCAGCAATTACATTAGTGTGTCAGTACAGACTCAAGTGCTGCAGCCTACACACTGATACAACCATATGGAACTGGATCGCCAGGGCAGATCAAGTAGCCAAGGGTAGACAAAACAAGCAAGGGTAGGCCAAATAGGCCAGCGGAGATCAAGTAGGCAAGAATATAGTGTTGAGACTGCAGGACTCAGCGACGAACGACACACCCCAAGCCAAAAGCACTGAACCAGGAACATTACTCATTGCTGGCCCTACGAGGATTACAGATCTATAAAATACAAAACAAATTACACTTCACCATTTCTACTCAGCGTATAAAGGAAGTGTTATGTAAGATGTGATCGAAGAATATATTCATAGAAAACAAGAGACATAATCACCAGGTTGATTTGAGATTATCGAGAAATAAGAATATGTCACCACCACCATGTGGACCGGAAGTTTACATCACTACCCTACGAAGTTTGTTATGCGACCTCTGATTGGTAGACATTATTAAAGGACCAATGGACAGTGGGATAACAACAGGTGTCATTTGGCCACATATAAGCTGGTTCCCGGCTCCCTATGCGCGTCGTCAAATTGTGATATTAGAGACGGGGCCCAGCTTAGGTGAACATAATAGATCTAGCCTGAGACTTGTGAGTCCAAATATTCTCATTCTTCAGCCGTATCTCCCTACATCTCACACATGCTGAAAGCCTCACGAAAACGCTGTACTTCAGTGCGACCGAAAAACATCTGACACTATCACGAAATCTATATCCCGTGAAAACGAAACTGACTTCTAAATCGTCTCTTATTACTCTTATAACTAGTCTTAGTCTTAGCTGAGACGATATGAATTATTAAGACTAGTTTAGCATTGGCATTACCCGAAGTCAGTGTTAGATGTACGTACACTCAGTTGACATCTTGACAGAACAATAATGTCCATAGGCTTATGACTGTTGACTTGATGTGATTTAGGCTATTTTTGGAGAACAGGTGCCGTGAAATAAATAGAGAGTAGGCTGTCATCCGAGTAAACCTAGTCCTGCACAGCTTCAGCATTATCATAAATACATATAGATGCATCAACTGCAATCTTTCATAAATTCATATAGTGAACGAAAAGGTCAAAATAATAGGCAATGCTCTGTCAAAGTGTATGCACAGGAGAATTTCACAAAAATTTAAGTAAACGTTCGGTTAGTATACATTTCATCTGATCGAACCAATCAGCTGTTGGATGATTTGAACAATTTACTGAAAACAATAGAATAACCAAAGTTCTCTAATGCACAACACTAAATTATTTCAGTCAGTGAAATCGTGTTTTACTTGGGGTCCATGTCAAGATCAAGATGTTTGAGATGAATGTTGAGTTTGAATCTGATTGAGTGAATCATGAGAATGCAGATGGTTAAGTGTGAACATATCGCACGAACACAAGTTTCCATGTGAATGTTGGCCTGCATGTGGTATTTTGCTCACATAAGCGTCAATGTTTCCCAGCTTGTGGCAGTCAGTTATTAAAGGGACAAACGGTCTGAAGCTTTGTTTGTAAACAATAGCCATTTACCCCCAGGTTTACTCGTCTCTGCTTGCCTTATTTCGTTTCTGCTCCAGTGACCGCACTGCGGGTGTAGGCTTATTATGTGACAGGACATTCCTCTTGTTTGTAAACAAACACACTTATTCTGAAATAAGAACAGATGGGCCAAATGCAAGCCTTTTGGTGCGCTTTACATATTGTTTTGCATAATTATATACATATTCAACTACTGTGACAGTGAGAATTATGACAATATAGCTTTACACAAGAAAGCGACCTCATCGGTAGCTCTCTGTAGTACGGTGGCCCATACCTGCCATAGGTGAGATCATTTTTCAATGTATGCCTCTGTATTTTTAATTCTTCAACCAAAACAATAGAGCTTCGCATAGAGCAAACTGGCTTCTGTCTTGTTTTTTAATCGAGGCAAATGTGACACACTATTAAATTATTTCCTACAGAACCGTTGATGTACTGTCCCTTTAACACTTCGGTTTGTGATGGTCCAGTCTTGTGCCAATTGTATGGGAGTTGCACGTTAACAGATATGCTAATGCCACAGCAATTAATAACTTAACATATGGCTTACAATATAGAATCACTCAAAGATAATTTGTATATTTACAACAGAGCACCACCATAGAGTACAACCGTTGTGAATGTCTGTGATAGTTAACACATACCATTCTAAACAAATCCAGGACACATGGTCAATACTTATTAGTTTAAAATACCGTTTATGCAGATTTGTGACAAAATATAAGTATAAATCTATACTGCCATGTTAAAATCTTTGTTAATATGAGTTTCAAATTAGGCCTTAATGCTTGAGCTGACCTGTTTTTTGTTGTAGGGAAACTGATGTTGTGCAGAGTCTTGGTGCACAGTAATTGGATGACCTATACACAGCATGGATTCCAAGGAAGTAAAGAACGCTTTGAAAAATGCAAGGGAGGCAATTCGGAATAAAGAATTTAAGGAAGCACGCCGACATTGCAAGGTGACTAAATACGTCATACAGTGTTCTACAAATGTAATGTTTCAGGACGCCAGGGGGGCACAGGTGGCCCAGTTGTCTAAGGCGCTGCGATTTGCTGTGAAGAGTTGCGTCCCTTGGGCACGCCAGAAACCTGTGATTGTGGGTTCGAATCCTGGTTCGCCTCGATTATGTTTCTAGGTTTGTCAACACCATACCCGTGCTCGTGGGTTTCACCGAAGTGGTAAATGTCTGAGACCTGCACTACTTCGGTCTTTCCTCCCACATTAAGCTGACACGCCGCTATATAACTGGAATACTGTTAGAAGCGGCGTTAAATCCAACTCACTTACTCACTCAGGACGCCAACCGAACCAGTCCCACAGAAAAATAACTGATCCAACAGACCATGAAAACTAAACAGAATGGGTAATAAGACCCATGTATTTGGTATTTTCCACCAATCAGCCCAGTCACCTCAATTACTGCATCTCCCCAAGATTGGATGCTGTACTGTTGGTTGTATATTTCAGACAGTGCTAGCTAGTGACAAGACCAACTACAATGCCCTGGTGTTTGTGGGCGTGGCTGCTGAGGGTCTGGAGCAGGCTGACAAGGCACTGAAGGCTTACAAGAAAGCCATAGATGCAGCACCCGAGCAGATTCTAGCATGGCAGGTATGTACATGCACAGTGTGCACAGGCTTGGAAAGGCCTCGATCAGCAACAGGGTGATATCATATTTTATCAGTTTGTGTGAGGTACTGGGGGGACATGATAAATCGGTGCACCAGTGCATCGTGAGTTTTCATGAAACTATACAATACACAATACATGTTTTACTCTATCGATACAAGGTGATACATCTGCTAAAATAAATTACTTATTATTTATTAGAACCACCTCCGTGGTCTAGTGGAGAGTGTTCACCCTGGAGAGCGGAAGTTCTGAGGCAAGTCGCTATATAAGTGTAATAATATTGAACGTGACATTTCACCTCAACTCATCACTACTCTTATAATGAGCCTCAGCGTTTTTGTCAGTCAAATGTTGCAAAATGTGTATGGAATTAGCGTTTCATGTTCACTACTTAAAATAGCCATTATAAACATGTATCTACAGCTAGTTTTACCTTTTGAACCTGCTCTGAAATATTATAGTCAAGAAGTTTCCACACGATTTGTCGTAAATATGTGTATCACGATACGTATCGTAGCTTGACCTATGTATCATGATACATATCGTATCATGACCTTGCTGTATCATTTCACCCCTAGCTCTGAGTTGTGAATATAGAAATGTTTGAAAGTCTTAAGTATGAAATAACGAAATGTTTCTTGTGCATTGGCACATTTCTTTAGTTCCTCTATGCCTGTAATTTTTATGGTGAATATAAGAATATTTGTCAAATCTAGGTCATATGAATCATGTTTGACATCTGACAGTGTATTAAAGGATTGAGTTCAATATGTGCCCAGTTGTGTTTCTTAGTATGCTTGGTGTGAACAATATAACGTTATAAACTTGACAACAATGTAAGGATCTATACCGAAACGTTGCCATTACAGTTTTGCTTGACAACAGTATAAGGATCTGTACCGAAGCATCTCCATTTCAGTGTTGCTTGACAACGGTGTAAGGATTTATGCCGAAACGTCGCGATTACAGTATTGTTTGACAACAGTGTAAGGATCAATGCCTAAAATGTGGCCATTACAGTCTTGCTTTACAACAGTATAAGGATCTGTACCGAAACATCTCCATTACAGTGTTGCTTGACAACGGTGTAAGGAATTATGCCGAAACGTCGCTATTACAGTCATGCTTGACAATGGTAAAAGGATCAATACCAAAACGTTGCCATTACAGTCTTGTGTGACAACAGTATAAGGATCTGTACCAAAGCATCTCCATTACAGTGTTGCTTGACAACGGTGTAAGGATTTATGCCGAAACGTCGCCATTACAGTCTTGCTTGACAATGGTAAAAGGATCTATACCGAAACGTCGTCATTACAGTTTTGCTTGACAACGGTGTAAGGGTCTGTCCCAAAATGTTGCCATTACTGTTTTGCTTGACAACAGTAAAAGGATCTGTACCGAAACATCTCCATTACCATCTTGCTTGACAACGGTATAAGAATCTATACTGAATGTTGCCATTACAGTAATATAAAGAAGTTGTTATCCATAAATTGTGTCTACTTTTTCATCCGTCAACTTCTCAGAAATACATATCAAACAATTCAATATCAAAAGAGTTTCTCCCTCATCACAGAGCTCCAGATAAGCTGCATATCTGGGTAAAATACGCATAAAAAATGCAGAACTACGCAGTAAAATAAAATCCAAGCGTATCAAATAAGCAACGAACATTACAGATTCGCTACAAAAATAAAACTTGTGCGTATCATCAAAATATTGTGAAGTAACCCTGCGTACTCGATTAGCAAATAAGCAACTTATTTTGAAATTATTAACGGACATTCCGTCAACCTTGCCAAACTCCATGATGACAGTTACATCATGATCATTTGCCATCACACTTTCTTGTGGAAGTATCGTGGTATTTTTGAGTCCTATAAAGCTCTCGAACCCACACGACACCAGTTTGCAGGGACTAGATAAATATTGTGTTTTTAAATATTTAACTTAAATACCCACATGTGTAAAAACTGGTGGGTAACAAAATTTGAATACCCAGATAGAATTACTGATACCCAATGATTTTAAAATGCATGGGTAAAATACCCACAACACCAAAAGCTTATCTGGAGCTCTGCATCACTTTACCTTTCAATAAAAACAATAAACAAGTCCTATTCCCCCTCACCTTTGAGAAAAATGTGCCAGAGAATTTTTATCAATGCAGCCTTATCATACTAATATTTAGCTATTTATCCATGTTAAAGCCTTAGTTGATTTTCAGGGTCTGTGTGGGTTTTACGAGAAGAACCCATCTCCCGAAAATGATGCTGACCTGGCCAGTGTGTACAAGAAGCTGATGTCTCTACAGGCTAGGTAGGTCAATAACACAATAGCTGCAGCATGTTCAGGAATAAGTATTCAAGAGAATTCTGAAAAATGTTGCATTGTATATGAAGATGGCTACATATGTTTAAATTCAGATAATTGAAAGTGTGTGTTTGTCTGGAGACATGAATCCTTGTGTTTCCCTCCATCAGTGACAAGGAGAAGATGCTGGACATAGGGAGGAAACTTGCCCAGCTTCATGGGAAACTGGGGAATGTGGACGAGGTAGTGGCTTTTAACATGCATTAAAAGAAGATTCATCTCTTAGTCCATGTTCTTCACGTTCTTTGGACTGCTCTTGACTGTTACGATACAAACTGATTCTACATTTAACTTGTTCACAAAAGAACTTATGTAATTTTTCTGATTCACTGTAAGTTTTAATTTTTTTTATTTTATTATACATGTATGTAACATTATTTAAAAGGTAGCTTTAATGAATGATTAGAAAATATTACACGTGTAATCTCTTCTGTTATTTCATTTAATTCATTTCATGATATTAATTTTTTTGCAATTTTCAGCTAATCAGCATACTTAGATTCAAAGATCTGTTGCTGTTATGACTGAGATGATAACAGCTGTGTCACAGTTAATCATGGATAGATATTACGAGTAATAAAGGCTTGTTTGTATGGCGGTTATGTGTTATAACATTACTCTGACATGTGCTTGAACTGTTGTCTTCCCCCAGGCTGTGAGCATGTACCGGCATGTGCTGTCCGAGGACCAGGCTGGACAGCAGCGCATGAACGCACTCATGTCTCTGTTTGATGTCCTACATGGTCAGAAGACTCTCTCTACTGAATATCAAGAACTGGTCAGTGCAACAGTTATCATAATTACTCCAGCACCGTGACTGCCACGTTGATCCTTACTCCCATACTCTAACATAGACTTAAGATAGTCATAGTGCTAAGATCGCTTTGTGCAAGTGGGTGCAAGAACGACATGTTTTTGCAGTTATGGTTTCTTTTTGACCACTGAGGTGCTGACAGTGGTTTTTAGTTTACGTAATAAAAAAGGCCCCATATTAAGAACAATATTACATTGAAATACAGTGATCACATATTGGTGTCTGTCTGAAGTTATTAGATGTTTTTGAAATGGAAGATACTTGTGGAGAGTGTTATGGTGTTTATGTGATTGTGGTCAATGATCTGCTTCCCAGATGTTGAAGACATGCAAGGAGGCAGTATCATTAGAAGATCTGCCGGCAGAGGGCAGTGAGAGACTGATACAGCAGTTCCTGGAGCTGCTGGTCAAGGTAGGTGACCAACCACTGGACTAAACCCTGGGCACTGGTCCACGTTGTGGTCATAGCACTATTACAGTTGTTGGTTGTCAACGTAACACAGACTTAGTCACTACCAACATTACCTTGTTGAATGGAACCCTGTTTTGACTGAAAATGACACAGACTATTACCGGTAGGCAACCTGAGCTTTTTAAAACTTAGATATATATATATATAGTATTTAAGTTTGAAGCCAAACTGCTCCCTCTTTCAGCATGGTCCCCGGTCCAGCTTGTGGGAAGAGTGTCGAAGCCTCCATGACCGGTACCCTGCCAACCTCTATGTCCTGGAGACCTGGACTCTGTTGCTGCTGGAGGAGAACCTCCAGGGTGGGTGGCCATAACTACATCTCTCTCCCTGTAGGATAGGACTCAGTCTTTTCTCTGTGTATTCTCATTATAATATCTCTGTGTGAAGGGCTGAGGACACCTCCATAGAAGGTCACGCCAGGTGAACTCTGAGCGAACTTTGGCTTCCCAATCTTAACCTAATGATATAATAGCACGGGTTTATTTCTTTACATTCTGAACTCTCTGATCATGTTTGTTTTCGAGATACAGAAATCAGGAATGCTTGTCTGAATGCTGATACTTCATGCAGAGAGGTATCATATCGGAGAAAACTGAGGATTGAATCAGATTGTGCTCTGTGGAATCAGAGGGAAAAAATGTCCCATGCATCTCATGGAGAGATACCAACCATTACAATTTTGATGTTGTTTGTTTGTTTGTTATTTAACGCCACACTCAGCTATATGACAGCGGTCTGTAAATAATCGAGTCTGGACCAGACAATCCAGTGATTGACATCATGAGCATCAATCCACGCAATTGGGATACGATAACATGCATCAACTAAGTCAGCAAGCCTGACCACAATTTTGATGTAATAGTTATGATTTTACCCCCAAATTTCACTTTTACATGCATAAAATATCATGGAGAGCAAATTTTTACTGCACCAGTGACATAAAGCATTCTGTGCTGACCAATGAGAGCCATGCTTTCAATTCACTTAGCATTAAAATATCTATTACTCATTGACGTGATCTGTGATTGGTTGTAACACGGTCAAGTCATTTATCGATCCATCTTTGCTGGTGTGGATAGGAAACTTATTGCATGTACATCATTTTTTCTTTGGAAGTCGAAACACAAAATTATTGGTCTGAAAAACAGTGAATTAGCGTCCAAAGAGGAATTTGTTTCGCTTATGTCTGTTCAGTTAAGTCTAAGCCTTATGAAAACATTGAAGTGAAAACCTGCATCCGAGATTCTCAAACATTACTTGCTTTCACAAGAAATTACCCATCTGATTATGCCCGAGTTTCAATTAGGGTTGGCATATCCGCCTGTGTTTGCTGTATGTGATGACTGATGGGAACCAGGTGGTTGCAATGTGTGATCTGGCTGATCATGGGTCGTGGTACCCCTTTGATCTTTGCTCATGCAGTCAGCCCCTCGTTTGCCTGGCCCAGTAACCCTTGCTTGTAGTTTGAGTCCACAAAGAGGGATCAGGTGGTGAGGCTGTGTGATGTGCCTGAAATTGTATGTCATTTAACCTGATGCTTTTAGTCACTGGTTTGCCTGGCCCATATTCAATAACAGTATTGACAGACTACCGTGACATATATCTAGACTCTAGACAAAATTGCTGATGCAGAGATAAGTAAGAATCACCAACTCATATATCAGGCATATTGCTGACTGTGTAGTCAAACAGCATTCACTCACTCACTCCAAACATTTGTCATGGGACTATACACAGTATCATACTGGCTGTAAGGATTACTCAATCTTCACCACAGCCAACTAACTGCCTTAAAGGATTTCTGTTTAAAAAGTGACATGCTGGATAGGGACATTTTCTATGAGGACCTCTAAGGACCTTCTGCGACAGACCTGTGGTATATGCACATACTTGGCTTGTACACTGTTTTCAGCAGCTATGCAGTTTAACTACCAGTAAGTTGAAAACATGTTCAATTTTTTTGCTTTAGGTTCTGATGACAGAGTCAGCTCCACTCTGAGGGATGTGTCTCAGAAACTTGGAGCTCTATCAGCCAGCAGCCCATATGTGAGTCTGTCCCAGGGAGTGATTCAACTGGCGGACCAGAAGCTGGTGGAGGCCAGAGACCTCCTGCAGCAAGGCAAGTACATGGAAGGGTACTGTGATAGGGCTATGTTGTGATATGTGTGTCAGTTCTGTTATTGTAAGAGGGATGAAGTTTATCCAGAATCCCAGATAATCCATGTACGATGCTGCTACATTAGATGCATGAATTTACAGTTTTACATTGAAATCATTGTACGTTAGGAGATGAAAGAAATATATTAACTTGTGGGATATTGATTAGCCAGAATCATGGATTTGATGTTACCTTCTAGGAATGAACAGCCTCACGAGTGTTGTGAGTGGCTATGTGTTCTTAGCCAGATGTCACCAGCAGTTACACACAGACATGGCATGTGTTGAAATCGCTGATAAAGGTAAGAATTTCTCTGCCCAGAAGGCGACTGACTCATCCTTGGATGATAGAAGCAGGATAAGCTGGCCAACATGGCTTGTGAGTATGAAAAGAACATATGCCACCTGTGTTATAGATGGTTAACCTCCTGCTATCATTTATATGCTTAAGTGTTCCGTTGCTTTTTGACTGAATTATTAGCTGATATCTACTTTCACTCACTACAATATTCCTTCATCATTTTTGCACAAAGTTGAAGCCCCATTTTATATGATTCTGTGTTGAGTTTTTTCTCTTTGTCACACCAGGATCTGCTGATCAGATTTGATCTCAATATGCTCTTTGGTTTGTCAGCACTTTACCAATACTTTTGAGTTTCACCAAAGTGCTAAACATGTACGACCTGCATCACTTTAGGCTTTCGGCCAGCATGAACTGATACTCCAACAAGATAACTGTAACTGAGCCCACTCACTCATTTCTGTTTCTTTGGCCGATTTATGTCAGTATGTATTTCCTTCTGTACAGGACTGAAGGCACTAGAGAAGAAGAACCGCCTATTGACATTGCCCAGCAAATCCATCACCTGTGAACTCCAGCTCTTGAAAGCCACCTGTTTGTACAGAGTTGGTTCACCCCACTGTCTGGCACAGGCAAGGGAGATCCTGTCACAGGTACACATCTAGAGTTATCTGCCCCCTGTAAAGTCGGTTCACCCCACTGTCTGGCACAGGCAAGAGAGATCCTGTCACAGGTACACATCTAGAGTTATCTGCCCCCTGTAGAGTCGGTTCACCCCACTGTCTGGCACAGGCAAGGGAGATCCTGTCACAGGTACACATCTAGAGTTATCTGCCCCCTGTAGAGTCGGTTCACCCCACTGTCTGGCACAGGCAAGGGAGATCCTGTCACAGGTACACATCTAGAGTTATCTGCCCCTAGTCAGTAGAGTCGGTTCACCCCACTGTCTGGCACAGGCAAGGGAGATCCTGTCACAGGTACACATCTAGAGTTATCTGCCCCTAGTCAGTAGAGTCGGTTCACCCCACTGTCTGGCACAGGCAAGGGAGATCCTGTCACAGGTACACATCTAGAGTTATCTGCTCCCTGTAGAGTCGGTTCACCCCACTGTCTGGCACAGGCAAGAGAGATCCTGTCACAGGTACACATCTAGAGTTATCTGCCCCCTGTAGAGTCGGTTCAACCCACTGTCTGGCACAGGCAAGAGAGATCCTGTCACGGGTACACATCTAGAGTTATCTGCCCCCTGTAGAGTCGGTACACCCCACTGTCTGGCACAGGCAAGGGAAATCCTGTCACAGGTACACATCTAGAGTTATCTCCCCTCGTAGAGTCGGTTCACCCCACTGTCTGGCACAGTCAAGGGAGATCCTGTCACAGGTACACATCTAGAGTTATCTCCCCCCTGTAGAGTCGGTTCACCCCACTGTCTGGCACAGTCAAGGGAGATCCTGTCACAGGTACACATCTAGAGTTATCTGCCCCTAGTCTGTAGAGTCGGTTCACCCCACTGTCTGGCACAGGCAAGGGAGATCCTGTCACAGGTACACATCTAGAGTTATCTGCCCCCTGTAGAGTCGGTTCACCCCACTGTCTGGCACAGGCAAGGGAGATCCTGTCACAGGTACACATCTAGAGTTATCTGCCCCCTGTAGAGTCGGTTCACCCCACTGTCTGGCTCAGGCAAGGGAGATCCTGTCACAGGTACACATCTAGAGTTATCTGCCCCCTGTAGAGTCGGTTCACCCCACTGTCTGGCTCAGGCAAGGGAGATCCTGTCACAGGTACACATCTAGAGTTATCTGCCCCCTGTAGAGTCGGTTCACCCCACTGTCTGGCACAGGCAAGGGAGATCCTGTCACAGGTACACATCTAGAGTTATCTGCCCCCTGTAGAGTCGGTTCACCCCACTGTCTGGCACAGGCAAGAGAGATCCTGTCACAGGTACACATCTAGAGTTATCTGCCCCCTGTAAAGTCGGTTCACCCCACTGTCTGGCACAGGCAAGAGAGATCCTGTCACAGGTACACATCTAGAGTTATCTGCCCCCTGTAGAGTCGGTTCACCCCACTGTCTGGCACAGGCAAGGGAAATCCTGTTACAGGTACACATCTAGAGTTATCTGCCCCCTGTAGAGTTGGTTCACCCCACTGTCTGGCACAGGCAAGGGAAATCCTGTTACAGGTACACATCTAGAGTTATCTGCCCCCTGTAGAGTCGGTTCACCCCACTGTCTGGCACAGGCAAGGGAGATCCTGTCACAGGTACACATCTAGAGTTATCTGCCCCCTGTAGAGTCGGTTCACCCCACTGTCTGGCACAGTCAAGGGAGATCCTGTCACAGGTACACATCTAGAGTTATCTGCCCCTAGTCTGTAGAGTCGGTTCACACCACTGTCTGGCACAGGCAAGGGAGATCCTGTCACAGGTACACATCTAGAGTTATCTGCCCCCTGTAGAGTCGGTACACCCCACTGTCTGGCACAGGCAAGGGAGATCCTGTCACAGGTACACATCTAGAGTTATCTGCCCCCTGTAGAGTCGGTTCACCCCACTGTCTGGCACAGGCAAGGGAGATCCTGTCACAGGTACACATCTAGAGTTATCTTCCCCCTGAAGAGTCGGTTCACCCCACTGTCTGGCACAGGCAAGAGAGATCCTGTCACAGGTACACATCTAGAGTTATCTGCCCCCTGTAGAGTCGGTACACCCCACTGTCTGGCACAGGCAAGAGAGATCCTGTCACAGGTACACATCTAGAGTTATCTGCCCCCTGTAGAGTCGGTTCACCCCACTGTCTGGCACAGGCAAGGGAGATCCTGTCACAGGTACACATCTAGAGTTATCTGCCCCCTGTAGAGACGGTTCACCCCACTGTCTGGCACAGGCAAGGGAGATCCTGTCACAGGTACACATCTAGAGTTATCTGCCCCCTGTAGAGTCGGTTCACCCCACTGTCTGGCACAGGCAAGAGAGATCCTGTCACAGGTACACATCTAGAGTTATCTGCCCCCTGTAGAGTCGGTTCACCCCACTGTCTGGCACAGTCAAGGGAGATCCTGTCACAGGTACACATCTAGAGTTATCTGCCCCCTGTAGAGTCGGTACACCCCACTGTCTGGCACAGTCAAGGGAGATCCTGTCACAGGTACACATCTAGAGTTATCTGCCCCTAGTCTGTAGAGTCGGTTCACACCACTGTCTGGCACAGGCAAGGGAGATCCTGTCACAGGTACACATCTAGAGTTATCTCCCCCTAGTCTGTAGAGTCAGTTCTGTGGCCGCCTATTACAGTGACTGGTGGCAGTGATAGTGTAGGGAGCTCCACATATGTGAGGAGCTTGAGCCTGCATGGCTGATCACTGTCAGCAGTCACACCCCCCACTGCTAAAAGCTGACAACCATGTATGAGTTGAACTGACTGACCATTACATTTACAAACAAGTCATGTCTGTCGTCATTCTTAATACATTTACTCCCCACTAAATTGTTTTGTTTCATCCTGTTGGTTTGAGCCTGTGAAGATCCCAGCAACCCATGCTTGCTGTAAAAGGCGGGATTTGGGTGGTCAGGCTCGCTGACTTAGTTGATGCATTTCATCGTATCCCAATTGCGTGGATCAATGCTCATGATGTCAATCACTGGATTGTCTTGTCCAGACTCGATTATTTACAGACCATCATCATATAGCTGGAATATGCTGAGTGCGGCGTTAAACAACAAACACATTAAACTGTTAAGCACATGTAACTTGAGAAACAGCCAGCACCCTTAATCATTTAAATTTTTGTCTACTTCTAAATACATTGAGAGTTGTATATTCATTCTATGACAACAACCTTGGAAAAACAAGGCACATCTGCTTGTATCTCAGTATTGTTTTGGTCCAGACTCGAATATTGACAGACCGCTGTCATTTAGCTGTAATATTGCTGAGTGTGGCGTTAAATAACAATTAAACAATAAATCCAGTTGGTTTGCAATTTCAGGTTATGAGATCATAGTAAATTGCAATCCTCAGTTCACTGATCAAATCTTGAAATCTGGTAGTCGTGACATTGATCAGTTATGTGGTTATTTTCTGCTTTATGAGCTCCTAAGTTTGATTTCCTTTGTTAATTAAAGTTATTACTAACATGTACAGATTGGAGATTCATTTCTTCACTCAATTTTCAGGATGTGATTGAAAGTCCAGAGTCTAGAAGCCTCCTGGTATACATTTGTCTGAAGCAAGGGAATATAGCAGATGCACAGGTTAGTGTAGATGAATGTGAGGGGAACCAGTTAGGACAGATAGCAGCATGACAAGGCCTAGTAGTCCTTGCTCCACTGCATCAACAAGACCCCTGTGAGGATACCAGGGCAGAAGGGATGCCCTGCAACTGACGTGTAAAGACCCAAACTAATGACAACCATGTTGCAATGTGTGTCTTCATACCCTGATGGTGTGAATCATCGCTCATGTTGTCAACCACTAGTTTGCGGTAGGCGCTGACGAGATTATTTGGTGATGCAGCTGGAATATTGCTGACTGTAGCATTCACTCATGTCAGTCAACAAGACACCTCTCCATTAAATCATTGTGATCATGCTATTTCTGCTTTACAAAACTTATCATCAGTTTTTAAAAGGTCATTGTTGAAAAGAGATGAAACAAAGAGAGCAGAAGAAGATTTTATCCAACACTTTATTCCACTGATCTGCATGCAGTTTTGTTCTTCAACTGTATTAGGGAATTACATCCTTACTCAACACATACGGCTAAAGCAAACCTTTTTTTCTCAAATATTGAAATTGTTTCAGAAGTTGTCATTCCAATGTCTTGTTATTTTTTCGTACCCACTTTAAAATGCCTATCAAGGACTCAAAGATAATGTTAATCCTATCAGAATTATCAAATTAACCTGATATCAAACCTGAAACCTTAACATGATTAATTCCCCATTTGTGAATGTGTATTGTCAGCACCACCTGGGCGATGTGCCAGAGACTGATGGTGAGAGAGAGGCCCTCCGTGGCCGGATCCTGTTCCACACAGGCCAGCACCAGGAGGCTCTCACACGGTAGGACACGCTTCTAGCAACTGTTACATTCAATAGTTCATTATCTACTGAGACAAAATGACTACATTAATCTGTGATTAGCATGTAATGCAATACTACATATGACACTTGGCATTATTATTGTTTACAGTTTGAAATTTATATACAAAATTTTCTTTCTGATTAAATCCTCCTTGGGGCACTTTTTGCATTTTCCTTGCTCAAGAAAATCTACATGACATAGTTGTAACCATTTTTCTTTAATAAAAAATGTTACCACACAAAAAACTTCGTTTTTGTATGATATACGACCACCCTTACGGGGCCTCACCCCCAACGGCGCCTCACGCCAGGGGGAGCAACTCTCACCCAAATCACTTTCCTTATGTCATCTGTAAGAGACAGACGTGTTGATTTTTCACACAAGACAAAAATAAAAGAAATCTATCATTCGACAAGAACCATGGCTGACCAAACTGTATGTATGGTACATTTCTTTCATTGCAAAGGCGTAATACCTCGCATTGTGAAGTTATAGAGTTGTAATAATACGCCACGTGCACGGTACCTTTGAATTCAAATGGCCGTAATGGCGTCCATATTGTAGTTCCACGGGCTGATACATGTAACACCAAGGCCATTAAGAAACGGCTTAAGGTTTTGTTATATCATACAGCATTGGTCTACAATTTTTTCCTTTACAAAACCCAAGGTGGTGTGTTAATTCATAAACTACACTTACTTTTTTACGGGTTTTACACCTTAGCGCGTAACACGCCCCTTTGGTGTTATAATTATACTACGACATTGGCTATTAGTATCGCGTTACAAATCGCATTCGACATTACGCCTTTGCTTCTAGTTTCACAATTTATGCACGTATCTTTCCGATCTTTATATCGCACTGATACACGTTGATACCCTTCCAGCCCACCTCAGAAATTTTTACAAACCTGTAGAGGTTATGAATTCTCTGATGAAATCCTCCTTGGGGCACTTATTGCATTTTCCTGGCTCAAGAAAATCTACATGACATAGTTGTAACCATTTTCCTTAATAAAAATTGTTACCACACAAAAAACTTTGTTTTTGTATGATATACGTCCACCACGGCGCGTCACGCCAAGGGAAGCAACTCTCACCCAAATCACTTTCCATATGTCTAATGCTGACGGAATGTGGGGAGGCGGGTGGCCGTGCCCCAAGGAGGATTTCATCAGAGAATTCATAACCTCTACAGGTTTGTAAAATTCTCTTTCAGATTAAATCCTCCTTGGGGCACTTATTGCATCAAGATAGACTCCTAAAGATAATCTAGGAAGTGGCATCCGTCAGCAACAAGCGTGCATAAAATACATCGTATTTTGATTATTTCAATGAATAAACAAGAGTTCAATAATTGGAACCAACCTTATCGTGAGGCACCACCGTCGAAAGGCGGGGGCTGGAGACAGGGCGTTATCGACCATACACAATGAAAAGAGCCATTCTTTGTGGCTTATCATATCGAGAACTCGAGACACACACACCCCCCACCCCACCCACTTTTTTGAACAAGTGATATTGGGGGCACAGATCACGAGAGACTATAAACCCGCACAGAGCTAGGCCAGAGGGTCCCCGTAATCGAAGGAGTGCATGTGCAATTACGATGATTATCGACTAGTAATGGCTGGTATTGTATCGACCGTAGAAGATAAAATCCGGACCGTTACTGAGCAGTGTTATAACCGGTCCGGGCGGTCTAAAATCTCGAAGGCTCAATCGGCTAGAGATGTAGAACTTTGCCCAGTTCGGAGAACTGACTGACCAAACCGAGCACGCTCGCTTGAGTGTTTGTCGAGTTGGTAATGTTTGATGAACGTGCTCGGCTGGCTCCAAATAGCCGCGGAGCAGATCTCCTCAATGGGCAGAGCCGCAGCATACGCTTGTGTCGTAGCCACTGCTCTAACCGAATGAGCCTTCAACTTGGTAGGGGGGTCCCTGCCTTGAAGCGTGTACGCCGTACATATAGTAGAGACTATCCACCGCGAGATAGTTTGTTTGCTCGCAGGTGAGCCAGCCTTCCTACCGCCATAACAGCAAAATAGTTGATTATCCTTACGGATACCCTTAGTTCTGCTGATATAGGACTTAAGGGTCCTGCGGACATCCAAGACATGAGCATGTCTTGTAGTGGTCCCCGACGAGGAAGGCTGTGAAAGAGCAGGTAGCTCAATAGGAGCCGTCAGGTGGAGGGCGTGTGCGACCTTAGGACGGTAAGAGTCCGGCAGGCGAATACTGACCCTGTCCCGGTGAAAGACAGTTAGTTCGGGATCGGCTGACATTGCGTGAATGTCGCCTACCCGTCTGCCGGACGTTACCGCCACAAGGAACGCCGTCTTCCAGCTCAACAGCTGAAGAGAGAGAGACGACAGATCCCGAAAAGAAGGACCGGACAGCCAATCAAGAACGATTGACAATTCCCAAGGGGGACTGATCCGCCGGACAGGCGGTCGGATCCTGTCCACACCTGCTAAAAAACGCTGCACTAATGGGTGCGCACCCAAAAGTGCCCCGTCGACGGGGACGTGAAAGGCAGCGATAGCTGTAGAGTACCCCTGGACTGTCGATGCGGCCAGGCCGACATCTAGTCGCGACTGGAGGAACTCAAGTACGGCTACGAGATCTGCAGAAAAGGGATCTGCAATCCTTCTATCGACACACCAGCGCGCATAGCAGGCCTATCTATCCTCGTACTGAACGTTTGTCGAATCCCTCCGCGAAGCCAGTATTGTGTCTGCAACTCGTGCAGGAATACCGCTCTCCTGGAGGCGATTCCGGACAGTGGCCAAGCCACCCACTGAATCCTGGGATTCGGGTGGAGGGCCTCGTTCTGGGATAGGAGGTCCGGTCGTAAAGGTAATAGAACAGGAGGCTGAGCCAGAAACCTGAGTATGACAAGAAACCAACTCTGCGCCGACCAAAGGGGTGCCAGGAGCACAAGTAGTCGCGCAGGCTGAGTGGCTAGCTGAGACAGGACCTTGGAAATCAGAGGTACTGGGGGGAATGCCCACAGTATTCTGTCCGTTCAATCTAGCTGGAAGGCGTCCGGTGCCACCGACCTCGGGTCGGGGACTCGGGAGCAGAACGTTGGTGTCTGGTGATTCACCGCAGACGCAAACAGATCCACCTGGAACGACCTGTATAACTGGGAGATAATCCCGAATATCCCCGGGTCGAGCCTCCACTCGTGAGGAGCGAGGATCCGGCGAGACAGAGCGTCCGCACGGACGTTGTCTACCCCCGGGAGATAAACAGGTAGCACCCTGATAACGTGTGAGTCGCACCATAGGAGGAACTGCCACGTCTCTTGGAGAAGCGACGGAGACACCGTTCCCCCCTGCTTCTGGATGTAAGTCATCGCCGTTTGGTTGTCCATCTCTAGACGCACCACTTGGCCACGAAGCAGATCCAGGAAGCGTTGGAACACCAACCTGACCGCTCTCAGTTCTAGCACATTGATATGCAGTTTGATCTCCTGCTGGGACCATAGTCCCGAGGCAGTGTGATCGTTCAGAACGCCTCCCCAGCCGGAGAGTGACGCGTCTGTTTGAACTGTGAGAGACGGCACGGGAGTGTCGAGGGGGGGCCCCCGGGACAGATTCCCGACCTCGGTCCACCACTGAAGGTGTGCATTGAGCCACTGCGGAGTCTCGAGAACAGTCTCAAGATCTTCCGAGTTCACCCAAAGTCGACGGAGCGCACATCCACTGTCGCCGCCATGTTGCCCAGTAACTGGAGCCATGTACGAGCAGTGTGACTGGCGGACAGAAGGAACTGGGAAGTAACACTTCTGACCTTGGTAATGCGATCTTGTGACAGAGATACAAGTCCGCTCACCGTGTTGAAATTCGCCCCTAGGAAGACTAGATTCTGAGTAGGGCTCAGATCTGACTTCTTGAGATTGACTATCCACCCTAGAGTGATCAGAATATCTATCACTTGTTGTGTAGCTATCTGACTCAGGGATTGCGATAGAGCTCTTAGTAACCAGTGGTCGAGGTACGGATGGCAGAACCGACCTTTTGACCTGGCCACTTGGGCGGGAATCAACATCAGCTTGGTGAACACCCTCGGGGCCGTAGCGATCCCGAATGGTAGAACCCTGAACTGATAACACCTCCCGTCGAAAGAAAACCTGAGGTATTTCTTGAACTCGGGGTGTATGGGTACGTGGAGATAGGCGTCTTTTAGGTCTATTGACGTTAGCCATTCTCCGGTCTCGACAGCTGAGATCACCGAGCGCAGTGTCTCCATCCTGAAGGACGGTACCTCTATAAGTTTGTTCAGCCTTCTCAGATTGAGAATAGGCCTGAACCCTCCGTCTTTTTTGGTGACTAGGAAATATGTCGAGTAGGAGCCCTCGCTTTCCACGGGAACCGGTTCGATCGCAGCCTTCATAAGAAGTGCGTCGACCTCGGCACGGAGGAATTCCGCCCTCTCCAGGGTAGCAGGCACCGGAGTGTGCTTTATCCCGGAGAAGGGGGGCGGATGATGTTTCCACCGAGGCAAATGGCCATCCCTTAGAGTGGACAGGGTCCAGGGATTGGATGTGACTGTCTCCCATTCCTGCAGGAATAGAGCCAGTCGGCCGCCTACGGGGACATCCGGCTTGAGGCAGCGGACCCTGGCTGTCGGCAGTTCGAAAACATGCGACCGTGGATCCGCCCGGGGCGCTTCGGGCGCTAACGGGAACCCGATGGGTTCCCGGCCCCGCGAAAAGGCTGCTGGCCTCGACCAGCTGCCCTGCCCCGGCCCCTGCCTCTCTTGCTCCTCCCGGCGCCCTTACCTGAAGGAAGCGGCTGCTTCCAAGCAGGTGCAGACTTCTGACCCGGCGCGTCAGCGTAGGAGGAAGCAAGTGGAGAGGTCCGCTTACGCGGTTTAACGCATGGTACCTCCAACAAGGCCTTAGAATCCTTGATGGAGGCATTCAACTGTGCGGCCTCTCGGACCACCTGCTGAGCCCCAGGGAAGAGGGT